AGATTGCTATCCCAGAAGGTGAAGATGTGTCCAACTTCATCCAAGCCAGCATCGACGCCGATATTCAAGCGCCCAAGGACTATGGCTCATCGTTTGTATCCTTCACCCTCTTCACCAGCCTCTCCGGTACCTCCACCCTCTCGTTCCGCATCTCGCATGCCCAATACGACGAGATGTGTCTCCCAATTCTTTTTGCTCAACTCTCAGCCCTCTACTCCGACACCCCAGTCCCAGAAACCCTCCCCTTTACCACGCACGTAAACCACGTGGTGCTCGATAATATCCCCAAAGCAGTCCCCTACTGGACGGACCTGCTCTCTGGCTCTCAAATGACCGTCCTCAAACCCACCATCCCACTGACTCACCGCCGCCCGACTGACGTCTACATGGAATTCGACATTTCTTCTCGCCCATCCAACATCACCATCGGCTCTCTCCCCACCGCCGCCTGGGCCATCGTCCTCGCACGCCGCCTCAACCTACGCGACGTCGTCTTCGGCGAAGTAGTATCCGGCCGCAATCTAGGCGCCCCCAACGCCGACCGCATCTTCGGTCCAACATGGCAATACATACCCTTCCGCGTGCCCTTCAGCTCTACGTGGACGTATCTCGACCTCCTCAACTACGTGCAGACACAGCACGTCGCTTCTGCAGCCTACGAGTCCATGGGCTTCGACGAGATCGTACAGAACTGCACGGATTGGAACAAGGACGAGACCAAGTGGTTTGATACCGTGGTGCATCAGGCGCCGGCCTGGGTCGAGGAGTTACCGTTTGGTGAAGTCGAGGCCAAGTTCCAGACGCTGTATCCGCATGGGGAGCCGCTGCGCGAGTGGAAGTGTCAGGCTTTTGTGAAAGAGGGAGGTAAGAGGCTGGGTATTGAGATTGTAACGTTTGAGGAGTGGAGGGGTGTTGCGGAGGGGGTGTTGAAGGAGGTTGGAGAGGCTTTGGCAGCGTTGCAGGGGGAGGGTGTTGGGGACAAGATATTTGCTGAGGAGGTTGCTGTGTAGGCTTACGTACTATACTTGGTAGGTTTGTGGTGTAGATGTTATATGTAGGTCTTGTAGGTAGGGGTTTTTTTCATTTTGGTTCTCATGGTTGGGTGTAGCTTGATTTACTTTGTAGAAGTCTTGTTATTCGATCTCTAATTCTTCATGATGAACTTCAATCCATCTGCTCAAAGACGGCGCTTTCATCGCTTCAAGCAAGTAGGCTTCGGAACATAATGTGTGCTATCGTTCTTTCCGATCTCATCTCATCGCCGGCTTCCTCTTACCCTAACATCCTCACCACTCCTTCTACAGTCGCACTTGCGCGCGTCATGAAAACAAAACACACCACTTTCCACATGCTCAACCGTCAGAAAACGTCATTTCCCTTTCCCGCCATGGCCCAATTCGCTCATGCAGTCCCCCTTCCTGAACCTCTCGATTCAATGACGCTCCCTCTCATCCCGCATGCTACAGAATATTTAACATACCAGTGTACAAAGGTCACTGCATGCGCCAGACAGGCCTAATAGGTGCTTACCCACACTGTTAAGTATTTTACGTAGCCTAGGTGCAGGTGCAAAGGCGATGTTGGAAGAAACCGTGCATGGACCCGCCCACGTGATCTCGTGTTTAGCGCCAAATATTAGCGTCTTGGCCCGCACGCGTTCTTCTCCTGTTCCTTCTACGCGCTTCCTTTGAACCCATTTCGCGCCTTAGTTCACGCGCTTCTCTTTCCTCTGCAGAGAAAACAAAAGGGCGCACTCGGCCCGTTGTCGTCATGGGGATACCTTGTGACTCAATTGTTGAGGCTGAGTCAATGTCGGACCGAAGACGACGCAGGGCCGTCGTGCTTACTACGTTCGCTTTTAAGCCTCTCTCGCTATTCATCTAATGCAAATAACGTCAATTCCGCTACACTTTTTACCAACATCCATACATTTCACGCTACACTTTGCTACCAATTCCTGGAAATCAGCGCCCGTTTGTACAACGAGTAAACCATCTCTCTTCAAGGCAACCCGTCCATACCAGTACATGACATTTTCGCGTTGAGTAGGAAGCTTCGGGATATAATGCATGTATTAATACCCGCATGTAACGTCACAGCGATCACGAAAAGTAACATTGGTCAGCTAACGGCTAAAAACAGCGATCATCGCAGACTATCCTTCAGCATGGATGAAACCTCGTATCAGACCACAATGGGAGATGGATGTGCGGACAAGAAGAATCTCAATCTTGTCGTTCACAGAAAGAGCGTGAATGAAGAAGCCTTTTCTGTGGCTACGTCGAGCGAATCATTCGATACTACGGTGCTGGCGTCAAATGCTCGACATCTTCCGATTGAACTGCACCGCCTTATTTTGCATTATGTTGATAGCGATACGGTGAAGCAATACCGAATGGCAAGCAAATATCTGCACGCGATAGGGACTGAGGAGTTGTTCTCTACAGTCACGTTTCATTACAGCACCTGGAGCGTTGAACGCCTCATTGAGATGAGCAAGTCACCCGATATTCGTCGACACGTCAAAACCATCATATGGGACACCAATCATTGGATTATTCCCCACGTTCACACCTTCCACGAGTGGGAATTATATCTCACTGAGAAGGGAGTCGATATGCGTCGATGGAACTCTGCTTTGTATACGTATGGAGGCATACTCATTGACCTGGCACAAAGCCAGCATGATTTTGAAGCCTATCTGGATAATGTGAGGGATGAGAAGGCGGCAGAAGAAATGTTCTTCAAGTCGGATGTATTGCGAAGGTTTCAGAACCTGCAAACTATCCACATTTCCGATGGCGAGGACTGGTACTTGGACTTGGATGCTGTCAGCCTGCGGAGAGGTGAAGGCCGCAATGGCTGGAACAATCGCTGTGGGATGATGGCATTCAAATTTCTTCAAAAGACATCTCCACTGCCGATCAAAACTTTGCGGCTGAACAGGCTGAGCCACTTCGCCCTGCAGCACGTTTCCGGGGACTTTAGCAGCCTGACTAGTCTGGATCTCAACATCACTGCGCGGGCGGACCGCAGATTTCGCCACTATTGGGATGCAACAGATTGGTGGAGCGCAGCTTATATCGTGCCCAACGGAAACTTGACAAAGTTTATCATGGGCATGCCTCATCTCCACAGTCTTCGCATCAGTCTCCAAGACACCGGTCGATCCGACTGTTGGCGCGACAGGATGCCCCTTTCGTCGATTGATGCAACCTTTGATTCGGAGTACACATGGCCGAGATTGCGGCATCTGTCCTTGTGTCACTTTTTCGCTACTCTGGATAGCTTGTTGTCACTGCTTAATAGACACAGGGCTACGTTGACAGAAGTCAGTCTTCGCAATATTTCCTTTGACGATGACTGCACACAAAGTGCAGCAAACCCCCATTGGGCCTTTGATCACCCTTCGTCTCCATCCGAATACCAAACTATGATAGAACAACGTCTTCAGCTCAATGAGTGGCCAACCTTTCTAGAAAAGGTATCCGAGGTGCTCCATCTTGAGCGTGCAACGATTTCGGGTATACTGGGCACGCATAGGTTCGGGTACGGGTGGTACCTGAACGACCGAGACCTCGGTCCTGCTGTTTCAGAATACGTCATTTCAGGAAGTGGTCTCTGTCCGCTAAACACTGATAATGTTAGACTCCTGCATCCTTGGGACGAGTTTCGACGTTGATATGTCTTGCAACCACGTGGGAGGAGAGGTCGCGATTTCACCGGGAATCAAGCGCTGGAATTTGGTACAAAACAAGATTTCTGAGGATACACATGGCATTGCACGAGAAGAGTTATATACAGATGCGCTAATAAAAACCATGGCCTTCCTCGAGAACAGAATCTCCTGTTTACCCAAGCAAACGCTAACCGGAAAACACCAAGAATCAAACAAGCTTTAGTAATTGTACTTGTAACACAGGGTACCAGCGGTATCCAAGATATCCCGAACCTTGATATTCGGTCGGACACCGTTTACGCTGATCTCGGTATCAAGCGTAAGTGGGTTGCCAGAAGCATCGTTGCCGTTGATAGTGGTGGTACGAACACCCGGGTTGGAGTTTTGCCAGATACGAAAGTTGCGGTCGACGAAAGCGTGGTGCAGCCAGAAGATGGGGTCGGCGGGCGCGGCATACGTGTCTTGCATGACGGCTCCGATACCGTTGTGGCCCCAGGCGTGAGGACCGTTCTCAGCGCACTGCGCCATGCCGGCGAAGTCGCTGTATGCGTTGCATTGGTTTACGTAGGCGGAGTTGCAGTATTGGGTTTTTGCGCCGTCACCGTTGCGGGACAGACAATGGACTTGGTTGCCGGAGCCGGGACCGATGTTGATGGCAAGGTTGGCAAATTGCTGGGTTCGAGGGTTAGTTTAACTTCTTTGTGCTTTACCAAAAGAGGCGTGTGGGACAAGAGGGGGTTTGTAAACTTACACCATCCGTTACACAGTTTCCACCAACAGCAATGCTGCCCAGCCACCTACTGGAGAAGATTGAGGATTGTGCGAAGCGGCCGGCATACCGCGTCTCGTCGAACCATGGCATGGGTACCGAAAGGCCGCACTCGGTGCGTAGCACGTCCTCAAACACCCAAGTGTAGTACCTGTGCCAGAGAAGAAACTTTGAGTTTCCGTGGACATTGGGTGTTAAGCCTTGGTGCAGTGAGACGAGATCCTCGTATCGGCTCCTGGATCCGGGGAATTGGCCTGATGGAGCCTTGTTCATTAAGCACTTGATTGAGTCGACGAATGCTTGCTTGGTTGAGTCGGATGTGGCGTCCCATTCGGTGCGCACACGCGGGTTGGAGCATGTTGCAGCAGCAGCGGAAAAGCTGAGGACTCTGAAGGATGGTGCGGCGGGGGCCTCTGGCGCTGTGGCAGTGTAGTTGTCGAAAATGACTTTTGCGACCTCTGGTAGGATAGGCGTGGAGAACTTTCGTGTCTCGGCGAACTTGACGACCGGCAATGGGGTAACGAACTTGGTTGACGGAGCTTCCTGAGGAGACGGTAGGGCGGAAACACTGGCAAGCAAGGCCATGGAGGCGGAAAAGATGGCGGAACGCATGATTAGGGTATATGGATTAAAAGACTGTTCTAAAACTCTGGAGCAATACCGAGAGAAAAGCGAGTGGAAACGACAAGCAACCCAGCAAAGCGAGCGTATGGGTTATGGTAGAGCGAGTCTTGTACTGTACAAGAAAAGACAATCCTTCCACGAGCAGGCGCCCCAGTCGACCTTATACCTGGACAACCTACATTGGCGATGCGCCTGAAATACCGGTAGGGCGAATTACACGCCATAGGCACCACCCCGTAGATCAGCCGTTCCCTGTCCGTTCCTCGAGCCGTCTCACCGCTGGCGGAAACAAGCAGGATCCATGGACCACACATGGAAATACGACTAAAACCCGGCAAAGCCATGTTTACCGCTTTGCCCTCTTCGCCCAAACAAAAAACGCCCATACACTACCTATCCATAGCGTCTGGTCCAAGCGGCTGGGCTGAGCTGGCTTGGGAGGGGAAAAGAGCAGCTGGAATGAAAAAAAGTGGCACTAGGGGCTGCTGCAACGTCGTATTGGCAAGCAAAAGTGCAGAGCTGGAGCTAATCGCTGCCAGGCACCCAGGACAGATGGGTTAAGTGGATGTCTGTTAAGCTCGTTTTGGGTTTGGTGGCGTAAACAAGCGTTGCCGAGACCTTTTGCCTCGTGAGCTCAGGCCCTCTTCCTGCGTTTGGCTGTCTTCCTTCATACGAACGCGCCAGCGCCACGATACGAGGCGGATGCGCTGGCGCAATCGATAAACACGGACGACGATTACTGCTTCTGGATAGAGTCGACGGCGGGCCTGATCATTTCTCTGGTCTTTGCCCGTGGTTCATGGGCCCAGGGCCTGTCATGTGTTTCGGACTTCCGAGCTGTCAGTTCTGCTCAACGCACGGAGCGGAGAAAAGCAAACTTCGGACATGTCCTAGCTCTGCGAACTACAGCGGAAGCATTGCCTTTGCTCCTCTTTTTTCCTTTGGATGATGGCACGACTATCGGCTTTTTTTTGCCCTGCGTGGGCGTGTGCGTGCACGCGCGACGGATCTACCGGCCTTGTTGCGGCGGCCGGGCCGAGCTGATTGGCTGACGCCATACTTCGTATTGCCGCCTTGCCATGTTCTGCATCGGCTTTCTTTTCGCTTCTGAAGCTGCCCCGGTCCCGTCGCTGCGTGGTTCCAAATATAGTAGTCATCAATGCTCGTCCGTCGGTCAATGTAGTCGTCGTCGTCGATGAACGGTACAACACGTCGAGTCTTCGATTAGCACAACCACGGTTTCGATGGCGTCTGGCGTTTGACATGCATGCTGATTTTTTCTTCTTACCGCTCTTGCAGCTTAACGTTTTGTGTGTGACATGAAAGGTGGCGCATGGCGTTTTTTCTTGTCTTGTCTACTCCGCTCCTCGAAACGTACCTACCGCCTTAGCCCGACCCGCCGAGGCGCCCTTTTGGCTGCAGGACAAGAAACCCCCAAAATGACTTTTATGCACTGCACTTTTATTGGCCTTGTATATGCATCATAACTCATCATTAGGGTATATCCCGTGCAATAGTCAGCTCTCACACACCGGTTAACGGCACCGCGTCGCGCGCGCACGCACATGCATTTTTTTGGTTTGTAAGGCTGACGGTGGACTTGTTTCGCTGTCATCATATAGAGTGGTGCTGGAGCTGAAGAAGACGCTATTGACATTGGCGAGGCTGCAGGTAGAGTGTCTTGGGTGCATGACCGAGATGGGAGGGGGATCGACGGCTTGTGCAGATGCAGGTGCTTAGTCTTTGGCTGACGTCGTTTTTGGTTTTTGCATCGCATCGCATCGCATCGCTGGAAGAGACAAGGGGAGGTGCAGTGCTGTGCTGTGTAGTTGCGGTATGGCTATGGGCCCCCTGATCCATCTCCTGATGCATGCACATGCACGCATCCATCCCGTCAGCCTATCCATCCACCGCACATGCATGCTCGCACAAGGTAAAACGGGTTTTCTGCACAACCGCAACATTCGTTATCCTACCTCCACGCGCGCACATGATACCGGAAATACCTTCACCATCATGTAACCGAACCACCGAAACAAAAACCATCATATCGTGTACCTGCGGTATCTCCGCTCCGCTCCCACTAACTACCTCTTCTCCCGAAGTTCCCCCAGCGCTAACATCAGCACCGCCAATCCATCTATTCCCGCGCCGTCGCAATCTCCCCTTTTAGCTCCCACGCGGAACACCTCATCCTAGCGTACCGGGTATGTGTAACAGTTGCGCATAGCTTTACGTTGACACACACACACGAGCCGTCGGTGTTCATTTCCATTGATTGATTAACTGACTCCTTCCTATCCTTCCATTTTAACTTACCTGGCGTACGTACCCACATAACCAGAGAAAGTCCTCGGAACCCGGAACCAGAACCACATGGACTTGCACTAGAACCAGAGCTGGGGGCGCTAGAAGATTGTTCCTATCGCTATGTAAATCTAAAACTTCCGGTCCCCCGATGCGAGGCGAGTCCGGGAGTTCGGGATATCATGCACGTTCGGTTCGGTCGATAGGCTGATATATAGTTATGGTACCAGTACAGTATCAGTATCCACATGTATTCGTTTTTCTTATTCCCCAACGCAACCGACGCAACGACCTTACCGCACTTTTCTCCCACAAGTGACAACGACGGAGTGACGGTAGCACAAAAGCTTGTTTTCTAGCGCTCTACGATAAACTGGTAACTGCGTAACACTAAAGCCTTTCTAGAATACGAAGGGTGGGGACGTCTCGCACTCTGGTTCGATGCGAGCAGAAAATCGATATTCACTATACATATACGGGGAGAAAGGGAACGGTGAACTTACTCAGCGGCTTAGGGTTACTTGGCTAAATGTATTGAGGCTGGGCTTGGTGGGTCGCCTGAGCCGAACACGAGGGCACGCGAACAGAAATATGCGAGTACTGTATTTAGTGGGGAGGGTTTTATTTGGGAATACGAGATGGTATGGCGGTGGAGCGGTATGAGGGATTAGTAATAGCGATAGTTCTATTCGCAATGGGGTGAGTCGGGCGTGCCGTTTAGATGGGATGATGGTGAGGCGAGGCGGGAGGTTTGCCTGCTTGCTGAACTTTGTACGAGGTCGGACTCAGGTAGTTATCGCAGGCTTTCCATGTTTTGCGGCAGCGAAAGAGCTAGTGGTTGGAGGTACATTCTACTGGACTGTCAGATACTCGGGCGAACGACACCTACTGCGAATGCTACTGTTGCTGTCATGTTTCACACATGCACGCAGGGCTGACGGATTGGGCATGTGGGACGAGAGCCGCTTGCGTGCGTGGTTAGTGTGTAGAACGCGTGTTCGCGCTAACCGACGACGCCCTCTCCTCTCCCGGTGGATGGATGGATAGACAGGTACTTCGACTTTTGTGGCGCAGTGGGGTGAGGGTGGTGTGACGGTGACGTGAGGCGTGAGTGTGTGTGTGTAGGACGTTGTGGTTCAAGAAAAACAATAAGGGGTTTGTTTGGTCTTTAGCTTTTCTTTTCTTTTCTTTTCGCTCGACATCTTACGTTTGGGAGTAGGGGTGGTTTTTTGTATGGTGATGGTCTCAGGTAGGAAGGCCGTTTCAGACACTGATACACGGTGTTGATAAATGGGGGTGTAAGGGGAGTTGTACGTGGGAAGCTAGATAAGGAAAGAAGAGTAATTTCTGGACTTGGCTTGCACGTGTTTCTAACACCTTTTCTATGAGCAAACCCGTCTACGCAAAACAAACTCCGACCCTTAACCACCGGAAAGACCGTTCCACCAGGGTGACGTGGAATACTTGACAGTGTGGGTGAGCAGTGTCTGGCGCATATAGTGACATCTATACACTAGTATGTCAAGTATTCCATATCACAAGGGTGTTTCCTTTCCTTCTCCCCGCGTCCCTTCTTTCTCGCAACCCTCGCACATATTCTCAACAAACCATAGCCCCGCATTCTTCTCCCGCGCACCGTCGTCCCCGGATTTGGAATTGTAAACTTAATGCGTCTCAACAGCTCAACAAATGGCTCGTGAAAGCTTATGAACGGCACGTTCTTGCCCTCACATTAATGTCTGTAATAGTGGAATGTGAGGTCTACGATACTGGCCATGTTGGAGAGGTATGTAGGATCGGCTTAAACCTCTAGCCAGTGTTCTGGTAGGAAGACGGCTACGTCTGGTCGGAAGATGCGGTAAGAAGAGCTGATTTGGGATAATTACCACAGCGCGGATCATAAACGCCAACATGGAAAGTTGGAAAAAGAACTTCGTATTTCACGAGTAACTTTATAGAAAGTTATACATCTAAGTCTGCTGATACACCTCGCACTTGATACAAGCCTTTACAAACCGCGCTTGGTAACTAATCATCCGCACCCACACCCTCCAAACCCTAGTTTTCACCCATACTACCACGTGCCGCTACTATCACGCCCAGAGGAGAGATTTTGTTCCGCCCCGAGGCTGAAATGTTCAGCACCTTGATGGTAGGGTATAGGGGACCAGACGGCGTTTGTGGCACTTTCGATTTCTAGAGACCTGGGTATGAGGGGCCTGTACCTTCCTGGTGCGGCTTTGAAGGCTTGGGAGAGGTGGCAGCGTGGTGTGTAGTATGTGGTAGCGTAGCCAGAGGGTGGATGAGGCGAAGATGGGGGTATGGAAAAGGCAAGGGTAATGTGGTCGGATCGATTAAGAGAAGGATGTGAGCTAGTTCGGGGGTGAGTATCGTGCTGATTACATGAGGGTAGCAAGTGTTAGTGGTACTATAGTTTATACTATTTATGAAGCTCAGCTTGGAAGTATAATTTCACAATATGTATCGTAAACCATCTGGTATCACTGAACCAACTACCTCCCCTCACATCGTAACACTGCGTAGGCGTTCCGCTCCTTCCTATACAAGCACTAGCGCATTGCATCTAGGAATCTACACTCGTAACATAAACATGAACACCAGGCGCAGATCGCCATCAGCCACATAGCCACAGCACTCCAACGGCGCTTGTCCAACGTCACAGATGCCAAGACACTATGACTACCCTTGTGTAGACACTTGAAACTGAGTAACAACCCCCCTTTCAATCCATCTTTCCCGCCTGTCTAACAGCAAAGGCGATGACAAGTCCACTCAAAGTAACTATATAAGAACTCACGCCAAACGCGCCTTGTATATCGGATTTTAGCACCGTCCAGAGAACCCCAAATAGCAGACTCGCTAGCATGAAGACGACGAAAGCTATATTTACCACGACGTCAAAGTCCCAGCCTTCTTCAAAGTAGAAACCCCATCCCTCGGCTGGTTCATCTGGTCTTCCGCTTAGTTCCCCCCAGTTACGCTTTGGAACTAGGTTGAAGATCCAGATTTGCTTCTCGTTGATTTGTAGTGGGCATTTAAGCATGTGGGCTAGATGGCTGGGTCCTACCAATGGCCATGTGCCTGGCGGACTTGTCTTTCTGCAACTATACTCTGCAGCCCCGGATGGTACGAGCTTGTAATCTGGTGGGATGCATTCACATATGCTTGGATTGCTGGATTGACAGCATGGATTGTGATGGCGTACTTCTACACTATCGCCGAGACGCAGGCGGAACTAGCGGGGTGTTAGATACCTTGCTTGGGAAGTGTGTTATCTGTGGGTACGTACCTTGCTGAAGTAGATGCCTTCGATGGTCCTGCATGAAAGTATTTGCAAGAGTCGGTTGCGGCGTCGTGGTATTCTGGCTTTGAGAAAGCTGAATAGTGCGCTGTCGTTGTTGATCGGGCTGATATCATCCTGTAGGAGAATTGTGTGATCTCGGCTACGATGAACACAAGACATGAGATGCAAAGTATTCTGTTGTTGCTGCTGGTTACCCGGATCCGTCCCACTAGCTATAGGGCCGGGGTTACCAGCGTTATGGTACGGCAGGGCGTTGGAGCGCACACCGTACCCAGGGAACACCGCCAAAAGCTTGCTTTGAAACATCCGTAACCACGTCGGACTTCGAAGACTATATTGCTGATTTGGGGATCGGGAGCTATATGGAACCACAGTGATGGAGAGATTCGCGGAGGAACAGTGCATCTTTTCGACCAGTGTCGCGACACCACCCTCGGCTTGCTCATATACATCGTCAAAGAAACGATCGCCGCAACACTACGGTAATTGTCAGAGTATGTAGCTATATGAGGACCTGCTGACCTACACATTGACTTCGTATCCGGGTCCAGCCTTCTTCTAGTGGGGGTTCCAAATATCCCATTGCAAGATACAGTTGATCTAGTCGCGACGACAACGCAGCACGTGCCTCTTTGATGGTTGCAGAGTACGATGCCCAGAGCATTCTCCCGCAGGGTTCCTGGGCTGTCTCATTCTGCAACGGTTGCCTTGAAAACACAGCGGAACTTCGTATGTCTGACCCCGGGTCTTCTCTGCAAGTGACGACTGCATTTGCTAATGGATCCGGTTGTGCTAAGCAGAAAGTTTCCAACTCTACACGAAATGTTGCATAGGCAGTGCTCTCGATCAGGAACGAACGGAAAGCGACTAGATCACCGACGTCTCTTTCTTGGCCCGGTTGCTCTTGGCCGTCGTCTTCGGAGCTCTCCTCTGCCTCGTTGCGGATTTGGTCGAGTTTATTCAGAGGCTGCTGCTGGCGTTCCTGAATCTCCTGACTAGCAACACATCGGGCAGCGTAGTTTGCCCTGGCGCGCACAAGACGGGATGCCGAGAATGACAGGTAGTCGGTGGCTTCGTTCCTTAGATTCTCCGCATATGTCTCGATACTTTGCCGAACCTGTCTTCTCAATTTCTTGACTCCAATGTTGGGGTTGCGGCGAGCAGATTCATAAAGTGGTGCGAGCACCTTATTGTCTTGTAGAATCGATACCAGCATTTGTGTGGCATCTTTAATCTGGGCTATCGAGAATCCACTCGTTTGTGTAAACTCAGTAGCCATTGTGGAAGATGACATTGCCGAGAAAACTGAATCTGGGGACCCTGATCTTGTAACCACATTCTCAACTTCATCTTCTTTCTGATAGTCATTGGCTGAGTATAATTCACCACCCCCATCTTCATCAGCGTTAATTTCTGGCGTTGGAGAATTATAAGTTTCCAATGAATGTAATGCTCCATTCACATCGTCAGGAGTGTAACTTGCTATTCTATTCACATTTTTTCTCCTGATTATCCAGTCCATCACCTCTTGTGGACTGTGTGTTCCCGGTCTTGACCCTCGATTTTTGCCCAGGACGTTAGCCAACTCGTCGAGAGATGGTGTTTCGAATTTAGGTTCAACATGACCTAACTGAGACGATGGTGTTTCCGGTGACGGGGAAGGTATGTCTGGGCACTCTCTGCGTGTGCCCAACAAATCTAGTTCTGGAGGTAGCGGCGGTAACTCTGAATATTGATCTTCTGTTCCTGCGCTCACAGCCTCGTAACGAGTATTAACACCTTCAGCATGCGCATAGCAACTTGGGCAGCGTAGCAGCCAAGCGGCATACGGCCCATCGCCACAATTTCGGCAATACCAAGAAGTTTCTCCGCGCATGTATAGACTTTTGATGGGAAATAACCCGTAATTATTCTGAGATATGAAGGTATGTGTAAAGCGAAAGCAACTGGAGACGCATCAGGCTGGAAAAAAAAAGCCAGCTGGAGGATGACAAGCCACCACAGCGCCAGCTGCCAGCCTTGCACAGCATGACGTCGACATCAGGCTGTGATATCCTTATCCTTATATTAAACCCTGCTATGTAACTGCTCCAAATGATCCTTCGTGCGTCGACAAGTAGCACAGCCCTGACCTCGCGGGGTATCAGATCCCGCACGCTAACGATTCGCAACGGGGAAAACAGCTAACCGTATTTGATCGATATTCTGCACACCCGCGTAAGCACCTTCCCCTCCATGTGCGGGCCATCCATCTATCTTCTTTTCTTCTCGTACATACTGTTTTGATGTCGCAGACCCCCTCTCATTCTTCCAAAGAAAGCAGCCAGCAGATGAGTTGATGGTAGAGTTAGACTCACGTTGATCCTCGACACAACCCCAAACCTCAGGTCGCTACGGTCACCCACATTCGCATCACGGAGCTGCTAGCCTCGATATTTGCAGTACAAGATCGTTTTTGCATGAGAAATGCACGCCATAGAATGCATTTAGCACGCATCAGCAATACATTCACTTTGGACACCTAGAATCACCACAGTAGGTATATGGCACAAGTCCTTTGGTATCCGTATGTTCCCGCCGAATGTCACGTGCATCTCTCTCCGCATCCCTTTTCAGGTCGCGTCGCGTTGTAGCAAATTACGATCTGATGTCAGCAGCCGTATCCATCGGCATGGGGTCGTATCTAATCACTTAGTCATCGTCCCTTATCATCTCCCTCCTCCTATCTCAAGACAAAGTTTCCAAATTGCACCGGAATCGGCACTTCGCGGCTACAGATGCATTATTCTCAGAGGACCCCTATTCCTTAAACTAACCTGTTTTTATCATCACAACATTGGATTCTTATTTTCTCCAGGCAACTTCATGGCGCCATTGAGAGCAACAATTTCACTCAGAAGCCGGAAGATCGCCAATCGCCACGGCTCCTGCTGACCACGATGCGCCGAGCAACCAACCGAGTTCTGACATTGTCATTTGCTCAGATACCGCCCACGATTGTCGCCATGTGTTTCCCATCGTATCCTCGCACTCGTCTCAACTTGCTATTTTCCCGTCGTGCGGTCTGTCGGTCAGGTAGCCACTCCCAATGGCGCTCTTAAAAAAACCGTCGTCTCGCACAGTGCGCATCGCATTCATTGCATCAAGTTTGTTTTATCTGCTCTTACTATTCGGCCGCCGCGACGGACACAGTCCCAGTCATCTCATACGCTTCACACAGCACAGCACCGCTACCGATACGCAGACACGCATATTTCCAGCCTCTGGTACTATCAGCGATAACGTTCTTTGGTCTGACTTTGCGTATGTACAATATGTCACAAACGCGGCCTACCTATGCAACTCGGTCATGATTTTCGAGGCCCTGAGGCGGCACGGGACAAAAGCTGAGCTTCTCATGATGTATCCGCAGGAGTGGCCGGTGCCGGAGGGCAATGAGGCTGAGATCAGTTATGAGGGGAGACTGTTGGCTCTGGCAAGAGATGAGTACGGGGCAAAGCTTGCGCCGATTCAGGTGAAAAGATTTGTCAATAAGGATGATCCTACATGGCAGGATAGCTACACCAAGTTGTTAGTATGGAACCAGACGCAGTACAAACGAGTCATTTCCTTGGACTCGGATGCGACAGTTTTGGATGTAGGCCTCCCTTAGGCTGAATGTTGACGCAATAAAATACGGTTTGCTGACAACAACTAGCACATGGATGAACTCTTCTTACTGCCATCGACGCCAGTCGCAATGCCCCGAGCACACTGGTTTGACGATTTTTCTCTATCCTCACAAGTCATTGTCGCTGAGCCATCCGAGGAGACTTGGCTGCGTGTGGAAAACGCCGCCGACAACCACGAAGGCAACGATTACGACATGGACATTCTGAACAAATTATTCATAAATTCCAGCATGGTCATCCCACATCGCAAGTACAATTTTCTATCAGGCGAATTTCGCAAATCACCACACGGTCATGAAGCATACCTTGGTTCGCGGACGGAAAAGTGGGATCCTAGAAAGGCATTGGCAGAAGCCAAGTACGTGCACTTTTCCGACTGGCCGATGCCGAAACCATGGATAGCTCCGACAAGTAAGCAGCTAGAGGAAACTTTGCCAAGATGTTGGGACCTGGAGGGCGTGGGGGAAGACTGCACTGATCGCTTCCTCTGGTTGGAGCTCAGGGATGACTTTTCCAAGCGCAGAAAGGTATGTTTGATTCACTGGAGAGCGTTCGAATAGAGCTAATATTTGCAGCGAATCTGCGGAAAGAGCTATGACTATGTGCAGAAGCAGCTGAAATAATAAGAGTTTTTTTTGGCGTTTAGGCGTTTATCGAGATACCACATGATTGCATTTATCCTCTATTACAATAGAAGGTCTAGATTTTATCGAAGTTTTGTAAACGCGGTGGTAGTGCTATGTATTCAATTAGGCACTGTAGCGATAAACGCAAGAAACATAACCAGCATTTTTCACGTATATTGTAACTGCGACACGCGACTATGGTCATGGTGATATGATTAAGGTTAGAGCGTACTTAGGTGGTGTTGTATGTGGAGCGGCTGCGAATGGCAATGCCAAGACGTTGGCGCTAACATGGCCGACTTTCGAGATTCTTGAGCTGTCGCGACGCGCATCCATTACTTGTCGCGCCACTCCATACCACCCCATCACGATACTCACAACATAACTAGTCGGCCCTCACTTCGTACGAACAAATCACGATGCCAAAGTTCTTCTGCGACTACTGCGATGTCTACCTTACGCACGACAGTATGAGCGTGCGTAAGGCGCACAACAACGGTCGCAACCACCTGCGCAACGTCCAGGCTTATTACGAGCAGATATCCAGTGACCAGACACAGCAAGTCATCAACAGTATTACCGACGCATACAACACAGAAGGACAGGCGAATCCGTTGTTCCAACAGAATCTGAACGGAGGCTTCCCTGGAGGACCGATGGGAGGGATGCCGGGTATGATGCCGCCAATGGGTATGCCGCATGGCTTCCCGCCGCCAGGTGAGTTTACAGATGTTCATGATGAGCAACATGTTAAAATGTAGTAGGTATGCCGCCAATGGGTGGAATCCCACCGCCGTTCATGGGCCGAGGAGGTCGTAAGTTACTCTGCAGCCAAGATGCACAATGCTATACTGATTACTCTGTAGCTCCGATGCCACCCAACGGAATGCCTTTCCCCCCGCCGAACGGTATGCCCCCGGGTCCTGGTGGAATGCCTCCGAATATGCCGTTCCCTCCACACATGGGCGGCGGCCCTCCTCAGGGAATGCCACCACCATTCCCCTTCCCGCCACCAGGGAATGCAGGCTCACCACCCGGAGGTATGCCATTCCCGCCACCGGGAGGCATGAGCATGCCACCTGGAGGACCACCTGGTAGGTTCCCCCCTGGACCCCCAGGACGTTAGATGCGGTCTGGGTCTGGTATAGTGCCTGCGGGAACCATGTTCAACCACAGTGATGACGAGCATGGACGGCTGCACGGGGGACTGATGCACGCGGGACCGATGCCTAGCTTTGGTCACGAAAATTATGGACTTGCGACGGGCGATACGGGCGTGAAGAGGAAGAGGGAAAATGATGAAGATATACCCGGAGTTTCCATGAGAGGTGGAGGAGCGGGACCTCGAGCGGCCACGGGCGCGAATGCCGTGGTTCCGACGTGGACCGAGAGGCTGTAGCAAGAATCCATGGGGTAAATTGCGATACATGTATGTTTCTTCCTTGTTTTGACAGGAGACCATCAGCTCATTGTCAATGCAGTCATCGTTTACAGTAATAGATTAAAGTTTACATGAACACCTTGGGCCACCATCTCCTCACTGACTACTGCCTTTGTTTCCAAACAACTTGCGCGCATACGTTTCAACATCAACCATGCTCATCACCAACTCATGGTTTGCAGTCTTTTCCTTGTCCCAATACACGCTGTCCCTCGCAAACACCAGCCGATACTTTTTGATTTGATGATCCGGGTCAGCTTTGAGCTCAGCCTCCAAGTATGGGATCGACCACTTTTCCCTGCCAATCTCTTTGCCACTCACGTGTCCAATAACATCCGCCAGCTCCTGGTAGCTCACTGTATCTCCAGCGATATACAGGATGCAATTCTCCGCCTCGACATGTTTTGCGACAATCTTCGCCAGCACGCGCCCAATATCATCCACATCCGTCACTGTGACCTTGTGCTCCCAATTCTTCAAACACCTCACCACGATCTTCCCGCGGTCCTCTCGGCTCCTATCAATAATGCCCCAAGAGCCTTCGAACAGGAAGCTCATGAAAATGCCTGTCGACACGATAGTCCAGCACACTCCACTCTCCTCTGCTCTTTCCCGGAGTAAATCTCGGACAGCCTTTTGTTTTCCAAATAACGGCATCTTTCCCTCTACGTCGCCTGTGACGTCGTAATCGACGCCCCACTGCCAGGGGAAGAACCATATCTTGCTCTTTCCCTGTGCTTGGCGTATCTTGCCTGCTTGGAGGACCTCGTTCGTCAGTTTTGTGACGCTATCGATGTTAGAGGAGAAGCCGGTAGCGGTGATGAGAATGTCGAAAGCTGCAAAGGCTTTGGCGAGTGAATCAGAGGGTGTAGTGAGGTCGATGGCAAGGTAAGAGACGGTAGGGTAAGAAGCCAGGAGGGAAGCATGCTTTGAGGGATTGGGGGTGCCGACTGTGAGGTGTGTAGATGGGAGGGGGATGAGATGGGGGAGAAAGGCAGAGCCTAGTTCGCCCAGGCCGAGGAGGATGATTTTGGTGGTTGGCATTATTGAGTTGGGGGGATTATCAGATATGATGGAGATTGACATGCAACTCTATTCCACATTATACGTTATACATGAAAACCAACAGATTCTTCTATGAAATTCGTGGAAGAAGCGCGGAGTTAAGGCTTGGCAGGGCGGAGATAATGAAGTTGAGGTCTTGGTCGTTTCGTCACATGGCGAGATTGTTACGAAAGCAAACGGTAGCGCTATGCCACATGCTGGATACAGGAAACAGGGACAGCGGAGATTATGAAATCAGGGTACAGAGTGCCGATGGATGTCGGAGGGTAATGTGCATCGCGAAGATTACCAGAGGGAAAGTAACGACAAGACATTCTCGATGTCACGGCACAAAGTAAAATAACCCAATTTCTCACTTCAACATAGACATAATATTCAAGTAGGCCGACGATGCCCTCAGATGCTAAAAGTGGGCATCGTCAGGGCTGACCAGGAACTTGGCACTAGTCCGCATCGCGCTAGTCGGTTCGCTTATTGGAATTTCGTCGTCGAGGTGTGCGCTCCTCGTCGAACAACTTCAGGACTGTCCATCAACACCCGAGTGCGCCCACGTCCATCCTCAGAGAAGCCACTCATCGCAATCATGGCCGAGCAACTCGTACTTCGTGGTACCCTCGAGGGCCACTCCGGCTGGGTCACCTCCCTGGCTACCTCCCTGGAGAAGTGCGTAGACGCGAATTATCTCGCACCATTTGCGCGCAGTACTGACGAGCAGCCAGCCCCAACATGCTCCTGTCCGGCTCGCGCGACAAGACTCTGATTATTTGGAACCTCACTCGTGACGAGACCTCATACGGTTACCCCAAGAGGAGTCTGCACGGCCACTCTCACATTGTGTCCGACTGCGTATGTTTTACCCCTTGAAAATAAGCAATTGGCTAGCTAGAACGCAAGGACAGCTGAGCTGACAATTGCGGCAACAGGTCATCTCCTCTGACGGCGCCTACGCTCTTTCCTCATCGTGGGACAAGACCCTCCGCCTTTGGGAGCTTTCCACTGGTGTAACCACCCGCCGCTTTGTCGGCCACACCAACGACGTCCTCTCCGTCTCCTTCTCCGCCGACAACCGCCAGATCGTCTCGGGATCCCGCGACCGAACCATCAAGCTGTGGAACACTCTCGGTGACTGCAAGTACACCATCACCGACAAGGGCCACACCGAGTGGGTCTCGTGCGTGCGCTTCTCCCCCAACCCTCAGAACCCCGTCATCGTCTCCGCTGGCTGGGACAAGCTCGTCAAGGTGCGTACTTTTATTTTCACACGATTCCCATTACCCCTTTTTCATGATGATTACCTATGTATTTGCTACTTCAGAGCTTCGGCTATGAGACAATTATCACCTAGTACTGATACCACACCTCCTACTCAATTCTCACACGCAAGTTCTTTCACGTCAGAAACTAATCCCATCTGATAGGTTTGGGAACTCGCCTCGTGCCGCATTCAGACCGACCACATTGGTCACACCGGTTACATCAACACCGTCACCATCTCGCCCGATGGCTCCCTGTGCGCCTCCGGTGGCAAGGACGGAACCACCATGCTCTGGGACTTGAATGAGTCAAAGCACCTCTACTCCCTCTCCGCCGGTGACGAGATCCACGCCCTCGTCTTCTCGCCCAACCGTTACTGGTTGTGCGCTGCCACCGCTTCAAGCATCATCATCTTTGACCTCGAGAAGAAGAGCAAGGTTGACGAGCTTAAGCCTGAGTACATGGAGGTTGGCAAGAAGAGCCGGGAGCCCGAGTGTGTCTCCTTGGCCTGGAGCGCCGACGGCCAGACCTTGTTCGCTGGATACACCGACAACTGTATCCGCTGCTGGGGCGTCATGGCGCGGGGATAAGCTAGTGCATGTTGGGTAGTGAACGAATGGGGCGTAACGGGAAAATCACGATTCCACATCTTCTGTAGCATGCCATGGGTTATGATTGATGCTCATGCGGGATGGTTTGGGACTCTTCCGGCATCATGTCCAGGCGCTTAGAGTCAATGAAAATTCTCAAGTCCATGGTTGTATATGTTGATGTGTGCTGGAGGGTTTGATGTTTAACGAAATAATGGTTTTTATGTGGCTGGTGTGATGATGGATATAGTCGCTTGAGCTTGTAGTCTGCCCACACGTACAAAGATACCCAGTGTGGTCTACGACTCATGTATAGACCTTGACGGCTTAACTCAAAAGCATATCACTTATCGTTTCCGTTTCTGCATTGTTGCCATGCCTTGCCTTGCCTGTCTCATACATCGACCTCTACATGAATACTTGAGGGCATCATACAATCATGTATCCAACAAACATTGACTTTGACATTATATACACCTTCCAAAACACCTATCCTACACATCCATCATTATGTGTAACTACATATCCAGACCCAACTCAACACCGTCCATCCAATCCTCCTGTGTCTCATCCCTGGCTTCTTCAAACTGATCCCAAGACGAGACCTCCGAAAAAGGCTCATCCAACACCTTCCCGCCACCAAGTCTCCAGCACCCGATCTCGCACTTGCAGGGTGGCGGGAAGAGATGTCTCGGGTCCACCTGCACTTCTTCCTCTTCCCCTTTTTTCTCCTCCTTCTTCTCATAAACCCCCACGCCTCTTGCCATGATGGCGGGAATATCCGGATTATGAATCGCAAACGGATCAGCCTCATCGCCCCAGTCCGCTTGGTCCTCCCAATACACCCTGTTTCTTTCAAAAACAACCTGCCACTTCCTCCTCACCCATCCCTGCACATCACCCTCTAGTGTAATATGAGGGATATGTTGCAAGAACTCGTGATCCCACGCAGACTCCAATATCCAATCGACGATAGCCCCGCTATCGCATACATGCGGTCTACAGCGCGCCTCGCCGTAGTCGTATTCTTCAAGCGTCTCGCACCACACGGGGTCCTCGGTCTCATACCATGGGTTGGCGGCTTTGAAGGCATCGCCGAAGTGTAGGATGAGGTGGCTTGTGTGAGCCAGGAAGATTTCAGCGGCGGAAGGGAGGAACCGGTCGTCGTTGGGGGAGGGGGGCAGGAAGACGGCGAAGAGGTTGAAGTATTCTCGCGCCGTGAGGTCGAGACGGATTGTGGAGAGGGCGTGAGGCGGGGGCGGGGCATAGGGACCAGCGCGGAAGCAGTGGGAAGTGTGATGCCTTCTCCAAGACAAATCCGCATATCTTCAGCACCCGTTGTGGTTGTCCAGAGGCAATACGCGGGGATTGGAAAAGCGGGAACAAGGGATTTCGCGTGCAGACTTAGCAAGAGGTGTGTCATGTAGAAGTCGTATCCTGATGTAAATGTCTTGACGTCCCGCTTGTAGCCTAGGACGCGCACCTTGTGGTAATCTGGTACCAACTCGCTAGGCAGACTGGAAAGGATGGGGGAAGAGGCATTTTTGTAGGAAATCGTGTAAAGGGGCGCTTTCGAGGCGTCGACGACGAATTCGGGGGTGCCGATGTAATGGGTGAGGACGAGGAGGAGGAGTTCCGCGGGGAGCTGGCGGGATGCGGTTTCGAAGGTTAGGATGGGGGCAGAGGAAGACATGTTTTGTTGATGGGATATGTGCTTGTCCTGGGTTTTTGGTTTCGAGTTGGGCGGTAGGTGGGTGCTGGAAATGTGTCGAGATATACGTGAAATATAGGACTGGGTATAAGAAACCAGGAGTGGAAGATGCAAGGAGGTGGTGCGCGGTTTATTCAAGCTGCTGAACTGTGACAGTCGGCCAGGAGGTGGTGTGAACTCTTGTTGTGATTGTGAATTCGTGGCAATCAAGTTTGGCTGCGTTAGATGTGAGCGATGTGGCCAGCAACTCACAGTTGTTGAATAGAACTTACCTGAGAATACGTGTGCTGATTGAAGTCGTGTGGACGAGAGTATTGTTGAGAATATCCAGTGGGAACAGGGGGCTGGGTCAGTAATGTGTAGCAGTGTTGGAGTGGTTTCTCAGGATATCAGACGGCGGAGCCTTTCATATACTAGTGCCAAGCAATACACGAAGATTACAACTACAACTCAACCATGGTTTGAGATCTTTCGCTTCCCTCTCTACCTATGGTACCAAAGTGCTCCACTGAACATAGGCGAACCAGAGAAACTTGATGAAGACTTGTGTAAGCTGTTCTCGCTTACGCAGTTGTAGGAAATGTGATGTAAGACTTGAAATTTCAACGTAAACGGAGTAATGATGAGATACAATTACAATCTCAGTGAATATTTTCATAATAATCTTGAGTTATGGAGACAAGTATTATACAATTTTTGAATGCTTGCTAGGTTGTCATGATCGTCGTTTGGCGGGCGCTGGACTCCAACCCTGTGGTTGCCACTCCTGACTCTGGGCGGCTTGCTTCCATGGCGAGTCCTTTGGCTCCTTGCGCATTCGCTTCCGTGGCGTGGCATCCTGCGCATCGTCTTCGACTGCTGGTGCTGCTACTGGTGTCGGCGGGTCGCGTGCTACTTGCTCAGGCTGTTTTTGCTGTGCTGCCCTGTCCCGTATCTCTTGATCCACATTCATCTGCGTGACGCCGCTGTCAGGGTCTTTTGACTGCAACATCTGCATGGGCTGTTGTTTATCCGGCGCATCGAGTGCTGACGGCTTCTCTGCCCATCTCGCGTCTGCCTGAGCTGCCAGTTGCTTTATACGCGCCTGACGTATCAGGTCTTGGTGTTGTTCGTCGACAGTGGGCGGTTCGAAGCGCGTGTGCCGAAGCCACTGCATCCATGACGCTGCATAGCAACCGTCAACAAAATCCTAACTTCTGATATAAAGCACGTACGCGATATTTGCACGTCACCCAGGTGGGTGCTCCGGCTATATTTTGCTATCCTCCTGTTGCGCAGGGCGTGCAATGCTTCCTTGAATTCCCAAAAAGTGTTGCCCTGGAGATCGAAGCCTATGCGTTGAATTAGAGGAGGCAAGCAAGGATAGGCTGGAATCTCAATTCCACGACTTTTGCCTCACCCACAAGCCACTTCTTGCGCCATGGAAAGCGCTGCATCTTCCACTGATACCATGCTCGTCTAATTGGGCCTGGTGTGCCAGCCATGTTGGGTTTCGAGGTGTTGGCGAAGAATCCTGAGCGGCTGAGGCGATTTGGCCGCGCAGCCGGTGACGTTGGGGTGGGTGGCTGGTGCGCAGACACATGGGCAAGCATTCCCCCACCAGGTGCCAGCTTCTTCTCCACACCGCATGCCAGCATTGCTTTTACACGACAACAACAACATAGATATCTTGTAGTGCCCTTGACGGGACCTTTGCTTTATTCTACTATACCCTCGCCAGCTGTCCACATTCTTCACCCCCAGAGTCTCACGTGCTCAACCACTATACTGCCGAACTTGGGAGCCTGATTTGCGCCCAACTCGCCCAAGATGGCGTCTGTAACGTCGTTGGACCAGGACATGAAGAAGCTGCGGATGGACCGGTATACCCCCAAAGCCGCAAATGAAGTTCGCAGCTGGATTGAAGATGTTCTCGGCGAGCGACTGCCGCCCGGTGACCTCTTGGATGCGCTCAAAGACGGGACCGTATTATGCAGGTACGGCACCCTTAGCAGAACAACCAAATGGCTGGTAAAATGCTAACATAGAATAGACTTGTAAACATGGCAATTCCCACGCCCGTTCGGTTCAAAAAGTCGGCAATGCCGTTTATTCAGATGGAGAATATTTCCCACTTCCTCCGCGCGTGCGAGCAACCGCCTCTAAACATGCCCGCCCACGATCGCTTCCTCACCGTCGATCTCTACGAAGCAAAAGATCCCGCCCAGGTGCTGCAGTGCTTAGGCGCTTTTAGCCGAGTCGCCAATGCAAAGAACCCGTCAAACTTTCCTACAACAATTGGGCCAAAAAGGGGACCTGGGCCCCTAAGTCCTTCAGTGACTGGCGGTGGAGGCTATACCAGCACTCCTATGGCATCGCCGGGTTTTGGGCGAAGCCGGGGTCCAAGCACAGCCAGCAACACAAGTGGTTCGAGCACATTCAACCCGCTGGCACGGCCACCTGCAGAACGGACGCTTAGCGCCGCACGCACTGGAGGCTCGGATACGTCGTACACATCCAATGGGCTGCCCAAGTCACCACCGGGCGGAGTGAGCAGCTGGAGCAAAAAGGTCGACGAGGGTAGTACCGCACCAGCATGGAATATTCACCAGTATGGCTACATGGGCGGCGCCAGTCAAGGCAACCAGGGCATTGCATTTGGCGCACGTCGCCAGATTACGAGTGCAGGGCCACACGTACCGAACCTTGCAGAGAAGGAGCGCTTGCGCAGGGAAAAGGCGGCTGAAGAAGAGCGACTACGTTTGCAGGCAGAGGAGGCTGAGCACAAGCGTCGCATTGAACGCGAAGCCGAAGAAGAGCGCATCCGCATAGAGGAGGAGCAAAAGTGGGAAGAGGAGTCGCGCAAACAGCAAGAGGCGAAACAGGCCCGACTCGACCAGCAAAAGCGTCAGTGGGAAGAGCAAGAGCGGAGGTGGAAGATTGAAGAGGAAGCGCGGCTGCGTGAAGAGCGGGAGGCGCAAGCTCAGCTCGAGGCTGAGACCCGACGAAAGCGTGCTGGCAGTGATGCCAGGCTCAAGGGACAGTACCTGAGCCAGTATCAAGCTGAGCAAGCCAACAAGCCGCGTAGTCGCCGTGGAAGCTTCGATGAGCCCAACGCCGAGCGCGACCGCATACGTGAGCTAGAGCAACAGCTTGAAGAGGCCAAGGAGCGCGAGCGTCAGTACCAGGCTGAGCGTGAGGGACGACTACAAGAGAAAAAGGTGCGTTCTCGCTCAAAGAGTCGCACACGTGAACGATCCAAGAGCCGAGCTCGACCAGCGCCTCCACCCCGCGCCCCATCACCGCAAGACAGCAACGTCTCATGGGCACAGGAAGATGACCGTGCCTATCTTCGTAAACAGTGGGATCAGACACAAAGACAACCCGCGCGACCACTGCCCGAGCCAACGCCGCCGTCTCTCCCTACCCGACCACTACCAGAGCCGGCAACACGACCTCTCCCTGACCCTGCCATATACGCAAAGCAGAGCCGAACAGACCGCTACCTCGCCTCGAACCCGGCCCCAGCGCCCCCAAAGCCCCAAACCTACATCCCGCCAGAGCTCACATCTACCTCTGAGCAGCGCGGCGAAGATGCCCGTCGAGCCGCATCACAAGCAAAGACCAAGGCTGCTGGTTGGGCCTCCAAGTCTCTCCTCGAACGCGAAATGGAGCGCGAGCGGGAACGCCAAAAGGAGTGGGAGGAGTCGCAGCGCGCCCTCCAAGAAGCGTCCAAGGACCCCAACGCAGGAACTGGCTCAGGACAGAGCTGGGACGTCAACCAGTACGGGTACATGGGCGGTGACAACCAGAACAAGTTGGGTGGCATTGGCGGTGGAAAGAGGCAAATCATCGGCCCCAGGCCTTTCGGTCCTCGCTAAGTATGAAGTCTTGCAAGATCGTTTGAGTTTTAGTGGGAAAAGGCAGGGCCGGAATGTTTCATGTTTTGGCAGATTTGACAGATTGTGCATTTTAGCAAGCGTATTACCCCATCCGTCTTTTTCTTTTGTATAAAAAGGAAAGGAAGTACTCTTCATTAGTTTAGATAACAGTAGTCGTAGTGTTTGGTGAATAATAAACGCAGATCGTTGTCTCTTTAAGAATGTTTAGTATGGTGAGACGGACTGTGGCAGCACCTAACACATGCTCGCGGAATCAAGATCGGAATCCGGAATCCAGCGCCGCTAAACCGCATGCGAATCTTACCTCGGCATAATCCTGCTTTCCCCGTCTTCCATCGTAAGCTTCCCCGAGCTCTAACAACAACAACCGAACTGAACTCTCCCACGTGTTCAGTTTACTTTACAATAGAGCTGTACCAGTACACACTGAGTGTATATTTCTCACGCAATCAAGTGTCACTAGCACAGAGAAGGGAAGACTTTTTGACAACAAGAGAGGAACAACATAGAAGAGAAGAGAAATAAGGAAAGCAAGCAAAGAGAAAGAATACAAGCATACATGATGGCAGAAGCGTATCAGAAGGAGTTCTTTAATGTCACGTTTCCGGCGGAATACGTGGCGCATGTTGAGATTAATCGGCCGGAGAAGATGAATGCTTTCAAGGAGGTGTGAGTACTGCTATTCTTTTATGAAGCTATTTATTTGGTTAGAAGAGGTTGTTGTGTAAAGATGGGGAGACAGACTTGTCACATAACCAACAGAGCCATCATAACCCATGCTCTTCCAAAAGCCCCATACTAACCTTCCCAGAATGTGGCAAAACCTCAATCAAATCTTCAACACCCTCTCCACTGACCCCTCCGTCCGCTCCATCATTCTCAGCGGTGCCGGCCCCCGCGCCTTCACCGCAGGCCTCGACGTAAACGCTGCCTCGACCTCCGGGCCACTCGCCTCCTCCAAGACCCCAGACCCAGCCCGCACCGCCAACGCCATCCGCCGGCATGTCCTCGACTTCCAAGCTTGCATCAGCAGCATTGAAAAGTGCGAAAAGCCCGTCATCTGCATCATCCATGGCATCGCCTACGGCCTAGCCCTCGACATGAGTCTCGCCTGCGACATCCGCATCTCGACCCAAGACACCAAGTTCTCCGTCAAAGAAGTCGATATCGGCATTGCCGCAGACATCGGCACTCTATCGCGTCTGCCTCACGCAGTAGGCAACGCCAGTTGGGTCAAAGACGTGGCGTTGTCCGCGCGTATCTTTGGGTCGGAGGAAGCGCTGCGTGTGGGGCTGGTCAGCAATGTGTACAAAGATAAGACGGAGGCGGTGGCAGAGGGGATCAAGTTAGCGAGTCTGATTGCGAGCAAGAGTCCCGTGGCTGTGCTAGGGACGAAGGAGTTGTTAAATTATTCAAGGGATCGGCCTGTAGAGGAGGGGTTGAGGTATACGGCTGTTTGGAATATGGCCATGTTGCAGACGGAGGATGTGCCGAGGGCTATGGGGAGTGGAATCAAGAAAACGGTGCCGAAGTTTAGTAAGTTGTAGGGGGTTTGATAGTGGCGAAACAGGCTGTATGTGGATGCTTTGTTGTATCTGTTAGGGTCGATTTTGATGCTGCAAGACACAGAATCCTAAAGTAAACACATTGTCAGGAGTTGTGAATAACAGTGGTGGATTGATACGCCTGTATGGAAACACCGTAGCAATTCAGACGATGACATGAAGCACCTGACACTTCGGAGTCAAACGCCGTGGACAAGCATCATCTTCTCGGTGTCATCCTCCGTAAAACACCCAGTCCCACAACAGTCCCCTTCGCACATGCACATGCAAAAATCACATGAAACTACCCACATATCCGCCCACCCACTCGCACCACCACTATTTCCTGTTACCAAGCCCGTACCAAACTTCGGTCCCGCCCGCTCCTGCCCCATCCAATCCCTTTCGACCTATTGCAACATGTCCACATGCACCCCAGATGTCTAAATCCAGCGATGACGTCACACATTGACTACCCTCAACCTACTCCCGGCTTATTCTCCGCTCTCCATCAACAACGTTCATCCCGTTTCGGAATCTCCCGAATACAGACTTGACGCTTCTAACTAATCCAGCTCCTCTCATTCGACCAAAGCCAACCCTATCCTCTTAACTACCGACTTGCGCAAACCTTGTATCTGATCTAGATTGTCTCAAGTACGGCACTATTGACTTTACAACAGCCATCACCCCACGCTCGTCATTGATGCAATTTCATAGTCTTGCCAACGCAGATATCGCGCAACTAACTACTATCGCGCAATTTCATCCATGTTCGTTGGGGATAGTGGAGATTGGCTGTGTTTTTCCCGATCTGAGCGACGATCTACCGGTAGATCGTCAGTCTGTGCTGGGGTTAGGCGGGTGGTAAGGTCTCCGACGATCAGGGCCATGGCGCCGTGCGGCCTATGGGGGGGTTGTTTTTTCCTTGGTTCGCATCGAGGGTGATTACCGGGGGTTAGGCGGGTAGTTGAATCGAGATTAGAAGTTCGAAAGAGAGAGGCTAGAGGATGGGTTGATGAAGTTAAGAAGTGGACAGTACCTGCTGGATTGAGCCTGGGAAGTTGTTTGTGTTGTCGACGACTTCTTTTCTTCCTATACACTTGTGGACTTTTGTTTGTGGTATACACCTTTCGTTGTTCAATATGCGTTTCACAGTCACCGTCTCCATCGTCAGCTTTGCTGCTGTACAAGCGTTATCCCTACCGCTATTGGAGGCCCTCGATGTCACAGATATCCTCGCAAGCCTCAGTCCCATCAACGAAAATGACCCTCGCTTCAGAAACCACGTCCCCCCCGGCTACGGCGACGGCAAGTCCCCTCAATCCCCCAATCACCTTCACACCCATCTAACCAACACCAAGTCCGCTCCCCCTGCCCCGGCCTAAACACACTCGCAAACCACAACTTCATCCACCACTCGGGCAAAGGCATGACAATCCCACACCTAATCAAGGGCCTAGCCCAAGGCATGAACATGGGCGCAGACTTTGCCACTTTAATCGGCGCCACTGGCCTCCTCGCCTCTGCAGACCCCCTCTCCCTCTCCTTCAACCTCGACGACCTAAACCAGCACAACTTCCCCACCGAACACGACGTCAGCATCTCCCGGCCAGACGCCTACTTCGGCGACGCCACCGCCTTCAACGCAAGTGTTTGGAACGACTACATCTCCTTCTTCTCCGGCAAGATGTCTACGGACCTTGATACCACGGCAATAGCGCGGTTCTCCCGCTTCGAAAACAGTAAGCGGTATAACCCCGAACTGGTATTTGGACTTAAAGAAGAGATTCTGAGTCTGGCGGAGAATTCGCTGTTGCTGCAGACAATGGGGGGTGCGGGGTCTGACAAGGCGGATTTGCGGTTCGTGAGGACGTTTATTCAGGAGCAGAAGTTGCCGTTTGAGCTGGGGTGGAGGCCGAGTAAGGCGCCTATTACGCTGCTGACTTTGGGGGCTATGAGTGTGGAGATTTTGAAGAAGAGCCCGGATACGGGGAATGAGTTGGGGACGGTTACGAAGTAAGTTGTTTTTCTGTAGGTGTTTGAGCAGTACATAGGCTAACGTATGATTAATAGGGATTCTTACAAGGATATTCTTATTCTTGGGGCGGGAGGACTGGAGATTTTGGGCAATTTGACACAGGGGATTAGTGAGACGCTTGGGCTTTGATAGGGGGTGGTAATGTGGACTTGGGGGAAGGGGGAAGGGATCTTGGGTTTGGAGAACAGTGGATGACTTTTTGTTCCTTTTTAGCAGTCGAGAATGGCCGGTAAAAGTATATTATAACTGTAATTCACATACTACAAATACCGCGTTGTGAAAATCTGCTACTACTAAGCATTGATATCACTTAATTTATATTTATATTTATACTTATGGCTGTAATCCACATGCAGATATTATCCATATTGAACTATATAACCCAAAAGCTCATGCATTTCCTCATCGTCATCTCACAGCAGCCAGGAAAACACAGACACCTTTCCAATCCCTCCTACCCCTGTCATCTCTAACACTAACCTAACTGCCCTATCTCACCTAAATCAAATCAAAAAATACATCTACAAGCGCTAACATATACTATCACCTTTACCTTCACCACTCCCAACACCCTCTTGAGATTCACAACCCACCTCCTGTACCACTATCTACCGCGGAAAATCTTCCCTTGATAGAATCATCCTACGTCTCCGCCCAAGCTGCTGTCATATACCGGAAGGGCAGATCATACGTGTTTGTGGGTTAGTATGGCGGAGTGAGTTTGGGAGATTGTGCTGGCGGCAACGGAGGGTGTTGGTGGCCAAGGAATAGATTTGAAGAAGACAGGGGTGATTAGAGATTGGTGTTGGAGGTACTGCTATGCTATTGCAGCGCTTGCACATGTCAAGTCACACATAAGAAACATATGCTTGAAGAAACTCATCAGCGAGAGAATTACTAGTGGATTCTATATTTCGGAGTAAACGATAGACGATTGATCAAAGAAGGAGCTCAATGCCCAAAAAGTACAGCAGATTCTGCTTAAAAGACATTACCCTTTGTCTGCTTGCCCTTCTCCTCTTCCAACTTCTTAACGTTGATATTCTTCCACACGTAAATGCTCGCTAGACAAAGTGGTACAAAGCAAGCACCCGTAATAACCATCTTGCGCTGCACATCAGCATATGCGCCAACGACGGCATCGCGCTCCGGTGTCCCGTCCAAGAAAGACTTTTGGATTTCAATACTTCCGAAAATTTTGCGGTAGTCGGCCTTGCTGGATTCGGGGAGGCGCATGAGGAGCTGCTCGGGAAGCAGATTGTTCCACATGGCACCGGCGATGGCGTAGCCAATGGAAGAACCAAAGCTGCCGAAAAGACCCCAGAGCGCGTTGATGACGGCGATTTCTTGATGTGAGACGGGTACCATGACGGCGAGGTTAGCGCACGTGGCAAAGAATCCGGTTCCAAGACCGATGAGGATTTGGGTGAAGGCAAGGACGCCAGGGTTGGTAGATGGTGCCCGGAAGGGAATGAGCAGAGCAGTTCCGAGCAAGACAATCGGTACACCCGTATAAGCTGTCCACTTGAAGTTGCCCGAGTACCTGATCCACCATGCGATGAAGGGACTGGAAAAGGCCGACGTGAGGGAAAAGGCGTTGAGGATGTAACCAGCGTTGGTGATGCTTTGCCTGTGAACAACAATAAGGTACGAGTTGAAGTATCCGTTCCAGCAAAAGACCGAGAGGAACATGACGCCGTAGAGAAGGCAGGATCCGACAATGGTACCGTTCCTGAGGTATTTCCAGGGAAGGAACTGGACGGGGGCGAATTTGGCTTCCCAGAAATAGAAGACGGGGAATAGGACTAGTCCGAGTACGATACAGGCAATGATGTAGGGTGTTTTCCAGCCGTTGGGAGCATATGATACCAGGCTAAAGGGTAGCACGAACAGGCACCATGCGCACATGATGAGAATGATGCCAAAGACTAAGTTGTTGTTAGCAAGTTTGGGATAGAGGCATGACATATTGACTTACTATCAAACTGGACAAAGTAATACCAAACAGACTGTAACGGGGTACGACCGGACTCGACTTTCTTAACAAGACCAGCCTTCCTGGCTTTGCGATACATGAACATCATGACAATCAGGGCTGGAAGACAGCAGCCAATGAAGATGATGATGAATGCACCAAATGCCCAACGCCAATTGTTCTGGTTCCAAAAAAGGTCGGCGATTCGAGGTCCAGCAAAAGTACTTGCGATACGAGGCGTGCCGTTGAGCGTAAATATAATCATGCGGTTCTTGAGCGTGGTCATGTCGGCGGTCATCATGTCGGTAACGTATAGGACACCAATGTGGCCAGCCCAGTAGAGAACGTGACCGGCAATGTACATTTGGACACTGTTGCAGCCAGCCTTGATTGCCATACCAACGACGATGATGATGAGCATCATGAAGAAGCCCTCGACGCGACCGAATACATCAATGACCTTGGCAGTAACGAGTGGGATGCAACCAGATAGGGCCGTGGCCATGACACTTCCGACTGTCAAGAGGCCATGTCTACCAAAAGACGAGGTTATGAACGGGTTGAGTGACGAGTCAATGGCGTTTTGCAAGAATGCGACGAATTCAATGAGGTACAACCTAGAGGGTCAGAATGGGCGTAGGAATAATATGAATTGTGCGTACAAGATGAACATGGTGATCAAGGTCTGCTTGTTCCAGATCTCAGTGATGGCGCGCACACGCTGGACACCGTTTTGGAATGTCTCCGACTCGACAGATTTGTCGTCGCCATTGCTGCCCGTCTCGTGGGTGTGTACGTTTGGATCGCCATTCTTCTCGACATCGATATCCGTGGAAGGAAAGCCTTGTACGGGTCGCACCGCATCAGTCGCAAGGTGTTCGGACATGATAAAATACACGCCAAGCAAGGCAGGGTATGAGATGATGGCGCAGTCGAATGCCGGCTCCAACGCTGGCAGCTGCAGACACTCTTAAGCATTCCCAAGACCCACTGTCCGACAACCGGACAAGGTCACAGGTACCGGAATAACACCTGAAAATTTTGCCTTCTGTTTCCCGGTGGCTTGGATCATCTCCCACTGTTCGGGCGTGTTGGAATGCCTAGACAGGCATGGTAACGGCTAGATGATCAGATAAGTGCTAGATGATCTGATAAGATTCTGTCATGCGGCGAGCTGATTGCTGGCTCTCCCTGGGCCCGCTCCTGCCCCACCAAGACACTGCATTGCCAAGGCCTTGGCCCGTCCCTTCACTGGCGGCTGTCGCTTCCAGCTCGTTCAATCGAGCAGTCTGCACCGAAACTACGTTTCCGGGCGGATCAGGAACAGTGGGTTCTTTACCCAGGAGATGGCGAGGTGGATCAAATCGTTGTTCAGGCGTGCTGCCGTTGCTCAGGTTTTCGTGGGCTGCACGCGTTTGGCAGGAACACGACTTGTTCGCTCATGCTGAGATTTGTCGCAAATGCAATCACGATTGGGATGGTACAAGCGATGATGTTGAAGCTTGTCCCTGATGGAGTTAATCGTGGTGCCAAAGTAGAAAAGGGACGCGCGGATGAGAATTCAGCCAGCGGAAGTGTTAGCAGCACTAGTCGGCTATTTTAGGTTGCGATGACATCTAATCTTATCAGATTTTCGCCTTTTGCTCGGCCCAACGCGTACGCCGGTCTCCTGACCACGCCACCTTCTGGCTCTCGCGGATGGAACCTACATCTGTCTTCAAGGCTTCGGAAGCGATTGCGAACATTGAAGCACCCACTGCGTGCATCATCATGTGACATAATGTCCCACAAGCCACCTCGCCGCTCAACTCAGACTTGCGAGATTCTTGTTTTTCACTTTGGTAAGCTCGAATCACACATCACGTCCTTCAGATGGATGAGTCTCGGCGGGTCGATCGGAAATCACGTGATAGCATAGCCTTGGCAGAATTGCTTAGCGTCTGCGTCCACAGGCGGCCTCCTCCAACCTTAGAAGGCTTCGTCCTCGACGCCTCTTTACGCCACAAGCTCAACAAACCGCAGGGCAGCCATGGACGGTGCCGACACGTAAACCAGTTCACGTTACCTCTGAGTTTTCTCACCGTAGGTGATGCACTGACATGGATCCCTGCCCTGCTGAACTTTAGCCAGCCTAGTCTCCATTCATCGGCTTTGGCGCATGCATGTCCGTTGACAGAGCTGCAGTTTTTCCTTTGCAAAATGGACGATCAATATGGTACCAATCGTCTCTTGTGCCAGTTCGTTGGGCCGCAGCCTGGTGTTTGATTCTTGTGTTGCGCTCCTTGCCCGAGCAACTCCTCAGTACAAGCATTTGGAACTCGCCACCTCATCCAACAGCATTCAATTCATTTCCTTGGTTCACATTTACCCATATCCAGCTTTGCTACTGCTAGTGACCTCGTCGCCATGTCCAGCATGTGCAGTGCGATAGCATCGAGCCCAAGTCAAGCCACAACGTGTTGGTACGCCTCCCTGAAGCAGGACGACCATGTCGCATATTTTCGACCCCCGCTCCGTGGGGGAAAGGCACCATCATGTTTCAAACTCTGCGGCTATGCATTGCTTCCAGAAACGACAAAGACGCACCGGAGAGGGCACTGCATCAAGGCTCCGCCTGCGGCACCGATACCCACAACGAACGTGCGAGTTTGTGCAATGTGTGCAGCGAATGGCCGTTCTATCGGTTCCCTCCAGACTGCCTTACGGAGTTGCCCAGCAATTGGTTACAATTCTGCTGACATGCTTCCACCACCCACATGTCTCACATTTCTTCCCAGGAGAGCCCATCTCTGCCGTGACTTTGCAACCACTATCTGAAGCCCCATGGGTAGTTCAATTGCTGCGCTGGGTACTTGGAGCCCAAACGCGCGGGCGTAATATCAACCACTGGACGACGAGAAACACCGCCACCGGCGCTTAATGGGCCTCCGATGCATTCGTAGAACGAGCCCGGCACCATGACTGCTGAGACTTTGCTCGCCAACCGACTGCAGCCCATGGTATCACAAGCATACGGTGTTGCACAGCATCGATAAAGCACGTGGCCGACGGGCCTTTCTCTCGTTATCGATTGGTAAAATTATCCAAGAGTATGCTTCGGCAATCAGTTCCCCTGCGTAGGGTTTCATCGTACGCTTACCTCGGCAATGGATGAGCAAGCCATTGTGCGTCGTGAGTTGGCAGCAGGCTGGCAAACGTGCGCGCATCGTGCAAAGAGCTCACAGCCACGGTGCCAAAACGGTCTCGTCCAACGAAAGACGACGTAACAAGTTTATTCGCAAGGCAAGATGCCCGTGCACGTTGCCTACTTCTCAACAAAACGAAGTGTGTTTGTGGTGGCGAGCATCGTGAATCTCTCATCATCTTGCTGGCCATTGTCAAGGCAGCGAATCTGTTCGAGATTGCGTTACCAATTGCCAAGACACATTAATTCGTCACTGACGCAGCGTCCCTGGTTACTGGGTTTGGGGGCTAATCTTCACAGTCATGCCACTGCATGCGAATGCTACCGCGTCAAGGCACGTCACACACTTTACTTTCCTCGAGTCGCAACAACGTAAGCCGGAATCACTTAAGAAAAGCAGGGTGTAAGTGGGCTGTAAAGGGTTTGCAGCCATCTCAGGTACGCGGGGCGTTGAACAACTCCCATTGGGCCATCCATCATCGGTGCATCCCACAAGGTAAGGTCTGCTACACATGAGCCCACGTTTTTTGTTCAGAACAGTCGGGCGAGACATTCGCCACCTTGGGCAACAGTCTGGACGATTACTAGGCATTATCTAGAAACAGAGGGCAAGCGCACCCAGCTGCATAACAAGGAACACCAGTTAGGCTCTGGCGTGACAAAACAACCCGGCCAAAAGAGAGAAAAAAGCAAAAACGTAAGCAGCAAACGCCGACCACACCCTACACAGTTTTGTTGGCTTCGTCGCGCGCGGACCGTCAGGAACACTGGGCGACCCCGCATATGCTGCTTACCACACGTCTGAGGACATACTGGCCGTCGAGAGGCTGCAGACAGCCAGGGAAGAATTTCCTTGCAGCATTTGGTGTTGATGGCCAGCAATTTCCTAACAGAGTAGGCGCATACCATTGCGCCGGGACCCCGCGTTTGCATGCATTCCTCGCGCCCACCACGTTTGCACGGCTCCATTGGTTCTCTTGCATGCACATCCAAGGGGTGATGGTACGCAAGATCTGATCATTTACGGCGATGCATCCACAAGGAGGCCGCAACCCTGAATATCATGCATCCCTCCGAATCGCTCCACTATTGACGTTGATAGTAGCAGCAAAACCATCGTAACACGCGGCCCGGAACCATCGCTATCCCGGTCGAACAATCATGTTTCACTTGCGGTCCACGCCAGGCTCTCCACAAATTCTAGCCAAGTGCCACCGGAACCCAAGCCCTGGGGACGGGACAATCGCCGTTCAAGGGCCACTGGCACCAATCGAGGCATCGTATCGTGTGTCCTGAGAAAAGCGCTCAAATCTTGACTCGAGGCTCCATTTTGTGGCAGCTGTCATGGCCGCTGGCCGCTGCTGGGCGTTGGCCGCTGCCAGTGGGCGCTGGCCGGGACAGTCGTAAGTCTGCCGCGCATGCGTGCGCGCCCTTTCATCTGCTCTACTACTTGCATGCCGACTGTGCGCGACCCGATGCACAGTCCAGTATCAAGCAATGCCACATTACCTTGCAAATCAGCGTCACTCCCTGCTCGCTCGCCTTGGTCATCGAACCATTGCAGGTTGACTACCGTCCCGAGGGACCTATGTCCAAGACGATAAACTACATAAGACGTGACGCTCGCCACTTCATCACTACACACTTGTCAGCACTCATCATTCATTCTTGTCTAATCATCACCACGGTACCCTCTCGCTTACCTGCCCTTAATCAACAACACAATACATGCCGCCGCACGAGATGTCTCGCAACAGTACGTCACTCTACCTCGTTATCTTCCATGTCGCCTCCGACAAACATAAGCTTCATCAGGCCATGCTTGAGTCAACGCACAGCGTACTGGCCAATACGCACCATATTCCTATGCCCTTTTCAACTTGCCGTGTCTCAGCTGATCCCCACCACTAGCCCGCCCTTATGCCATTCAGCTCCGCTCCCGCCGCTCCCTTACCTCTATTGGCATTCGCAACCACCGCGATGCACTCGCCGTTTACTTTCGCTGGATACGCCAACGATACTATATTGCGCAAACCAACACGGAACATGAGCTGGTCTTGCCAGCTGCGGAGTCCGTGGCAGCTACGTGCGACGTTGCGGACGGCCATGACAGCCATGACCCTGCAGCAACTGTGGGGATACAGTTTGACACGGAGAGGATCAATGTGGAGTTGCTGGGTATCAGTGTAAGCCCTGATGATGATGTGCCCTATCCCAACGAGCTTGATCTCCTTGGCTGAGGGGCACACGCCAAGGAAGGGCCGCGGGGCACAAAAGGGCGTGGCCCACGACAAGCATGACTACTGAGACGGGCTATTGGTGTTTGGGTGTTACCTGAAAAAGGTACTAGATGCGGAACGTCTAGGTTGATTTTATGGGATGGACGTGTATGATAAAAAGAGGCGCTCGCTATCAAAGAGCGTCCACCAAAGCACTGCGGGGCTTCGCGCCTTATTTAGAACACTAGCTTGATTCGACTAGCTTACTTTGACACACGCTCAGCCTGATGACGTCTTTGCTTCTGAGAACCGCGACGCAATAACTTCCTTTCTACTACAAGACTCTGCTGCAGATCATTCCTTATGTAGGTATGTCATCGGAATAGACCAAGATGATGCGAATAATCTAAGCTTGATAGAATGACTTCTGCGTCTATCCTGTCCGAACTGATTTCATCGAAAGAGAGACGAGTTTGAACAGCTGAAATAACAAATCGAAGCATATGTCTATCTCTCACATCTATATCCCCAGAGCCTTCCAAGAGCAGTTTTCACCTCATCTCTAACAAGTAGCCCATCTCTTCCTACTATATCACTCTCCAATCTACACAGAAATTCCCCTTTCCTGTGCCACCCCCCTCTACGCCCATCTCAAAACTCTCTCTCAACCCCCACCCATGGTGTAGCGTACTGGCTGCTGCTGCGCAATGGTGGACATATTACTCTTTGATCATAGTGCTAAGACTCCGGATGGTACCATGACTAGATTGACGACGACGACGCCCGCAGCTATTGCATGTAAAATTGGAATATAGCCGGATGGGAGTAGACATGTCATGTGTGGGAAGAAAAGCGACAGTTTCCTTGGCGAGTTAGTTCGTCAAAACAACAAAAGTGTCGCATTTTCTCTGTTGTTTAAAGGCGGTTAAATCCGTAGAGGCTATCAGGGTCCGTACAGGCCGTCAGAGTCGTAAAGGCGCCATAGAGAGCCGCCAAGAGCCGCCGTGTGTATACCATCCCTTGCACCTCATAAAACAGAGAGATGATACGCACGGGTTTCAATCTATACTACCTACGCGCACCTGCCTAATCTCTCGTGTTCACTCCGTATAGCGCTACCCTCCGTCATCTAGACATTATGTAGGTCCTCAATCCACCCCCAATACCAAGTCACAAGACACACGCAAACACTGTACGATGTCATAATCCCATAGCATAAATCAATCGTCGGACGCAGAGGTCTATGGGTTGAATAATGAATTGAATATGCGTTGATCATGGAAGTCGTATGATATCTATGTCGAGTGAGAAATAAAAACATGCAAGCTATTCGGACTTGACAGAGAAAACGATGGGGGAAGATATAGGAAAATAGAGTCGAGATAGTACCTCCTTATATACCAAATTTCTGAACATACTAGAATGTGACCGACTATAGCGCATTGCTTTAGTGTAAAATAAATAGATAGCAGGCGACGATGGAATCTGTGCATATCCAAACCCCTCTGGCTACTAAAGCGTGACACGAAGCTCCCAGAAAGTCATGGAAGAATAGGGAGCAGACATTGCGTCAGCTTGTTACCAAGTTTCTCATAGTCTGCAGTTGTTTGCTCTTGAACGTCCATTCTGTGATGGCGTACACTCACTCCATCCCATCTCCTCCATCTCACCTTCACTCTCACTTCACCTTTACCCCAGCCCCACTTCGCCCCGCCTCACACCATACACCAAAATGGCCACCGCGCAAATGGCCGAGCGCCTAGGACTTTATAATCTGCATAACACCTTCCCCCAACCCACCACACGCACCACAGCTTCCCCACGCACACACGCACGTCCAGCGCGACCATAACACCCACGATGGCACCACGCCGACGCCCCAGCCACGCCGGCTTCAAGCCCGCACCCATGGACTCATCCACAGTCTCACCATCACCTCCGCCGCGCGCGCGCCGCATCCACCGTGCTTCTAGTATTCCCAACACAACACCCGGACCCAAAGCCCCAGAACCAGCCGAAGACTCGGCCCTCTCAATCTACTACTATCTCAAGCCCACAATCCCTAGCCCCTTTACTGGCAGCCTCGATGCCGCCCTGGACGCGATACTCGACTACGGAAAGCGTTACGGTAGAATCAAAGGCGTGCAACCCATCTTCTCCGCCTTGCTGGGCGAAGCCAACCCCAAGACATCATGGCCGGAGCTATTACAAGGTCCGGCTGATGAACCGCCCGGGATGCTGCGTTTTCTGTGGACGAGTCTGCTTTTCCTCACATCGCGCACGCTGCTGCCGGAACTGATAGCTAAGAACCGGGCTTTGCTGTGGAGCGCGTACGTCCACAAGAAGAGCCTAGCAGGCAGATTTATGTTGCGGTACGATATGCTGTGTGCATGGAAGTTGGAGTATAGCAGGATGATAGGTCGTTCGAGAGATGTTGCTGTTACGGTTGCGAGTGTGGAGCCGGAGGAGGAGGAGGATTGGGATGCTAGTCCTAATGTGGAGGGGTGGTATGGGGAGAAGGCAGAGGTGAAAGCGGATGAAGCTGGCATACGCTTGTTCATGCCGAATATTATACCTACGCTCATCGCCGCCCCACAACCGTGGTCGACAGCGGCAGTGCGGGAGAGGATGAAACATCGCGTCACGGATCTGGACAAGTTCCTGTTGTTGACGAATGAGGAGGTTGAGGCATGGGGAGCTGAGAGGCTGCTTCAGATGACGTGTACGTTGATCTTGCATTGGCAGTGGTTGAGAAGGAGTAATGAGAAATTGGAGGATATGGAAGTGGGGGGCTGGGCAGATTTGGATGTCAAGGCAGACGAGTGCGAGTGGATTGCTGATGAGGCGAAGAGGGTGGTTGGGTGGCATCAGGGGGGGAAGATAGGGAATCCAGGAAAGAAAGATAGGGAAGGAGAGGGAGAAGGATGAAGTTTGAATGGTGGGTTATTATTGGATACTATGGTATTGGTAATCAGGCCGTGGGTAACAGGAGGGAATTTCGCATTTGAACCCAGGCTATGAAACGCCCATTTTTACAAGGCGTTCTGGCGATGAACGCTGCTATCCTTTGTCCAACGGCGGAATGTCTTACCTTTCCACCAGAAAAGCACGCCGAAAAGACACCAAACTGTGCATAGTGTGGCGTTTGTCATGATCGGCTTGATGAACCTGTTCATTTTGTTAGCAGGACTCCTCTCACTTTGTCCACTGATCAAAAACTTACCCGGCTTCCTCTGTCCACGGCGTGATAAATTTACCCAAGCCATAACCCCAAAGATTCTTGTTGACGGTAATGGCAACGTACAAGGATCCAGCGACGGGCTTGTACGAGTCTACAGCATAGGTACCAACCATGGCGGGAAGTGCAGCAACTTGAATACCCGCGCATGTAAATCCCACGATGACGATAGCCTCCCACGCCCACTTGTTCTGGTAGCCCACCGCCACGCAAATGTTTCCGATGAACATGATGATGACGTAGGGAATCATGGCAGGCAATCGCATCTCAGGCTCTCGGATGCCACCGTTGCGCTTTGTCAATTTCGCAGATACCCAGTCACTGAGCGGACCAGCGGTGAAAAGACCAATAAAGGCACCGACCAAGATGGCAAAGTTTGTGAAGCCGACGGAGAGGGGCTTGAAGCCGTAGGGCGGTGGGGCGAGAACTTGAGTTTGTGTCAGGTTGATTGTGAGGAAGGAAGAACAGGACCAGCTAGTGACAAAGGCTGCAAATTCGATAATTGGGAATGCAAATAGTTTCCATGGCGTCCAGAGATCGAGAAAGATGCTGTGGAAAGGATTCTTGTTTGGCTGAAAGGGAAGCCACTGCCATTTTCCAGGCGAGCCGCGGCCGAGGTAGGGATCGCGTTGTGCAGTTTCCGACAATTCAAGACCGGTCGTGTTGGGAAGTGTCGAATCGGCTGTAGGAACATGCTTGATGCCATCGGTTTCCTTTTCGGTATCCGAGATTTGGACGTTTTCCGCCGATGATTCGCGAGTCTTTTTATCAAGAGAGTTTGACTTTTCCTGTGGGCGACCGACATCTGGCAATGCGCGCCTGTAGCGTGTCTCGGGAAACATGAAGACGACCATGAGGAAGGACACTGCCAAGAGACCAGTGTTGAGCCACCAAAAGCTGCGCCATCCAACCGTCTCGGTCATGGAGCCAGAGACGATAGGGCCTACCATAAGTGATCCCATGTAGACTACCCAGTAGAGAGTATTCCACTTGCCACGGTCATGCAGGAAGAAGATGTCGGCGATGACTTCGGGCATAATGGTTTCTGCAGGACCGGCACCAATACCGTTGACAATGCACGCGCCCATGAAGGACCCGTACGAGTTTGAGCGAGCGCGCCATATCGATGTACCCAAGTTGATGATCTGGGATGCGAGGTATACCGGACGTCGGCCAAAGGAGGTACTAATCGGAACCCTAAAGACGATTAGCGTCTTATCATTTGGTTGATCATCTTTACTTACCAGATAAAGTTACTAAACCCAAGTACCAAGATGCAAACACCAGTAAACTGGACTGCACCAGCCAAGTCGGTATTGAACTGTTTGATATAGGCGGGAAACATGGGCGAAAGAGCGAGAGGGCCGAAACCCTGGCTAAATGTGACCATGGCTGCCGAGCTGATGCAAGCCAGTTTCCAGCCAGTGCTCCAGTTGAGAGGATCATTGGGGTCATCGCTAGGTTGCGGTACGAGGACGGTTTGATGTGCACCTTTCACGAAATGATGTGAGCCCACATCAGCCATGACTTCTGTACCGGGAAGAATCTCAGTATGCAGCTCGGCCTCAAGCTGCCGCCGCTCCTACATGGTGTGTCAGTGCTGCCTAGAACAAACGACAGCAACCAACATACCTCTTCGTTGTAATCGTGGGCCTCCATGGTTGGCGAGATAAGATGACTGCTCTGTGCGAGTGACGATCGTGCGCTCGTAGTTCAAGAGGCCAAAGCGGGAGACTGGCAAAAGATATATGTACTGGTCAAATCTCTCGACCAATAACCCCGCAATCTAGGAGGCGAGCGTCCCCAGATTTGCCGTCCACACCTCACGTCCCTTGTAAGTAGTGCGATTCACAACTCCGTTGCGCCCTTGTAGACTACCACCAAGTACACGTGCTGTTCAGGTAGTTCGGACCTCGGTCCCAAGGGTAACACGTCTGATCGGCAGTTGAGAGAGGCTGAGCAAGAGAAAACTGATTCGAAGCCCTCTATAAACATAACTCGTGGCATACGGGGCCATGAGTCCTGCCGCAGTCGCCCCGCTTCAAGGGATCTTACCTGGGGCCGTTGCCTCTAGAATCTTACATAGTTCCCAGCAGCCAGGTTGTGCCTCTAGCTATGATATGAAAACCAGCGGCCGCCTGTACCGGCTCATGATCATGGCGTCGTGGATGGGCGTATCTACTAGGTCAATGCTAATCCAGTCAAGCTTTTGGGGGCAGCTCGGTAGGCAAAAGATACGCCCCTCGTATGTTGATAGATGATCCTTGTCCAAAGGTGCAGTAGCGGCCCGGGGTAATACCCGGCGGACTAACTGTGCCTAGATAGATGCGGTCAAGAGGAATGAAAGAAGACGGCAGATGTGTCTCGCACATCTTGCCGAAACATGATTGGAATGGCAATGGTCGTGGCGGACATTAGAACGTCGTCGGTCTTGAGTTTGCGACGAGTAATCCAACTGCCGGGTTGCGCCGTCTTTGCGCTAACGCTGCTAATGCAAACCATGGGGTGCGGGGAAATAAGTAGGGCTCCCCCGGTTGCGCGCGGGACACTTGCTCCAGTAAGACCAGAAGCTGGGGGAGCGAGCAGCTGCTAAAAAGGCTTGATTAGGTTTGCATATGCTCCGTGGCTGATGCACGCAGGATACAGGTCCGCATGGTGGGGGAATAGCCCTGCAAGCTGTGTCGAAACCGCAATCGCTCAACGTCCAAGAGTACTAAACCAAATACAAAGACTGGCGAGGCAGATAACTTTCCATGTCTACATGCTTTTACTTTTATAAAGTCAACCTGTCTTCGTATCCATGCGGTTCTCCTCTCACACCGACTTAAGATGACCGGTCCGAAAGAACCCTGATAAGAACAGGGATAACTGCAGCACTCTACAAAAGAGGACATAATCGCGTCACCCTGGAGTTATGCACAGAAACCATTTATGTCCCTGTTGTTAATGTAAACTGCAGACACACAGGCAGGCATCGTTTAGACACTGATAAAGTCGTCAGTGCGGTGCTGCTGAAAAGAAAGCTCCGCATCTCAACGTATGTTTTCTAGAGACGCAATGTCTGTATACGAGACGAGAGTAAAGTACTTGCAATGTGGAGATTAGAACATTAGAACCCGACATCATTCAACCCAACGCCCTCGAAAAGCGTATATGATCGCCAGTCCCGCATAGATAGGGCTTACGCGCCCGCTCAGATACCACGGACAAATTCGACAAACATTCGAAAGAGCCAACGCCGCGGTTGTGGGCGCATACCTCAACAACGTACTCTTCGCACGAACTTACATATATCGCCTACTTACCCGGGAGAATGTAGCTGCGTTGAACTCTCCTTTTGCGCGTATGCACCTATTTGCCACCAACAGTCATCTCTAATCTGTTGATAATCAACCGGCTAAACCACGTCGGCACAAAGTACTTGCAGCGCGGAGATTACATTCATCAACCCGCAACACGGTCGAGAAATCTCACAACTAGAAAGATTCTACCAGATACCAGATCATGGACCATTGAACCCGTGTAGGAATAAACAAGCTCCGGAGGTCGAGACGCGATGGAAAAATGCGACAGCGATGATTTCTTGGGTATACAGCGAGCGGCATTCCCACGCATCATCCACTTATCTCATGTCTATTCAAACTACCCTCTGCGCTCCCATTCCCCCGTGTCAACGTGTGTCCTAGTCCTAAGAAAATCAGTCTTCCGGCTCCGACTCGCTATTCGGAGCAGGCGAAAGCGACGACCCAGAACCAAAAGACAGCAACGCTGCTTCCTTGACATCAACTCTACTCTTTCCCTTTGTAGATTTTGACATCTGACCCTTTGTCATTTCCAAGATCTCCATTAGACCCAACAATCTCTCGGAGCACGCTTGCATCAACACGTTGGCCTGCTCCTCTTCGCCTGCGTTTCCCCTCTTGATGCCATGTACGCTTTCTCGTGCTTTTATCCCGGTTTCCATGGCTTTGCGCAAGGGGGGAGTGGGCACGAGGGCGTCTCGTGACATCATGTGCATGACCATTTGCTCTAAAATGAGTGATATCTTGGCGTTTGTAGCGAAACTCTGTGTTGTCGCCTTGAGCGAAAGAAGTTTTTCCTCAAAATGTTCCTGTGTCGGTTCGACTAAGAAGAGATTGGGCGGCTTTCCTGTTATCATGGGATTGAGAAGATTGGCGAGGAAGGCTATTTGGACGGTGTCCGGCATCTTCATGGTTGACAGCAATACCTGGAACGTGATTGTGGGTAGCGCATTGAAGTCTTCCAATAGGTTGTCGCACAGATCGAATAGAGGCGTGAAGTGTTTTGGCAGGGCCTGGGCTATTTGGGCGAGCTGGTTATTGTTAACAATTGTCTGTTCGAATGCGATGACCACATACTATTGCTATGAGACGATGTCGCAATTCAATCGCGTCGTGTCCGCCCAACTGCCCCACTGCCTCGTGTATGTTCTCCATCTCATCGTCATCCAAAGGCGTATCTGACGCACCTTCGCCGTCGTCGACGTCTGGGGCATCTTGCATCTCTTCGTCGCTATTGTAATCCGCCGTCTCGCCAGTCTCAAAACTGACTTTACCCACGCGCTTATTGTCGTTCTTCTTGTTATGCTCGGCCGTCTCTCTTTGCCAAATCTCTGGGTATTCTTTGAGGGATTCTGGTGTCGCCGTGGCGAGTATGGCCTTTACTATTCGTCGTCGTCTTGTGCGATTCGTAGGGACGGATTCATCGCCGACAACATAGTACCATAGGAGACTCTGTTGAAGTACTGCATCGTCATTGCCATCTTCAGTCTTGCTCTGCCTGACGCAGACTTGCCAGTCGGCGTCGATAAATTCCAGCATGTTGGACAGCCATAGCTTCCATCGACTCCACCGTTTCTTGTGTGCTACTGAACAGTTGAACGCCCATCCAACAATATGCCAAAAGTCGTCTGCCAGATACCAAAGACTCTTTTCATTGGCAGCTTCACCTACTATGCGATCCACATCGCTGTTATCGCCAGGAGAATGAATACCTGCACCTCTATATCCCGGAGCGCGTCTTCTAGTACGTTCCTCGGGAAAGGCAAATGCTTCTCGTATTGTGGGATACGCAGGGCCGTCTATTGTGGCACAGACGCATTGTAGGTACCTCAGGGCGGAATTGGGACCTTTCTGTTCGTCTTGTGACTCCGCCTTCGTCGTAAATTTCGGATCAGCGATAAGAGATGAGGCAAAGGCGATGTAGGCGGGCGGTGCGAGGCATCCCATATACGGTTGGGCGGGAGTAGAAATGCTGGTACCCACGGCGAGGAGGCTATACAGAAAATCGTACCCGCTGACATCTGCAGTCAATATAAGCTTCTTCCCGTAATCGAACTATCATCGCATACATTGACCGCCCTCGAGATACGCCTTGGCATGATTCGTGAGTTCATACGACGTTTCTTTCGTAGGACGCCGTTGCGCGCGTCGTGGACGGCTGCCTACAGCTTCAAGCGCCGTGGATTGACTTCCATGTCCATCTGAGCCCTTGTGAGGTGATGCGGGTTTCGAATTAGAGGCTGGTGCGGATAATTTCGCCATGTCGGCGGTGCGATGTCGTGGTGATGCGGGGAAAATTGGTCAGTCGCGTCTCGTCGCGCAGTCACGTGATTGGCATTGCTTTGACATCTTTCTAGAATCTTGATATTCACAATACAAATACTATCAGTACGACGAAATCATGAGTAACAGCATAAAAGAGTTGCGTGCGATGCTTTGCAGCTGAGCAATTCGAGATAATCTCAAGCTACCTAGGTAGCATAGAGGTGGTAGCAGCAGCAGCAGTATACAAACTACATATACAAGTCACGAACAGGAGACAGTATAACCTAAAACCCATACTCCTCAAGATTACCGCATCCAGGATTCTTCAAATGATTACATCGACGCAGCAAAGCAAATTTGCGATCGAGGAGAACCACCAGCCTTCTGCTAGCCCTATTCCCATTCCCATTCCTTCATATCAACCGGAAAAGCTTTTGAGTTAACATCTGTACACCTCCTCCTAAAACACCTGCAGTTTGCCTTTTTGAGGCATTTTAAGGGGTGGGATAGGGAAGGATATGTGGAGAGAGGACTTTGTATGGTGTGGATGGGGCGTACTCTAACGTGGGAAAGTGAAGGCCATGAGATAAGGGACAGGTTGATTGTTGGATGGGCGCAGTCCGTTGTTCCATTCAAGAACAGCCTTTTACCATCATTCTCCTACCCTCGGAACGCGTATGAGAGCACTCCCACGACCCGTGTCAAATTCGGGGTCTTTGAGGATTGCGTTCAAAAATCTCGGCAGAATAAGTTAGCCGCCAACAAGGCAGGCGCAATGCAGGTCGAAACATTGTAGGCTCATAATCACACCAACCATATCTCCGATTACGAAAAGAATCTTTTCGTCACTTGAACTAGCTCCACGATTTTTTGCTCGTCCCCGATTCCTTCAGTGTCGAAGTTGCATTTGACGATCGAATTTCCCTGAGACATGTCTGCAATGGCCTTGGGGAGACCTCTGAAGCCACAGAAGCCACAGAAGCCACAGAAGCCACAGAAGCCACAGAAGCCACAGAAGCCACAGAAGCCACAGAAGCCACAGAAGCAATGTAGCCATTGTGACATCTCAGTTAGGATTTGGAAGTACGAGCGTGTAAGAGAGATGTCGAATGCCATTTGCCAGGCACAGTCCCTGTGGACGATCTTGAATACCTCAGATGTCCGTTCCGAGTCTCGCCCCCGTCCAGAACCAATGTGAAGACATCCTTAGGCATTCTGAGGGATGAGAGAGCATTGGCTTCTATGACGCAGTCTCCGACTGCGTCCGTAACATACTTGGATTCTAGGTCATCTTGCCTAGCTCCATAGTGAAAGGGTGTTGCACCTCCCTGGAGTAGGTTGCGCCACATGTCGACTCTCTTTTCGATGCGCATCTTGGGGTTCTTTTGGCAATAGGGTATTAGGCCTTGTGCGTGTGATGCGGGATGCGCTATTGCAACAAGGTCTTCGTCAAGAACATGTGACGAATGTTTCGTTCTTGATTTGATGAGCACGAACCTAGGAAAGTTATCGCTACTGCGGCTGCAGAGTAGCGGTGTGTTAGGGTGAGGTCTAACGTCTCGATATCTCTGCCTATATATCTCTCTGGCCCATAAAACCGGTCTCTAATGTCATGTGGAGCCATTACCCACTTACAGTTGTCTTTCGGTATTGCCCACGGATCGATTTGAACCCTTAACCAGTCGATGAACTTAGTGTGAAAATCTGAATCCCGATATAAAACATTTTCTAAATAAGAGATAAACGAGGGATCCAGAGAGCAATGCCTCAAAGCTGATGTGATGAAACAACGCAAGAGGGAATGTGCTTCACCGCTCCGCGGTATACATCTAGGAGGGTCCAGGGAGTAATCACCTGTATGGTAGTCTACAAATGGAGAGAGGCTTCTGGAATATTGTACATATGGCGCAAACTCAGGGCGATCCCGATCGGTAATGGTTTCCACCGCTTTTGTGAAGCGCGACGCGGCGTGCTTGGAGACACCTTGCTGGTCGTATTCGTATTTGGAAAAGTAAAGTTCCTGACAGATGGCCGTTTCGCAATCGGGACCGCGGATGGGAAGCCATGTCATGAAGATCAACTTGTCCAAGCTGAAGGGAAGGCCCTCGAGCTCGTTTGCAATTTGTTTGCAGGTTAGGGTGAGGGCGAGGTCAACCGGCCGACCATCGGCACCCGTAAACCTCCGCTGGGGCATGCGATATACGTACCCACATTTTCTTGTGAGATAAAATTCGTAAATCGTATTTCGGATTTCTCTGGGAAGGTCCAGGAGACTGGAAGGAGGCGTAGTGGCCATTTTGATCTTATGGAAGGTTCAGATGTTGAGCGTCATTGGTGGTGCAAGAGTATTTGAGGAGAAAAAATCATAGAATTCGGGAAGGAAAGATATGAGTAGCGTGTAGATGGGTTTCCCATAGTTCCGAGGGTCCGCTAGGCTTAGCGCTAGAAATCCGAGTCGATTTCAACCGAGCAACAGGTTGGGTCGCTTACATACCTTACCGCTGATTAACTAGCATCTCTAGGTACCATGGATCCCAAAATTGAAGTACCCTATCAGATACCCGGAAACAGCATACGCTGCCTCGATATATCAGTGACGAATGTCTTGTATTCTTCGTCTCGGTGGATACCGAACTATTTATGCCTAAGTTTGCCACACTGCACCGTCGGACCGTCATTAGTAGATCACGAGGCAGGCTGCTGCCTATATTTGGATACCCGTACAAGATCGATGCTGCACACGTTCGAAACTTGTTCAACAACTACATACCTACGTAGCCAACGCGCACAAGACTTTAGTGGCAGCCATGTTTTCCCAGGCACACATTACGCTTCTACCGCGGGAACTACGCAACATGATTTACGACGAGCTTCTTGGAAAAAAGACGTACATTTACGATGACGAAGCAGGTAAGCTCAAGCAACCCGATAGCACATCAGTATATCTGGCGTTTGCACTATTGTGCAGGATTATTCATCACGAAATGTACGACTATGCATTTCGAAACAAGACTTGTACTTTCAAACCCATCCAAGCACATGAGCGACACTACACATGGCCGAACGATTTTGGGTGGCAGTTCTTCGCTCGACGACAAGCTGAAGAGATGCTACTTATGATATTGCGCCGCTACATTACCGATAATGTCCAAGACAAGCTGTTGTACCATCACCCCCAATTTCGCCGACTTCTGAACTGTATTCTTCGAGATCGTTGTCCCTCTCCTCTACTTGGTCAACGGTGCGGAGAGGCGCCATCACTCCAAACATACTTTATGCGACATGCACTCCGTCTGATTCTAGAATGGTCGCCTCCACTCGATGAGAAAATTTTAGAGATGTTGAACACAATGTCGAAGACAGATCTCATACCTTGGGTGGTCCCTAGTCATCACACAGTTTCAGAGGGACAAAAGAATCACGAGAGGAACATGGTAACCTGCTTCCATTCCAAGGGCAAACCCCCGAAGAATCGAGACTCCAAATATTGCTTCTCCGCTGCTGCGGGTACTATCAGGTTTCTGCACAGCATGCCGATAGAAGCGCGATCGCGTCTGCGTAGAATAATCATCGTGGAGAATCAACCCTCTGTTGCGCATCCACAATGCCATGCACAGGGCTTGATTTCATTCTGTCTCGAAAAACCCCAGCTTCGTATCGAACGCCGTATTGACCTCTCAAAGTGCGCATTCCAATGCCAATGGTTCAAATCGAGATATCAACTATATGCTGAGCTCTGGCCTCCAAACAAAGACTACACCAACAATCCACGCGATATCCCACATGCCATTTCCAGCATCACATCTTGGCTTGTGGAAGCAAAAGCCTTGGCTTCACAAGGCATGCCTCACGACGCCTTCACCCTCGTCTTGGAAGATTTATCCAGTACAGAGCTTGGTTTCGCCATCTTTCAAGAACTGAAATGGGTTGCATGCGTCCAGCTCTTATTTGAGTTGGACATTGAAGCATTGCATGCAGTCCACGCGCCGGCGTGGACCGAACAGATCAAATGTAGCTGGTATAATTATCGAGGATTTCCCCAAGACGCCGAAGATACCATCAGCAGGAAGTCTATCGTTAGGTGCAACTTTGAAACGGGCGGATCTTGGATCGCGGACGAGATGGCAAAACCGGGTGGCATGTCTGCTGATGCACTGAGGACCATCTTGAGAAATATCGTGCTACCTAATTTTACTATGTGTCTGTGATACATTACAGCAGAACTCCGCCACTAAACATGATAGATAAGATCACCGCTACAACTCGACCACTATTTCAAATTGAAAGCCTCCTCCCTCATCGCACATGACAGTGGGGAATACAATCAAAGTAGGTATAGTCATCACAGAAAAGGTAAACGTAAAGCTGGTACGATGATGAACCGTTGCCCCCAAAGGACCTACAGTACAATGATTCGATAGGTAGATAGAAAACAGTAATATTACAGCTACAACGATACCGCGGTGTGAAAGTCAGCTACCAAGCATGAATGTCACTTATATACCTTCATGAAAAAAATGCTTTGCTACACTCTCCCGTATTTATATTCAAAAACAACCACCACTGGCTTGCCTCATTGCAAATCACACTTTCACTTTTAGTCTCGCAATATTCTATAAACTGAGCCTTGGTAATAAGACTGTGATTACAATGGGCACAGAAGCAACAAGTATAACACCTGTGTTGTTGTCTAGACTATCGTACCACGTCATCTGTTCTTTAGCCTTCAAGCAGCTTCTGTGACTTCTGTGACTTGGCAAGAGCTTGGCTCGTAGCAAATAATCGAAAGTTCACATGACAATGGAGGAAACAAGACCTTTATATAAGAAGCGTTGCATCATAAACGCTAATCACATCACTAATCGCATATATAGCAAAGACATTATATGAGCTTTTGACATTTTTTGTATTATCCAAACAAGTGGCTATGCAAATCAACGACATTGCTGCTCAGATCTGAAGGCAAAACGCTATGCTCCTATGCTATGCGATGTGGCGAAGAGATGGAGAAGTTTCCTCGTCCTTCTATCCAGACTCCGCAACAATCAATCGGATCGGCATGATTGATTCCTATCTAGGTTAAAGGCTGCCTAATGAAGTAATTCTTTAACCTATATAGGAATCAATCATGTCAATCGATTGATTGTTGCGGAGTCTGCTTCTATCGCGTTGGAAAAAAGAAAAAAAGAAAACAAATATTAACCATCAAGATATCAAAGCTCCTCATCCTCATCATCGTCGTCATAATTGTCGTCAATGAATATATTCCGCCCTGCACGGGTCGTAAAGTAAGGCTTAGCCTGGATAGGAGTCGGCGCCGAGACAACCTTCTTCTCAACGACCTTTTCGACTGATGTCTCTTGGACAACAGACTTCTCAACCTCCTCGGTGGTCTCAGCAGGAGTGTGCTCGACGGATGATGCGCGCTGGGTAGACTTGTTAGCAGAAGTCTCCGGTTCCAGCGTGTCAGTGTTTTGCTTACGTTTTTCGATGGCATTATCTTTGCCTTTGTCCACTGGCATGGATGGGACCACGGGGGTAGCCGGGGGAGTTGTCAGCAATGATTCAGAGACTGAGAAAAGAGCCTTCGCAAGGGAGATCTGAGCATCATTTCTCTTCGGCACAGATTCCATGAATTCCTCCTCGTAAGCACCAGCCAACTGGAGAAGCATCTCCTCCTCGTCACCAAGCTTCTCTTGGCCCTCGAAAGGATTCGTCTCAACAAATCGGATAATCTTAGTCTTCTTTGAAGGGCCGTCATCTTGAACGTCATCCTCGGCGCCGCGCTTACGCTTGCCCTTTTCGGTGGGCTGCGCCTCGGAAGACTCTTGAGGAGAATCGTCACCAGATTCATCCTCACCAGTGTGGGCAGCATCGTAAGCCATCTGGAGCATCCGGCTCGGCGGGCCGAACTTCTCGAAACGTCCAGCCTTCTTGATGTTGCGAGCTTCAATCGAAGGATCGCCACGCCAGCGGATCATCTTAGGAGCCTCGCCCTTGTCGTAGAAGGGCTTGTAGGTGCAATACTCATACCGCACGCTCTCGACAGTCCGACCAACAGACAGATTTGCAAAGCCAAAGCCAGTCTCCGTCGCAAAGTCTTTGTTCATAAACCTATCGTTGTGAAGCTCGGTCAACTCCCAGATGGACGCGTCTGGGTTCTCTGCTAGCAATGAAGCCAGGTACTCACGCTCAATGCGAGTCCATGGCGCATCCATGGTCATACGGTCAATCGACTGGTACCGACGGTCGTTTAAGGCCTTGATCGCCTGCATGTTGTCCCAGTCCCGAGGAACTTTGCCATAACAGTAGATGGCCGGGGTACGCTTCGGTGACTGATCCTTGTTGCTCTTAGGCCGCATATCGATAACCTTGACAACGAGTAGTTCTTCCTGGTCCAGTGTGGGCTCCAGGCTGTCAACATTATCCGGAGCGATCGGGCCGAAGTACTTGACGTGGCGAGAGCCTCGCTTGTACCGGTAACCTCGCTCCTCCCACATGGGAGGGTTTGTCTGACCATTGCTCTCACGGGCAGAAGGCTGGTCGGGGTGGGGACGACGATCACCAGGAAGAGGCTTGACCCCCCAGAACTCGTTAGGCTCAGGGACAGTGGCGTCATAAGCGTACTCAGAAAAGCCGTCGCCGACAGGAGGCTTCAATGTAGGTTTGACAACCTTGGGCTTGGCCTTCGGATTTGTCACCTTGTTCATCGTCTTCTTTGTGGTCTTTGCCGCCTTGTTGGTGCTTGGAGCAACGATCTCGTCGACCTCGACTGTAACTGTCTCGGGTTGAGTTACTACGGGGTTCTCGTCAGCTTCGAGGCTCTCGTTCTCTGGCCCCAACGCGGGTGCAGCGTCGGCTTCGTTGGCAGTACCTGTTATTTTTTGCTTCTTGGCGACGTTCATCTCCTCGGAGAGGGACTGGTCAGGGGAACGCTTAGACATGGTAGTGTTGGTAGAAGAAATGTGATTGATCGGGTTGAAGAGAATTGGACTGGTATGATAAGCCAGTGGGGTGGTGTTGCGCGTAGAGCTCTTAGCAAATGTCTTGAGTGAGTGCTGGTGCTGTTTGCAATCGATAATGTATCTCAGTTGAGTGCAGAGCGCGTGTTGTTTGTTTTGGAGAATATTTGGAGGGGATTGGGGAGGGGTGTTTTAAGTATCTGTGGGTGAGCTATTCCCCACGTGGTCACTGGGCAACGACGCGTCGTGAGAAAAGGGCGTTTTGACGACGGTGTGCTCTCAGGGTCTCACGGATGGCGCACCTGGGCATTGTTTGAGAGGGGATAGTGGCGAGCAACAAAGACCCGCGGCTAGTGGAAGACAAGCAAGATTGACAATGCCACAAATGGACAAAGGCGTTAGAAAACAATGCTGTTGTCTCGTTGCGCGCACAAAAAACCTGCTCAACAAGGAAATGATCTTGTAGGGAAATTAAAGATATCTTCCAACTCTTGCAATCCTATTCGTGGAGTAGCAACCGGCTTTGCGCGTGGCCATAATAGCCTAGTCATGATTGGACGCTGACACTTTTGACATGTGATGCAGCTGTCACGCAGTGAAATAATCGTGCTGTCTGCCTGCGCCCCCGATTTCGCACTATGACGATCCCGCGACGACGCGACGGGAGCACCCGCCGACACCCTGGAGACGCGTCGATCCGCATGATCAATGTTTGCTTTGATAGACGCGGCCGCTGTGAGTCAAAAGCCATCGCCACCAGCCTGATAAGAGCGGGATCGCCACTCTCAGGGTCCAAGAGGTATTTCCCGCAACGAGTAGGACGCGCGCATCTTCAGGGGCGCGCGCTCGCGGGTACTGGACGCGTGAGCGCGTTGTATCGACACAATACGCAAGTGGATCCTAAGAGACCCGAGATCCAGTCCACCGGTGCAGCGTGAAGAGCGCCATCTCTTTTTGTGGATGATTTCCTCTTGACACAGACTGAGGTAGGTGCATATCCTGGAGGTGTGCGCGCTCTTCACTTTGCATCGACATAATGCGGAGTCGAGCCCTTAAGGATTACAATGCACCAATGTAGCATTCCGGGCGCCATCTCTTTTGGTACGTATTTTCCCCTTTTGATACAGACTGAGGTTGCTGAGATGGGTCGCTCCAGTTGTTATATCAGCGATGAATGGAAAGAAAAGAAAAGAGGAGAATAGAAAGTTGAGATAGGTAACATAATACCAACATTGAAATACAAGAAGCTATGCTCTTTGGGATATACCCTCAATAAGCGATGGATGTAGAGAAGGGTGAGGTGAGGTTTTAAAATCACGAACTGTATGTCAGTCAGCACGTGGCCACTAGCGTCGTGCGCTAGTCCTATCTTGGGTTCGTTATCGATAAAGCACCAGACTAACCTGCTGCCGGCGTCGCGATGTCGTTACTCTTTGCGCGCTCGTCCACCGCGCTCGTCCATTGCTCGAACTCTCGCATATTGAAGTACAACGGTTCTTTGCATCTCCCCCCTAGTCGATTTAGCTAAGTGGCAGCCAGATGTTGAGAACGAGCGGGGGAACAGCTACGTTCGAGCATCAAAACCTGCTTCCATTGTTCACGTCTTTCAGCTTCTCATTTGTATCATGAAAGAAATCTTGAATTATTAAAAAAGGTACAGTGTCAGGTAAGCCCATGATCCAAAGTCGGCGGATCTTCTTAGATCTACGCCTCGTTCTCTCCATCGTCTCGTCTCGTGTGTTGGTGTTCTTTTCTCATTTCTGTTCAGTTGAATAGAGGTTTCCAGAAGCATTTTTCGGTTTTTCTTAGGAAAGTATCCCATGTCCCGAGCCATAACTGGAGCGACCACACGTTCCTAGGGCTACAAGATGGGGGCAACATCAACACAGTCTGGCTGTATGTGCACTGCCGTTTGGATCTTGTGTGAGCACCGAATCGATACTGGCCAGCGTCGTCCAGATCGTCGATAAATACAGGCTGTCCCGATATCGTGGGTGCCAGCAAAAGGTATGTGTACTAGTGACTGTTGCCGAGATTACATGACGTGTGTATGTGGATGGCGTCGTGTCAAACGTTGTGAAACCCCGGGCTCACGTCGTATAGTGTCGGCGTTGGTTCAGCGGGCCGGAAATTATGACAGATGATAGCGGCGATGATGCAAGGCTGGTACCTGCATTACGGCATCGTTTTTGCTTTTCATGATGCCGAGGCGTCGCTAGCGCGGCTTTGTCGGGAGAATCGTCTTTGGCACCAGGTCCGCATCTTAGTGTAGAAGCCATGGCCTTGGACTTGGTCGTCGTCGGGAAATGGGGTGGGGATCTCGCATGTGCGTTGATCACGGTGCTGAAGGTGTTCTTCATCCATGCGGAGCAAGTCTGCGTGGAACTGCTGCATCATGGTGAGGGCTGGCGAGTACTCGGGGCTGAGATGGTTGGGAAGCGGCGGTGGGAAGGCTTCCTGACTTCCGCAACTGCGTGGGCTGTCCATTTTGTGCGTTGGTGTGTGGTTGTGGTTGTGGTTGTGAGTGTGAGATGGTGTGTGAAGATGAAGTGCAGTTGGCGAAAAATATGGCTTTTATTATAGAGAAACGCGCCGCGTTTATATCGACCGAGAGAGTGTCGTCATGTCTTCCATGGTACCATCACACGCACTACCACGGAATGTCGCGTGGCAGCGGGAGTATCATGCTTCCGCCGCACGAGCCTTGCCAGTTTCAATATATTGATCAACCAACTATATCGATCGTACATTATTTAAATCATCGGACTTTCCTCATGTTCCAGGTCGCAACCCCAGACGTTGATCATTCCGGGGCTGCCGGATGGCTTCCGCTGGAGATATGACGCATTGTACTTCTCATCGTCATCCATCGGACAACCCTGGAACCATCTGTCGCAGTTTCAGGGCATGAAAGCTTATCGTTTTTGCAGTAGCAGCATTTGCGCATCCAACCGTGAGTCGCAAGGTTTGCAGCTACTCAACTAGGTCGCGCTAGCATCCGGTGTCCCAGAAAGCGGGATGCGGCTTTTTGGTCAGGTGAAGTGCAAAGGATCAACGTCTGATGAATAAATCACTCATGCACATTTGCACGTGGATGTGCACGTCGCGATGTAAATCTTGGTGTTGCAGGCCAGCGTCGGCCAACGTGTTCCGACAACACCCTCCCACCTCGGCTGACGGGCGAACACGGCCAGTGACGTCGGACAAGAAGACGTCTTCACACACCCGTGAGCACCCTATCGTCAGCCTGTCGACTAATAGAAATAATGCTTATCCCCACACATTTCGGCAAGTTTCTGGCCGCTTGCACCTGTAAAGATCCACCGTGATTCTATTCTTTGCGGCATTGCAAATCACGAGCCGCTATATAAGGACCTAGGTAGACGCCGAGATGCCTACCCCTCCCTTTTCCCAGGATCGCCGAGACTGGTTGAGCGAAATTTCTGGATTGTTTACTCAGCGCAAGAATACTAGTACAAGTACACCAAAGGATCCGACTGCCACTTTGAGATTTGGGGTTCCTAAAGCTTGTGACTCTGCTTCCACGATCAGCCTGCGAGATGACGCCTCCACAAAAGATCAAGCAATGGCTCACGGGCCAAGACGGTCTCGATAAGCTGAGAATGAGCGAGGCGGACTGTCCCACTCCGGGTGAAGACGAAGTACTGGTGGAAGTTCATTCTGTCAGCTTGAATTACAGGGATACCGAGGGTTTGTGAATCCGAGAAAACCAAAGAAACCAGGAACTAGACTAATCACGTGATATAGTGGCCATGGGTCAATACAACCACCACGCCTCGGTCGATCATCCCCCCGCTATTGTGCCGTGCAGCGACATGTGCGGTGTAGTAGTGGCAGTCGGCCCAACCTCTGAGAATTCCTCTGATCCTTTCAAGAACCCCGCCTTTCGTCTCAAAGAAGGCGATCGCGTCATTAGCACCTTTGCACCAACTCATTTGAGCGGTCAAGTCAAAGGATCCGATGTTGCAAGTGGCCTCGGAGGTCCTGCTCCCGGTGTAATGACACAATACCGCGTCTTCCCCAATTACGGTGTTGTCAAGGTTCCAGATTACATGACCGACGATGAAGCAGCTTGCCTACCCATTGCAGCCATGACGGCCTGGATGAGTCTGAACTGCATGCGCCCCAAGGGCGAAATCATTGGTCAGGGTGAGACGGTTGTTTGTCAAGGCACTGGTGGTGTCAGCATTTGTGCCGCTCAGATTGCTACCGCAGCAGGCGCCGATGCTATCGTCACATCCTCTTCCGATGAGAAACTTGAGCGCGCAACCAAGCTAGGCGCAAAGACGACCATCAACTACCGCAAGAACCCTGACTGGGAAGCCAAGGTTCTGTCCGCCACTGCCGACGAAGGCGCCGACATCATCATCGAAGTCGGCGGCGCGCAAACCCTACGCAAGTCTTTTGACTGCGTACGTTTCGGCGGTTTGATCTCTTGTATTGGATATCTCTCCGGCAAGCAAGATGAGGCTGGCGACAGAACAAACACGAACCTACTTTGCTTGAAGAGGAACGTCACGCTAAAGGGCATCTTGAACGGGCCTCGATCTGAACTTGAGAGGATGCTCAAGTTTTACGACGAGAAGAAAATCAGGCCAGTCGTAGACCGTGTGTGGAAGTTTGAGGAGGCAGATCAGGCACTCAAGTATTTGTTCAGTGGAGGACACTTTGGAAAGGTTGTAGTTAAGGTTAAGGCATAAGTGGATGATGGCAATGAATATTTTACGCTACACTATCTCGGCGTTCCAGTCCCCGTGCTTATATGTTATCACGTCATCTTTTGTTTCGGTTCACGAAGCCACTCACAGAGCTTCTTCAACTCAACCGGAGTCTTCCCATCACACTCCCGCGAACACCTAGTCTCTCGCTCTTTCTCTGCCAAAACATCTTCTATGTTCTCTCCATCGCGAAACGCTTTCAAATACCTCGTCGGGCTAACCATCAACGCCCTCGCCGTACGAGAAAACTGGATATCTCCATCCTGCATAGCCTTCCTATCGCGACCTGCCCAGTCCACATCGGGAAATAGTCGCTTGAACAGCAGAAACAACGCATCCGTTTCTCCGTTACCTTTCTCGTCATTCTCACGGAGGATGGCCGTAACGCACTCCTTGTGGAACCACCATGCATTGGGGCGTTGATCCCACATGTTTGATGTTTTCCCAATGACAGCAAACCCACGTTCCAGTACATCAATATCCATGCGTGCATGGCTCGGTATGCCATCGAAGAAATATAACGCACACGCGCGATGAATGTCGTCGTCGCTCATCTTGTCCAGCGGCGCAGTGTATCTCATAACACCTGCATCCCACTCCTTCAGTTTGTCGAAGAAAGTACCGAGCGCCAACATCTCTGGTGTCATGTCAATACTACTCATCTGCTTTGTCCTACGCCAGGTATTCCGTGTGACATTAACCGCGTTTTCAAAGTCACCCTACCCTTTCATTCCCTCGTTCAACGCTTCAGAATTCATTCTGAATATCCAGACGAGCTGATGTTCCTTTGAATTGCTGCCTTCATCTTGAGTCCATGGTACGGTGCCGTTGAATTTCTGCAGCAGGTCGCAGAAAAGGCGTTGTTCGGTCAGAGGGAGCATGGTGAGCTGGTCGATGATGCCTGTGCTGGTGGCAGGTGAAAAGATGCGTTGAGACAGCCAGGTTTCAGAGATTTTGTGAATGGTGTAGAGGGAATTTGTGAGGGAGGTAAGTTTGGAGGTATGTTCGGGATTGAATTTAGGGATATCAAGGCAGTGCTTTTCGAGGATATGCTTTGCGGTTTCTAGATTGAGGGCTATGGAATCCATTTTTTGTTGCAAGGAGGAGGGGGATAGGTGAATTAGGGGGGAAAAGAGCAGTGTTTTATGTTGTGACCTTATGTGTCGTTTGTAGAGAAGGGCTGAAGTGGAAACTGCTAGGTCCTTCGGGTGACTAGTAGCAAGTTTTTCTGTTCAATGAGGAAGATAGAAGCATCTTGTAGAGAAAAGAGAGGAATGAAGGATTGGAATGATTGGGTTTGGCCTTCGTATCCTGCTTTTCCATACCGAGACATTTTTGAATCAGATATGGTTCACTCCACATCGCTAACACAGAAGCATTGAAAGACATGCACCACCCGTGTTCCCAATATCCCCTTCTATCTAATCCTCTTACTCTCCCTCTATCCTGCCGACCTCCTCAACTGCCTTCACCAACTCCCGCGCAAACCACCTCAGAGCCTCCCTGCTCTTCTCAAACCCCTCATCTCCCTCCTTCACTTCGATCCACTCCTCTTCAGCCCCCAACACCGCCTCCGCTCCTCTCCTTCCTTTGACCAACTCTTTCACCAAACCCCTCGGCCCCAGCATGACCGCCCAAACAACAGGCGAAATCTCAAAATCACCCTTCTCCAGCGCCTCGCGCTCAAACACTGTCCAATCGTTCGTTTCGAAGATGATGCTGAGAGTTTTGCTGAAACTCGCGATCAATGCTGGACCTAGGCCCCATATGTAGAACAGTAGGTCGCGTGGGTGGGAGGGCTTGTTGAGGATGTCGGAACATAGGTGCAGAGTGGTGAGGCCATCGGTTATTGCTTGCACAGTGTCAATGGTTTCGTCGAGGGTGAGGTTAGTGGTAGTCATGAGGATGCGGGTGTAGAGGTTCATCAGTGCAGGGATGCGCATAGTCTATTGGTGGTGGGTTAGCTTGGAGCTTATCTAGGTAGGGTGGTGGGCATAGATGTGGAATTGGGGGCGACGTACCTCGAAAAGTGCTGTCTCGGCGGTATGAACAACGACAAAGTCGTCGAAGGGATTAGCGGAGACGCGGACGTCGTTGGGCACGGTTATGATTTCTTTGCCTGTTGTGGGTGCCATGGAGCCTTCATCAATGTGAGATGTGGATGTGGCAGCGCGCGTATCTGAGGTAGACATTTTTGTTGGTGGTGGAGGTAAGTTTGGTGGTGAGGTGGGGTATGGTTTGGTCGATTAGGCTGGCCTGTCGTGTTGGGGTAATGGAAAAGAGGCAGCGATATATACTAGCGTGGAAGTAAATCACGTGTTGAGCAGGCTCCCAGGGACCCTGTGAGGAGGGTCTTGCAGGGATCATTCACTCGCGTTGATATTAAACACACGTTTGCCTGTCTTGATGATTGCAGTAAAGACGAGAGCATTAAATACCTCGAAGGAAGAATGTCTAGCCAAACTAAAGAGGGGCAATGATCGGGTCACGTGGTAGGTTGATTGCGGACGAGTAGCAAGCCAGGCAGCCACAGCGTCCTGATGTGGCACATATCTGAACACGAACATTGCACATGAAACTATTTTCTGGGACTCCCCGAGCAAATAATCACTTCTTCTCCGATCAAGCAACAGTTTGCCCGGTTCCTTGTCAACAAGACGCACAACAAGCACCCAGACCCCGAAAATGTCGAAATCAGGGTCAAGACTACAACCAGATACCTCCTCGACGGCGACTTCAAAGTGCTCAACCACATCAAAGAGATTGTAGAGTCTCAGGGCGGTAGTCCCAATGAGCAAGTTTGCACGCAGGTAGAGCAGTACATTTACAGTCTCCCCGAATTCAAGCCTCTCAGACGATAACAATGTCGTACATTGGGCATTGATGTCGCTGTTTCGCTGACAGCTACGCTGCAATAATTGGCGAGCGATTGACGCCGAGGTATCGAAATCAAGCAGGTTAGGTACTCGTTCTTGCCATGGGCAGTCGTGAGGGACCTCAATTGCCTGATGGAAGATATTCACGAGGAAACTTTTAAGGTAACGGCTCCGAACACGAGACTAAGGCGAATTTGAGAGCATTAATACATGTAGAGTGGGATTAGTGGAGGGGAACAACAAAAAACCTATCGTGGAAGGGGATGAAAGAGATAAGGCTATGGGACTGCTTGCGGAAGTGTTACGGAAGTGGGCGATGAGTTGTGAGGAGAGAGAAGAGAAGTCTGACGAGGAAGACATTAAACAGGAGGAAACTCGGTCAAGGAAGAATATAGTGACTAGTGCAGCAACAAACCCATTTCCTAAAACTAAGCAGAGCAAGACAGCTGAAATGCGCATTGCACAGTACCACGAATTGGCCAAAAATGTCATCTACCCCTTTACAGACATCCCGTCTACCCCACGCCCACCATATTCGCAAAATCGCCCGCCACTACAGCTTAGACCCAGTCCCCTCCTCAAATTCGCTCAACTCCCTCCTCACCCCCTTCCGCGGACTATCACCAAACTCCTTCCCCTGGCGCCTCTGCAACTCCTCCTTGCTCTTCCACTTCCACGCCTCATCCTTCTCCTTCCCATTACTCTTACCTTGGAGTACATTGCACATGTACGCGCCCGCCACGGGCAGAAACCTATTTCCGTCAGTAAAAGTACAGTGCAGGAAGCCAGAGCTGAAGAAAAACAGCGGAGGAGGCATAAAACGTACTTGTACGAGTGAAAACTCCCACCCACAGCGAGGAAGAGGTTACTGAGGGCTGAATGCGGATGCCTACACAACAGCCAATCTTCCGTTGGTGTAACAGCATCATAGCACACACGCCACCTCGTCGGCGTTCTCCCGCTCGTCCACTGAGGCATCGCATCCTGCATGATTCTACTGCTCTCTCGCTTAAGCCTCGCGGGGATATCGGCTTGATGCCTCTTCGCGGGTACAGTGATACGGTGGCCAGAAGGCGTAACAACACTATTCACAACCTCAGTTTTCAAATCATTGATTTTCAGCGTGCGGTTTGGCTGAGATGGTGGGATGATGTCTACTTTACCGCCGATGACGACGACGGGGAGGTTGGATTCGATGTGTTGTTGGGTTTCCTGGGGGCTGAGGGTGTAGTAGGCGGACAGCCGGCCTACGGCTGTGATTTGGCGTTCTATGCGGTCTTGTTGGTTGAAATTTAGGGTTTCTTCGAGGGGGGAGAGGAGAGAGCTTGTCCAGGCTCCGGCTGCTAGGACGATTTTGTCAGCGCTGAGGATGCGGCCGTCATGTAGTTTGACGCCTGTGAGACTGGATTTGTTGGTGTTGAGAAGGAGCTGTTGGACTTGTCCCGTGACTCGTTGGACGCCTAGTTCTAGGGCTACTTTGATGAAACTTTGGGTTGCGCGCTCTGCGTCACACCAGCCTGCCTCGGGGTTGAAGTAGCCTTGGCCTAGGTGCTCGGTTTGGATGCCGCGGGTTACGGCGTATTCCTGCAGTTGTTCTGGGGGAACACTGCGCGTGTAGTCTCCCCCGCGCTCAATAAACGTCTTCTTTACTGCATCACCGAATCCGCCTTCTTTGTCATCTAGCACGATCCATCCTGTCTTGTGGAAATGGCCTTGGACCGCTATACTCCAGAACCAGAAATGAATGGCTTCGTTGGCGAGGTCGCAGTACAAGTGAGATTCATAGTCGGTTCGAATGATGCGATTCGTGTCAATGGCTGCCGCTTGCTTTTCTTCAAGAGGCGAACTGTGATCCCAGCGGTCGATGATGGTTACACGCGACGGATCCTTGTATTGCTTGGCGAGATGGTACGCAGTCGAGGTACCAAAGGTACCAGCGCCAATGATGAGTACGGTGGGTTCCTCGTTTGCCATGTTGATGTGTTTGAGAAAATGGAAGACATCATCTCGACTCGGGGATATCGACTCGGCTGGTCAGTGAAGGATGCTTGCTCGCGCTAGTGCTGCGGGGTTTTGCGGATCCGATGCGGAGCTTGGCTGGAAACTGCATCGGTCTTCACGATCGTAAGATGCATCCAGGACAGAAGACTACTTTCATGATGTTTGCAATGGACATGTGCCATGATGGCTTGTTGACCTTTACTATTCGCGGGGCACCCAAGTGCATCACCTGACCGACTCTTTACGCACAATACATGTAGTGCCTTGTTAAATCCAACACTGTCGCTCTCTTGTCGCATTCATGGCAAAGACGCTCATGTTTCAAAGCTCCGATTGAACACAACAGAAGCGCATTGAGTTCAAACGATTCTTTGGTGTCCGCGAGCGTACGCGGCAAGATCAGAGGTTGGAGAGGATACCATGTATCAGGCAATGACAAGAGGTGCAAATAACATGACTACTTCACCATCGCCTGCTCATCGCTGCATCAGCATGATTGAGGAGAGGAGAGTTCGGAGTGTCATGAGATGGAACGTATAGATGTACTACAGCGAGCACGTTGATGAAGACGACGACGCAACTCAGCTTGGCAAGACGCGCGAGCCGGGAAATGGCGCTAGTCGGAAAAGGTCACCGCAAGTATTGACAATACGCCGACAACCCGACAATTCGCAATGCTCGTCTTTGGGATGACCGGCAATGGTTCCGTAGTGGGATATCTGGCCTGTTGGAATTCACGCAGAATGGGTTCCCCCACGCACCTGGTTTCAAACCTGATGATCTATCTCGCATCCTGCCGAGATTCTAGGCGCGGAACATGGGTGGTGAGCGTTTATAGCGACGGCCAGAGATGCAGATAGCGCGACGAGGAAAGAGGTGCGAGGCTGGAAGTTCATGCGGGCGGTCCCAGAGCACCTGGTCGATATCACGACTCTTCCCTGGAATAGTGTATTTGTTAGAAAGGTATCTATACCAATCAACGCAGTGGCAAAGAGTGTTCACTTTTTGTCTCAACAGGTTATGAGCCCGGGGCCGCTTTCAGCGCATCAGCAGGTTCGTGATGGACTGCTTGTTGGGTGAGTGACCACAGCCGATTTGCCAGAGCAAGAGGGCCAGCGCCAAGCAGGGCCAGCGCCAGAGCCAGAGTCGCAAACCGCTCGCATTACTTTGTCCCCCTGCCTTGATTGCGGGGGTGTGTTAGAAAGGTATCTATACCAATCAACGCAGTGGCAAAGAGTGTTCACTTTTTGTCTCAACAGTATTCGTCTTTTGCGACGAGGCTGCATTCATGACTCGTATAGCTTCAAGGGACGCTATCGGCAAACTTGTAACCACCAAAAAACAGTTGCAGTTGCAGTTGCAAAGATAAGCATGTTCAGGTAACTACGGAAAAAGAGGGCCGCAAATCTCTCCGTCCCGTTGCGGCTTTTAAAAGAGATCTACACAAGTGCGAGGAATCGACCAGGTTTGGTTTTTTCTAGAATTTCGCCGCAGCGTGCGATAACTACGGACCCTGGTGACTCAACCGCCGCCCCACCAACAAGCCTCGCATTGCGGAAATCCATAATTGATATCAACAACACCAAAATGCCGCCCAAGGTTCATCTCGTGCGCCACGCGCAGGGAGAGCACAACGCAACTGTATGTCACTAGGGCTTCTACTAGGAAATGAGCTAACACATTGTAGCGTGACTACACCATCCGCGATGCCGTTTTGACAGCCAAGGGCAAGGAGCAATGTGCCACGCTGCGTTCAGCTTTTGCTCACCACGACGAGATTGACGTGGTTTTCGCGTCTCCACTGCGCCGCACGATTCAGACTGCAGCGTTGAGTTTTGGGCCTGTGCTATCACGCCAAGAAGTGTCGTTCGCGTTGCTACCAGCGTTGCAAGAGGTGTCCAACATTGCTTGCGACGTTGGCATTGCAGATATCGGCGCCGACGTGCACAAGTTTCTGCCCGACTTGTTCACTCCAGGCGAGCTTGACTTTGATGTTGGCAAGGTTGATGCTTCGGCCGTGACCGAAGGCTGGAACTCAAAGGTTGGTCGATCTCCCGACATGATGTCAGTATGCATGCTTACTAAGACGTGTTTGCAGCAAGGCTATTGGGCGTACGAGAAGACGGCCATTTCGAAGCGGGCAGCAGAGTTGAGGAATTGGCTTTATCAACGGCCCGAGGCGCAGGTAGGTTGATTCCATGTATTGGGCATGGGGTAATGGTAGGCTAATTGGTAGGTCATCATCGTGACCCATGGTGCATTTGCGCACTTTTTGACAGAGGACTGGGACGTGGAGGATCCCATGCTGGGGACTGCTTTCAAGAACTGTAAGTCGATGGGCAGACTTGCATGATTACTCCAGCTGACGGATCAGGTGAGCATCGTGTGTACGTCTTCTCTCCAGGGTCCACGGTTAAAGAGGCCCATCTGGAAGAGACGTGGGAGAGTAGGAGGAAGCGAGGCGGCCCCGAGGTCGAAAAGGACCCGCATGTAGTGGAAGAGTTTCTAAAGACGGCTGCATGAATGGGCTAGACTATGCCTTTGGACAACGGCAGTAGTTTGGCGTTGTAGTTGGAATGGATGGGTCGAGGTGGTGGAGACACAAGGCGTGAGTGACATGTTCGGCAGTGGTTGCGATATTTTCCATGACTACAAGGCTTCTTGGCTCAATTCTTGGACAATTCAAGTGACATTTTGGCATTGCTTGTGAGGCTCGGTATAGTCTGGGGTAGACGTCTCTGCCCATGCACGCAATCTATTTTGACCAGATGGATGATTGGTGGGCGCTTGGTTCGGCAATGCACTCCACAAGACCCTCGCAGTGCAAGATAAGCGGTCGTCACGCGACTCGCTGCGAGGAGATGTAATTCACCGAAGCTCATGTCGTGCATTGCCGTCTTGGGACAGGCGAGCGGCAAGGATCGGGCTGGTCAGAGTTTGCAGCATTTCCGGTTTGGGTAAAAGGTGGACAAGCCCCGCCGAGAGCCGGGACGGCGCATATCAGAAGGCTTGATCCGCGGCTGCGCAGCCACCCGAGGCAGCCCTACCACCTACGTCGCCTAACCAGCGCCGCTGTCGACTGTTGCTCGTCACTGCGCATGACCTGTCTCTGATGCTGGTCGACTTTCCCCATGTCCGCACTGTAGCGCGACGTTTGACGGTGATGTCAGTCATTGAGAAACGGGGCGATGTCACCAAGGCAAGGAATCCGTGGCACGTCCCAAGGTACGCTGCTCGGACACGTAAAAAGGTGAAAATTTTACGTCAACTGCGACGCGCTATGTGGATCACACTGCAACCACCGCCACTGAGAGGCATCCCCAGGCATCGCACGCACCCAACCTTGGTACCGTACGAGCGCTCGAGCCGACAAACTGCTAACATGGTCCAGCATAGGGCGTCGGTCAACATCGGTCTTCCGCCATCTTGGGAGCGCGCGGGGGAATCGCCGTTTGGAATATTCTATTACACACGTTTGCGGGTGCAGAGAGATAAGCCCTCTAATATAAGACTGTTTTGATGCCGCCATTGAAATGTCTTCTCGAGTACATCTCAGTGCGTGTGCTGCATTCACCCTACCGTACCCGTCCCCACGGTAATACGTCACACGCATCTCGCGCCAACCCGGCCACTCCGACTTTCTCGACTGGATCCAAGACCTACACTGCGACTACTCGTTTCAGTCAAGACGACTAGCTAGCCCCATCAGCAAGCGTCCACTACCAAAAACTCGCAGTGCCCACCTTTTTGTCTTTATCCATCCCTCTCTTCTTGCCATATCCTTTTTATCCCAAGATGCAAGAAGCACCTTACACGGGCAACGCCCAATATGGCGTCAACACTGGCGTCAACGCTACCCAATACACTAACCCGCCCAACTACCGCCTCGACGACTTGTCGTCTGACGGCAAGAAGAGCGACCCTGAACTTGCGCCCGTTGACAAGACGGCCACTGTCCAGGAAGGATCCGAAAAGTTCCACCGTCTCGGATGGAAGCAGCTCACAATCTGCCTCATCGTCGAGGCCATTGCGCTAGGCTCTCTCTCAATTCCTAGCGCGTTTGCGACCCTGGGTATGGTTCCCGGTACCATCATGTGCATTGGTCTTGGTCTCGTCGCCATCTACACCTCGTACGTTGTCGGTCAGGTCAAGATGCGCTACCCGCATGTTTCCCATTACTCGGACGCTGTCGAACTCATCTGGGGCAAATTCGGAGCTGAACTCACCGGTGTCATGTTTGCCCTGTTCTTGATTCTCCTTGTTGGATCTCACGCACTTACCGGAACCATTGCCTTTATCAACATTATCGGCAACTACGCTACCTGCGCGCTCGTCTGGGGTATCATCTCCATGATTATCCTCTTGGTTCTCGCCCTCCCACCTACGTTCCACGACTTTGCCTGGTTGGGATACATTGATTTCATCAGTGTCATTGCCGCCATCTTGATCACCATCATCGCAACTGGTATCCAGGCACACGACGCCCCTGGTGGCCTTAGCGCAGTCAACTGGTCCGCATGGCCCAAGCCTGACACGACCTTTTACCAGGCATTCCTCGCAACCACAAACATCATCTTCGCCTACTCCTTTGCCGTGTGCCAATTCTCCTTCATGTCGGAGATGCACACCCCTAAGGATTACGTCAAGTCCATCTGGGCTCTTGGTCTGATTGAAATCTTCATCTACACCCTCACTGGAGCTCTCATCTACGCCTTTGTCGGCCAGGAAGTCAAGTCGCCCGCTCTTCTCTCTGCCGGCCACACCGTTTCTCGTGTTGCCTTTGGTGTCGCCATGCCCGTCATCTTCATCTCTGGATCCATCAACGGCACCGTAGTATGCAGGTACATTATGGACCGCGTCTTCGCCAACTCGCCCATTCGCTTTGTCAAGGACGTCCGCGGTTGGGGAGTTTGGATTGGACTCATCACTATTACTACCGTCATTGGATGGATCATTGCCGAGGCCATTCCCTTCTTCAACGCTCTTCTCGGCCTCATCTCCTCGCTCTTCATTTCGGGCTTCACCTTTTACTGGCCCGCTCTCTTTTGGTTCCAGCTCGTCAAGGAGGGCAAGTGGAACTCTTCCGCCAAAAACATTACACTCAGCATCGTCAACGCTATCGTCTTCATCATCGGTCTGGTCGTCTTGGGCGCCGGAACATACGCATCGGTAGAGGACATTATTACCCAGTACAACTCTGGCGCTGTCAGGAGTCCGTTCACTTGCTCCGCAGAGTCATATGCGTAGATGAATAGAGTGGGTGTAAAATTATGATAGACATTACAAAACACTTGGGGTGATGGCTAGGAGAAAAATAGACTAGAGTGTACGAGATGCTGGAATGGTGATTACGAGAAACATGTATATATCAAAGTCCTCAGTGAGGCACTTCTCTTACGATTATGAGTAGCAGTTGCATAGCGTTGGCGACCAATTCATGACACTATCTTCATACCGTTTATTGCTGGTCTCGTGATTTCGTGAACAATCGCAGCTTGGTGAGCGCTGAGTAGTTAGCTGCCTTTACTTGAGCTTTCACATTGTGTGTGTTGTGCTAGTCCAAACATGGACTAGCGCACTCGATGACGCATGTCCTGTGCAACCATCGCGGGCACGTAACCCCAAACAAACACACCGATTTTGATTAGGACAACCTTCATGTCCTTTTCACTCTCACCCGTGCACTATTTAACCAAACGTCCGCCACCATACTTCAGCGCTGTTTGACCACACCCAAGCGTCAGCCTTACTTCGACAACGACAGCCATAATGGCGCAGACACAGGCAGAACCCATAATGGCACAGGCACAGACGGAATCCATCATCGCCGCCCTTCACGACTTCATTCAGCAAGAGCGCAAGCGCAACTTCCATTTCCTAGACCGTCATAGTCACCTCTACATGCAACAAGAAGAACTCCTTATAGTCACTCAGGTCAACGCAGATGATGTGGAAGACTTGCACTCGATACGCGCCGCTGAGATGGCTGGCATGAAGGACAAGTTGTTCAAATTGTTCGAACCGCTACGAGGCAACGAATCTGAGCGCGTCGTCGCTGTTCTAATCCGTCCTGGCGACGCCGTCGTTGTCGAAAACATAGTCATTGTTCAGTTTGGTCTGACAAACAATCACGTACGACAAGAGAGGGCAGTTGATTGGCTCAGATTTACCTACTGCGGCGATGATGACAATGGTACATGGGCTATGCCGTCTTCTGAGGAGCAGTACGGCGAGCAGTATCTGTGGTGGAATAGTACCGGTCAGACGTTTCGGTTCCTTGATCTCCCTGCAGAGTTGCGTGCGAATATCTGTCTTCAAAGCCTGGGGCCCGTCGTGGTACCCGATCGAATCGCGGCCAGATGGCATTACAAGGACAGACTCACCCTGGGCAGTGGTCTGAGTATCGGCGACAGCAACCGCTTTGGTATCACCCGCGACCCAGATATCGAAAGCCCAAACCTCTCCATCTTGCGTGTTAACAAGCAGATCCACCAAGAAGCCAGGGAGGTCGCCATGCGCGATACAACAAAGCGCTTCAGCTTCCTCCGCGGCCTCCGCACCGGCCCCCACACATCCGTCAACCGCATCTTCAGGGCAGCCGTAAACTTCCCCCCAGACCCAAAGTTTCTGCGAAAAGTCCAACTGGAAATGACTGCCGCGCAATACTTTGCCTTCATTGGTTACGTGCCCAAGAAAGAGGACCCTTTCGCCCGCACTCGAACTACTTTCGTATCCTTCTCCGCTCTCCAAAATTTCAGGAACCTCGCCACTCTGGACTTCCGCTTCATCTCGCCCAAACACCCCAGCGCAAAATGCCCTTTTGTAGTCATCTACGATAGAATGTTCCCCCTCGAACACTCCTGCCAGAAGAAATGGATCGACCTCTTCTTCACCCTGGCCTTCGACACACTTCGTACACTCATCACCAGCAGGCCCATCACGGTCACCACATCGGGTTGTATCAAGACATCCTCAAAGGTCTACTGGGAACACGTATTCAACGACAAGAACGAGGACCACACTGCCGAGATTCAGGGTATGGAGGAGCGGGCGCGTAGGAACAAGAACAACAACGACGAGCCATTGGAATGCGAGTGTTCTTATCCTTGCGCGGGTGATTTGGAGCCGGGTGTGAAGTTATTCGAGTGTGAGGACTGGGTATATAAGCGGATTGAGGGCTTGCATGAGATGAGGGAAGGGGTTTACTGGGGGTTTGATGATTAAAGGGTTTAGGGGATTGGGGGCATTTCAGGAGTTGGCGCGAATGGATACCGTCTTGGCTAATGCGATGTGTAAAAAATCTTAATTGTGTGTAATGAAATGAATTCAGAGATGGCATACATGGCTTGATCAAGTCTCTCATCCAGTTGTTATTATATGCACGAGCGCTATCGGAGCGCCTAGAAACTACCAATACATGCAATCATATGTGCCAGGACCAAATCTGAACACGATAATTGTGGGATATTGGTCCTGACGTACGATACTCCGGCACGCTAGATACGAGACCCATGAATTTGAGGGATACATGATTTTAGGGGACCACAAGTCACGCAGAGCTACAGCCATGTATGCGCCCGGCTTATACGTCAATCTTGCCACTAACAATCACATGCCCATCTTGCAGAATACTAGCATTGTACGGCGTGAGACTTATCAGTTTCGAGGAGGCGGGGAAGCTACACCAACACATCTCCCCTCCCGCATCGGCGTCAATATCCAAGCCATGGCAACCCAACCGCACCGTGATCTACCCACATGATACGGACCTTACACATCGAGACCCAGCTACGCTCTCCATATGGTCCTCTGCACGCTCGTTGTTTCCCTTTGCAGACTAGCAGCACACACACATTACACACATCTTATTGAAACAAGGTCCCTCTAGTAGTATGACTACTATGGATAACCGAGTGGGAGGAGGGACAAGGCGGGGTGGCTGCAACGTATTGTATTGACTATCGTAGTTCGGTGTCTAGGTCTCACTCTATTGTGGTGGGTGCTATTGCCCACCGGGCAGTGCCTGCCACACCAGCACATCATGTGATCCCCAAGCACCTTCTACCTGGACTGAACCCAGATATTCTCAACACATCTCACCATTACCATCTTCGCCGCTATACTCAGTCTCTGCGCTGTGCGCCTCAGACAGCATATCGGATCCACACCAGCCATAGCGAGCTGCCCTCGCTACATCACCTACACAATATGCCTTCTGTTCTCCCTCTACTACGTATCCACGTTCATCGAAACCCACATGTCTAATCCAGCCCACCTCTACACACCCACTCAACACAGCCGTACACTTCGCCCTCGCTTTCTTCGCGCTATCAGAGGCAGAGTTCAGCCGCCGTTGCCTGGCTCACTACGGTGACCCCGGTACACTCGGCGTACGTATTCTCGTCGTCTCACGCTGCGGGGCCGACAGAAACTTCCCCGTCGCTTGTGTCCTGCTGGCGTACTGGTACCATTCACCCGTGCACCTGACCAGCGAGCTCGACTACGACGATGGCGTTTTAGATGCCAAGTATTATTCTTCCCGGGCGTTTAGACTCTTCATACTTTCAAATTATGGGTTTCTCGCCGTGAATACTTGTCTCAATTACGCGCTGCAGAGGCTGGTGAATCCGAATCCGCATGATGTGGCTTGTCCACCGTATGATCCAAGTACGGCTTTTAAATCTTGTTATCGGTTTTTGGATTGTACGGGATTGATTACGCGTCTTTTTGAGGAGAGGGCTTGGAGTGTGATGTTGTTTAATCATTTTGTTTTCTCGAGGGTGGTGACGCATACGAATTTTGTGGGCTTTTGGGCTGTGGTGGATGGCGGGGTGTAGGTGGGGAGGTGGTGGAGGGGTAGGGGTAGGGGAGATGCGGGTATGCGTGGGTTGAGGTAAGGGAGTCTTGTGGTCTCGTCCCTAAGGGGCAGTCTCAACCACGGTACCTTTCTTGACACACACTTTGCGAAGAGGGGCTGATTCTTTCTATAGAGATATTCGAACTTCAATCCTCCTACATTAAAATGCAACAAAACACCATGCCGACGCCTTCCCCCGCCCCTCCTCTGCCAACACACACCACAATGCAACCCAACGCCCCAAAGCCACATCACAACCGCTTACTCCGTACGGTCTACGAACCCTACCTATCGAAATTCAGCTACGCCATCCATGTATACCTCAGCGCCGTCGTCGTCATGCTCTGCACAGACTCAGTCCTTCCCTACCAACCCATAATATTCTTCCTCTACGCCATCTTAATCGGCGCAGGCATCTACAAAACCAAAGACGCCTTAAGCCGTGTACAAATCCGTACCTCAATCCGGTACTACATGGCCTACGCATTGCCCTTGCTATTCGCCTTATACTACGCCTCCACTCTAATCATCACCTACCTATCCAACCCCACCCACGCTCTACACGCGCACCCAACACAGCGCCGTACACTTTACCCTATGCTTCTACACGCTATCAACACTGCAGCAATACACCACACATGGCATCACAGGCACTTTCCTGCCTGGCGGGAAATTACCCAACGCGGCCAGCGGACCCACGGGATACTGGACATACACGCCCTACTTACTACTCGACAAGGATCAGATCCCAAAGATGTCGCGTCTCAGGTATCGATTTAGCCTAGCCCACTCGGCTCACACCTTCCAAGTCGTCGTCTTCCACACCGTCACCGGCTTGCTCAACCATGCCGTACGTCGCCTCGTCAATCCCGCCGCTGTGTATCCTGATAGCAGCGCGAAACTTTGCTGGCCGGCCCAATGTGTAGATGTAAATTGGTTTGATGATCTTATGCTGGTGGCTCCGGGCATGAATACGTATCTTTTCGATGAGTAGAGTGTGTGGGTGTTTTTCCTAAATTATTACGTCCTTTCTCGCGTGGTGAGGGAGACGCATTTTGTGGTTTTCCGGGGCGCGGTGGATGGGTACGTGGGGCTGAGGAGGTGGTGGAGGAGGAGTCGTGGGGTTGCGGAGGGGGAGAAGTGTGATCTTTTTGAGAAATTTGGTGTTTGTGGTGGCTGGCGGCGGCAAGATGATGAGGGTACGATGGATGAGAAGAGTAGGTTGTTAGAGGGTTATCATGATTACGGTGAGGTATAAGCATTGCATATAAGGTGTTGGGATAACACTTTAACTGCTTTCTTACACTGCTATTACGACAAAACTGCGTAGTGAAAGTCTGCTGCGAAGAATTGATATCGGAGCCCCATCACTATGCACACCACCACCCATCACCTCACATACCCATACCCATACCCATACCCATACATTGTCGCCTCCCTCATCTCGCTTCATCAGTCCAGCTCAATCAAATCCAAAAAAAAACATGCATTAAGAATAATCTGCATTACATCTGCCAACTAAAGCGGTATACATGTCCTCCCTGTTCCAGAGAAGAAGGAAGGAACCAAAACCCGTTGGTCCCCCCCTTTTAGTCATGAAAAGAAGAAATAACAAGGAAGGCTTATGTACATTACCCCCCCTTTCTTCGACTTCGACTTCGGCGGTCTTTGCGACCATTGCCCATACTCATGAATATACACAGTTCCAACTCACACACCAGGTATGTCTATTATAATCCACCCACGTCCCGTACATCGTACATCGACGACGGCAGGTACAGCCCCTCCTAAGAGCCCCCACCCCCAACACCAACATTACTACTACTAACCGTCCTCTTCCATCCGCCCCAGCCCCACCCACCACCGGCCGCAGCCCCCGTCTCCTTGGGCACAGGACTAGGTGTCACGACCGGACTACCAGTCCCACTCCCACTAATAACCCTCTTCATGCCCTCGAACCGACTCCGCAGTTCTTCCAACTCCTGCCTTGCCACCGCCTCGGCCGTCTTGGCATTCACCAGCTCCAGCAACAACGCCTCGCTATCCGCAGGAGCGTTGTTCTCAGTCGCCAGCACGCTCTGTGTGAGCAGCGAGGAGGAGCGTTTAGCATAGGTGGATTGTTGAGAGTGAGAGGGTCGGTCTGATTTCTGGGATGGGGTGCGGCCGAGGCGTAGTTCGCGGAGGCCGCCGCTAACGGAATCCGAGGTAGTGGAGCGGGAGAGGGAAGGAGGGGTATCGGGAGTGTAACTGTCGCCGCCAGACCAAGATGCAGCGGCAGATTGTTTGCGCGACATTTGCCGTAGTTCTTGGATTGTTTTTTCTTGACGTTGCGATTGGTTGTAGCTGTCTTGGAGGCGGTGCCGGGTATCTTTTAGGGCGTCGCGTGCGATTTGGAGTTCGGCGTCGCGGTCGCTGAGGTCGCGGGCGAGAGAGTTTGCGCGGAGTGTTTCGTTTGCGAGTTGTTCTTTTATCCTCGTGATGTTTTCGCGGAGGAGTTGCTTGGTTTCGAACATGCTTGAGGCCCGGTGGTGGAGTTGGGCGGCAGGGAAGCGGGATTCGAGTGTTGAGACGATTTCTGTGGCTTCTTCGGTTAGGGTGGTCGGTTTATCTTCGCGCGATACATCTGTTGCGGCAGTTACGGTGGTTCGGCGTCGTGAGGTGCGGGTTGAGGGGGCGGCGAGGGTGGGCGTCTTCTTGCGGACTTTCTCGACTACTGTGCGCACGATGCGGTGGTCTTCGCTGCGGTCTTCGCGCTGCTTTTGTAATGCCGCCTCCAGTTCGCTATTTTGTCGCTGTAGCTGGCTGACTGACATGAGTAGCTGCTCAATCTGATAGTGCAAGTCGCGATCCTTTGCAGATAGGCCCATGGCAACGGAACCATGTCCAGATTTGACCGACATGGCGTCGCCATTGGAAGCGCGCGAAAGGTCCGTCATGGCAGTGCTAGCAGTCGCGGCCGAACTATCGGATTCCGCAGTCGAGTTGAGTGTTGAAGCCAGGCTCTGTTTCGAGGCTGAGCGCCTCAGGAAGCTGACGGGTCGTGAAGGTGCGGAGAGACCCGGGCTGAGTGAAACCGATTTAGTCGAAGAGTTGCTAGGGCCCCAGAGACGGCCCAGGAACGATGTGGCAGATTTCTGGACCTGCTGCTTTGACGAATCCTTTTCCTGGGCCTCCTTGTACTGTTGCTCCAACCCCTGCAACCTTTCACGCGTCACATCATTTGTGAAACCGACAAAATCACCGACCAATTCATCAGCTGACCCCGCCTTCCGGCCGTAGGGATCCCAAAGTTGACGTCCGAGCAACAGTTGCATTACGTCTTCGAATTCACTCAGCGAAAGCAGCTTTTGCTCGTTGCGCTTCATGAGGGCAAGTGCGACACGCATAATTGTCTCGGACGCGCCCTCGGCAAACAAGACGTCGTAGATGCGGAAAAGCATGGGGAGCGGACATGTAACTGCGAAAAAGGACAGAAACCATTGCGACAGATATGCAGACTCGACCCCGAGTGTATCGAGATGTTGTGCCAGCTGCGGCATGTGCTGGTGGAGCAGCTTTTGGAATTGGAAGATGCGGAGATGAAGGCCGGATAGATCCGGGAGAAAGCATGAACGTAGATCATAATCTTCCATGAGTCTAGGAAAGTCAGTCAGAACGTGGGAAAATACGAAATTGCATACCTGACGAGCACGCAAAAGGCCTCCTTGTCGCCCATTTGCATCAGTAGCGGGCCGACGAGAAATCCCAAGCCCTGACAGTAACCAATCTTGTGGTCATACAAACTAAAACACTTGAGTACGCGTCCCAGCATCTTTTGTCCTTCGCCATCAGGGTCTTTGAACATCTCGACACCGGGGAAGCTGCGGCCGAGGTCCTTGTTAATTGTGTTTTCATAGGGACTCGATTCCCCGCATAGGGTGTCGTATTGGTCCTCGATGAGCTTTTCCCGTGATCCAGCAGCGCTCTGCCATACTACGCCTCGGAGTGGTGGCGGAATGCCCCCGCGAATCTTGTTTAGGCAAAGCGTGGGGAGGCGTTGTACAGTTTGGGGGTAGTCGCGAACGAGGGCGGCCCAGAATTCGAGCTCCGTCATGGGCGGGGGCGAGGGGAGCTGGGAGAAGCGCATTTGGGACGTGTCGTGGGCCACAAGGCGCTTGAGATGGTTAAACGAGGGCGGTCGAGACTGGCTGCGAGCGCGCGAGACTTTTGTGTTTGCTTTGCTGTTGCTCATAATGGCTTCGTTTTCCTGTTCGAGTCTTGCGAGTAACAAGGCCATGGCCTATCAATTAGCATGTGCTGAGATTGACTGGGAAATTACACACCTCTTCCTCGCCCTCTGGTTCTTGTTCTTCCTTCTTTTCAAGCTCGGCCCAGTCGACCTCAACACTCTTTCCCGAGCCATCGCTATTGCTCCTCCTCTTTGTGTCTGCCTTTGGTGACACTGGAGCGTCTGCGTCGTGCACGGAAATGGTTGGGCTCTCGGGGGTTGGGGAATCAATGCTCCCCTGGCTGCTGCGGCGTCCAAAGGCATTCCGAATCTCGGCAGAGTTTGTACGCGATGAAGCTCTACGCTCCTCGACAATAATGGCGGGGCGAGTGGCTGATTCTCTTTGGCTTTGGTTCTGCTCGTCTTCGGGTGTCTTGTCACCAGTATCTGAGAGCGGCACAGTCACCATGCTGTCGGTGGGCAGTGGTTTGCTGTCTACATGTGTCCGGGACCTCTTCTCGGTGGGGGCCTCTTCAACCTCAGCCTCTAGGTGGTTCTGAGCGGCGTCCATGTTGGCCATGGACACGTCGTCGCCCTTTGTGGTCGTCTCGACCTGTACTGTACTTGTCGACATGTTAGTGGCGTCTCATGCAGCAAGCATGTGCAGAGTAGAATTGTGGATGCCGAATTTGCGTTTTCACAACAGAGGCTCAGTGGGTGGGCGCAGTGTTCTGTCGCGCGCAAACGGTACGGGCGTCGAGAGGGTTTCAAGGGAGTGGGTTGGGGTAATGTAGCAGGGTACAGCTACTACATGCGCAGTCACACGCGTACGAAGCTGACTCTTTTTTGTGAATTGATATCTGGTCAGATTAATGGTGGTCGGTGTAATTGTAATTACACTCAGTCTCTGTCGCAACAAAAAAAAGACAAAGGTCGGCCATGGCCTTGGTCGAACTTGGTCGAAAGGAGCATCAGGAGGCCCTCCCCGACTCATCACTAGACGCTAGTTGGGCTAGCATGTCTTATCGCGAAGGCGGTCAGGATCAAGGGTCCACTCGCCTTGCTGCTTCATTTGCGACTGGACCAACAGCTGCGCCAGGCCCCCGCACCCAACCTACACCGACCCTCGACACGGCTATTCACTGGATCAACGCCTTTATGCCCTTCTTTCCACTGTCCCACTGCTTTTGCGGCCGGGCACGCTGATGTCATGGCAGCGCTTGCACGAGCGCCCAAAGATGTTTGTGTTGCACTGACACGCCTACGCGCCACGACAAACACGTGCGCGTCAACAACCCAGGGACAGGTACCCATCCAATCACCATCATGGCTAGTGCAATGCCTGCTCCGCATTTTCTCCTCCAACGGCTGTTCGCATCTCAATGCATTACTTGCAACACGCCCAAGTCGGCCTTGGATCCTCTTCGCTTATGCACCCGCGGCACGGAAGAAGGAAAGGTAGTCGTCAACCCCCAGCTCAACTTGCATCCTTCCAAGCCAGGCTTGCCCTTTTGCAACTTGACCGCTTCTTTCACCTCCAACGGCGAAGAAGCTACCCCTCTGTGCATCGAGATGCAGTGGCGAGTCTAGACTTGTGGAACTGCACGGCCCATGACTGGCTGACGGCCCGCGACTAGCGACATATAACGCTCTTTTTCTCGTATCTAGTTTCGCGCGCGAACTTCGTGTTCATAGGAAATCATTCCGGCACTGAAATCGTGCTTCCGATGCGTTTAGTCAGCTGTAGTTCGGTATCATGCCATAACGACTGTTTCAGTCCGGCTGTAGCACAGTGAGTATTCATGACGCCATAGTATTGGCAAGGTTACAAAGATATGAGCGCGCACCGAGATTAGAGTAAGCGGCTCATGCCGTTGTGGCGATGGTCGTTCCTGTAGTAGCCTACTCGACACGTATGTTCTACAGTATTTTACATGGTCTATCCATTACGCCTTGCTCTCTTTTAGTCTTTTAATTCCCAATCTGGCGTTGTTCACTCCCTCGGCAAACTTGATCTTTTTTGACAGAGTCATGGCCTCTTCATACTTTTGCCTCGCTTCGTCCGTCTTGCCTTGCATTTCGAAGAATTCGCCTAGATTATGTGTCGCAACGGCGCAGCCAACATCGCACTCGTCTGTTCGGTCTGGGGCCTTGATTTGGGCGGCGTGAGCGAGGGCTCTTGTTGCCCATGTACGAGCTTGGTCGATGAGAAGAGCACGGGGCGCCGAGTTGCTGACAGGGAAGTCGGTGGGCGCGGATGAGAGGGTTGGAGCGGAAGAGGATGGAGGTGTTTGTTGGGCGAGGCAGGTGGATATGTTGTTCACTACAAGTGTTAGGAAAGAAGAGATGACTCAACAAACAACTTACTTAGGACAACGCCGTGGCACGAATTGGGCGGGCATAGCTGGAGTGCCTTGACAAACAATGGTGTCGCCAAGTAGTGAGAGTCGAATTGCTCGTAGTGTGTCGCAAGAGCTGGGTTATTAGCAGACGTCAAAAGCTGTAGATTGGTTACACACCTTCAAGTGTACCACCCATTTCTTCATCATTCATCCATGGCCCCTCGCCTTCTTTGACTCCCTCCGTCTCCCGCCGCTGCTGTTCTTTGAGCGCACTCTCCACTGCCTCGACTAGCCGCTTTTCGCCATTTTCCGGCTCATTGACATATCTTACATCATACAGCTGGCCTAGCTTGAGATTGATTTGCACCATGTTCTTCTTTACCCTACTCCTGTTGCCATTTGTCCAGTGCTTGTCCGAGAATTCGTCCACCCACCGCTGGCAATCGTTGCGCATAATCTCCAAGACGTCAATGGCCAGACTATAGTATCCTGCATCTTCAAACAAGGCAGCAATTGTGTATTTGACGCCCATAATTTCGTCGCTAAAAGGATCCATGCCAAGTTCGTCGGCGAGTGCCAGTGCTTGCCGAAAATGCTTGTTGGCTTCGCGGATATCGAGCCATTTGCCGCGGCTATAAAATAAAGCTCTACGAAGCTTCTTGGCAACAGGTTCAGGGAAGTTGTGATAGGGTTTTATGATGACGTTCTTGTAGTACCACGGAATGTAGAAGACGCAAATGCCCGAGACGAACACAATCCTGTATGGTTAGTTAGACGTCAATCGATGATAGGATGCAACCACGTACATGCCAATCGCAAAGGGAAACATGATGGGGCTCTTGCGGAACTGCTCTCTAAATTGGTCCCGCATCGAAGAGCGATGCCGCCGGCCCAATTGCTGTTGCACAGGCCGCCATGTTTTCGCAGGTGATAGACGACCTACAAGGGGAGTCTGCGCTTCGCATCGTACGAATGCGCCAATTCGGGGCGCTGCTCGAGGCACCGTCCTAAACATGGTGGTGGTGAAGGGGCTTCACCGTCCATGACGAGGAACTTTTAGTGTCGGACGCGTGCAGTCTCGTCTCATAGGGCTGAACGGCGCCGCATGACGTAGCCAATCATCAACGCGCCGCATCGCGACCGACATGCCTTCCCATCTACAACACACGGGCATGTCTTAAAATGTGCGGCCGATATGCGCTGGCCTTGGTGAGTCTTATTATATTGGCTGTCTTCTATTACTAACAAGTCAGCGGCCATCCGAGGTCCGCCAGCAGCTCGAGCGGTCGCAAATGCCCGTAGAGGAAGCGCCGAATGACGACGACGTGCGTCAAAGCTACAACTTTGCACCAGGCTATCATGGCCTCGTATATCGAGCAGAGGCAGAAAGTAACAAAGACACCAAGTACAAACTACAATCCATGCAATGGGGTCTCGTACCGTTCTGGACCAAGCGTAACCCCGACTATGGAATTAAGCTCAAGACGATCAACTGCCGAGACGACTCTTTGGTTGAAGACTGTGGCATGTGGACTACTATGAAAAAGAAGAAGCGGTGCATCATCGTGGCTCAGGGCTTCTATGAATGGCAAAAGAAGAATGGCGGCAAGGAAAAGATACCACACTTTGTCAAACGCCAGGACGGCCAGCTCATGTGCTTTGCAGGGTTATGGGATAGAGTGCAGTTTGAAGGTAAGACTCGTGCCCTTTGCGTCTCAGGTGCTGACAGTGATAGACTCAGATAAAGAGCTCTTCACCTATACAATCATCACCACCGTCTCGAATAAGCAGCTTAACTTTTTGCACGACCGTATGCCAGTCATGTTTGATAATGGCTCGGACGCTATCCGGACTTGGCTCGACCCAAGTCGCACCGAGTGGAATGATGCCTTGCAGTCATTGTTGCGACCTTTCCATGGCAAACTAGAGTGCTACCCAGTCAGCAAAGACGTTGGCAAGGTTGGCAACAATTCGCCCTCGTTTCTCGTACCCGTCGATAGCGCGGCCAACAAGAATAACATTGCCAACTTTTTCCAAAGTCCGCAAAAGCAATCCGTCAACAGAACGGAGCCTGACGTCAAAGTTGAGCACGAAGATGAAACCCGTGCGACGACGGACCGCATCCAAGGAACCGAAGACAATGCTCCATTACCTGTTTCAGAGACTCACGGCATCAAACGAGAACACGACGACGATGAGTCTGAATTACCAAGCAAACGCCTAAACAGCAATGCGGCTCCGAGTCCTGCCAAAACGTCCAAGAGGCAGGGCACTAGGAGCGCCACGAACAACGGCAGTGCCGCAAAGACGACCAAAGACAAGGCATCTCGGAAGATTACGGCCTTTTTTACCAGCAAGTGAGATGTACCTACGAATCCATTCCAGCATGTCGGGTCCGGCTACGGATGATGGATACGTCGGATGAATTGGCGGTGAAGAAGGCCTCAATCACTCGGGTACAGTACACAACATGTTGCGCGGAGAAGGAACTATGGATGTGATGAGAAAAACTGCCCCTTGCAGAACAGAGGACGCCTGATGGATAGCGTAAAATGCGCGAGCAAAAGGTAGATTGACCATGTTGTGTAGGTGGCGCTACCAACCTTGGTTCCGGTTCCATCTGTTGCCCCGCGCTAACAGCGGGGATGGGCGACCGGCCATTTAGCGGCCGTCATCTCGACAAAACACCATCGTTCTGCCTTTTTTAGTCTTGCCATGCCCGGCGCGACGCATGCTGCACTTGCTTCTCAAAAGGCCCACATTTGCATCTCGGACACGCGCTGACCGTTTCTGATCAACACATCATCCTTTTTGCACAGTATCGAATTTTCAAATTTCTGACTTCATCGACATGTAAATTTTCGATATTTGCGAAATCATTCTTTCAAACGGCTCCAAGTCTGCCAAGACAAAAACTAATCATAACGCTTCAGCGTCAGCCTTGGAATTTCCTCACCATGGTTTCCAAAATGGAATCTCTCATGGATCTGGTGACGCAGAACCAGCCGCACTTTCAAACACGTCAAGCCCTCCTTGTCATTGGCCTACAAAACGACTTTTGTCAACCCGACGGCCGGCTTCCAGTCGATACCAGCACCGGCTTTCTCGAGCGCATCGGAACACTGATTCCCAAGTTTAGAGAAATCAGCGGCAATGTGATTTGGGTTCAGACGCTGTATGAGGCTGATCGGATTGCGACCGGAGCAGACACGGGCGAAGGCGACGCCCTGGTCGTGGGCGGGCTGATTGATGGAGACGAGAGCAGCACCGAGGCTGGCGACGAAGAGTTGGGCAAGGAAGCAGCCTTGTTGCCTGCGCAGTCACGATCTTCAAAACACAAGCAACGAGCCCTCGACTTGCTAAAGCGCGTCTCGGCGCGCAGAAAGACGCTTCCAAAAGAGATTGCCAAGGCGTCGGTCGAAGAGGACGATGAGCTGTTTCTGTTAAAGAGCGAGAATCGGACGCCAGCATGTGTACCAGGTACAAGCGGAGCCGAGTTCGCAGGTCCCTTTGCTGGCCAGATTCAACGGCCGGCAGACAGTGTCATCAAGACGACAAACTATTCAGCCTTCCAGGGCACGAACCTGTTGATGACTTTGCGCGCAAAACTCGTTACTGAACTCTTTATATGCGGATGCATTACTAATGTGTCTGTGCTTGCAACCGTCATTGATGCAGCCCGACATGGCGTTAAGATTTGTGTCGTGGAAGACTGTCTGGGCTTTCGCAAGGAGAACCGTCATGACTTGGCCTTGAGACGCATGGACGAATTCTTTGATGCCTACCTGGTCAATAGCGAGGAGATCTTGAGCAAGGAGCCTCTGCCAACGTCCAAGAAACCAGCAAAACCTGACAAAGATAGTCAACAAGCTCTCGAGTCGGCTCTGGGCAAAATGTCTCTGGGCGAAACCAAGAAAGCTGAGAATGAGTTGAAGACTGCAAGTGAGCGTGGTCCAGAGACTAGCGACAAGGACTTCTCCGATTTGCTAGTCAGGGGTGCCCAGCTACCTGCAGAGGAACAAGAACCGAAGCCGCAACTGGTCAAGACTAAGATTCGAATGCGGACGGGCAGGACGAAGAAGAAGAAAAAGGCAAAAGAAGAAGTCAGCCCGGAAGAGCCTGCTACCAGCACAGCCGAAACACAGCCTACGTCATCTCAACCTTTACCAACACCGCAAATCACCAAGGCGGAAAGCGTGGTTGACTTGCGTGAAAAGGAAACCAAGCAACAGGCGTTGAAGAATGCAGCATCTGTACCGGCTCTGTCTACAAAGGGCGAGGAAAAGGAAAAGAATCGATTATCCGACTTCTCCGACCGTGTGCGCCTCTCATTGGCAAGGGCACCGAAATCCGACGAATCGAAACGGGTATCACTCGCATCGACTACTTCAAAGCACGAAGACAAGGCTTCTATAAAGCAGGAAGATACAGCTCCTGCAAAGACAGGCCCCGTTACTGAACCAGAGCCAGTTGAGACGCCGTCCAAAAAGACGTCCAAGATACCTTCGCTTGCAAATCTGCCTGCATTAGGGCCTGAAGATACTATTGCAGAGGGAGACTCGTGCATCATTTATGATTTCTTCCCTGCCAATGTTATACATCCCTCTAATCCGTCCAAGCCGCTCAAGGATTTGATTTTCCTACAGCTCTACAACGAAGTACGATGGCAAAAGATGCTGCACCGGCAAGGCGAGGTTCCACGTCTTGTATGCTGTCAGGGTGAGTTTGGAGACGACGGGTCAATGCCCGTATACCGCCACCCGGCAGACCAAACCCTACCTCTCTTACACTTTTCGCCCAAGGTGCACGTCATACGAAAGCAAGCCGAAAAGCTTGTCGGCCATCCACTCAACCACGCATTGATTCAACTCTACCGCTCCGGTAGTGACTTTATATCTGAGCACTCTGACAAGACACTCGATATTGTCCAGGGCTCATCAATAGTTAATGTAAGCTTTGGGTCACAGCGTACAATGCGCCTACGGACCAAAAAACCCCTGTCCAAAACCGACGAGCCCGGCACTGCAGACGACGCGACCGACCAACGCAAAACGCAACGCGTACCCATGCCACACAATTCCATGTTTGTCCTAGGCCTGAAGAGCAACTCCAAGTGGCTCCACGGCATCCAACCCGACAAGCGCATTGCCTCCGAACGCAGCGCCGCAGAAACAAGCTACAACGGCATGCGCATCAGCCTCACCTTCCGCCAAATCGGTACCTTCCTCGACGCCAAAGAAACCACAATCTGGGGCCGAGGCGCCACCTCGAAAACCACCCGCGACGCCGCCGATGTCATCAACAACGACGAAGAAGAAGCCCAGCGTCTAATCATCGCCTTCTCGCGCGAAAATCAAGACCCAGATTTCTCCTGGCAAGACCACTACGGCGACGGCTTCGACGTCCTCCACCTACACAACCCACCCCCACCTGACACGCCCCTCCTCTTCGCCTCCAACAACACCATAGAAACCCAACAAGCCATGATCGGGCTTGCTGAAGCAAAAATCTCATACACACTCATTGATGCCCCACAGCTAGACATGTCCTATGAACTAGACCGCCAAGTCACCTTCCGTGACAACGACACCCACCACACTGAGATTCACATGTCTTCCTCTGTCCTCTTATACCTAGACCGTTACCACGCACTCGATACGTCCTCCGCTTCTAACCCCGTCACAGCCAACGCGTACCTCGTTATGCTGCTCACTGCCGGAATCATTAAAGCGTGGTTGAACAGAAGGGTGCCGGGGTATGAAGCCGAGCTGAGAAATCTGGTGCTGAGACTGGAAGAGGAGGTCGGGGTACTGGGAGGCCCATTTGTAGCAGGGAGTAGGTTTAGTATTGCAGATTGTTACGTTTGGCCCGTTGTACATGTGTTGGTAGGGGAGTGGGAGGGTTGGGATAAGGCGGCCATGGGTGGGTTGGAGGATTGGTATAGGAAGTGTTGGAAGAAGAAGGCGTGTGTCAAGAAGGTTGCTGGGTCACTGGCTGGAGGAGAGGTTGAAAAATGGGGGAAAGGCGGGTGTATATTGTGATCACCAAGTCCGTTTTCTCTGTTTTCTTTTAGTGCACACAGAATGGGCACGCACATGATCATACTCATAGAAGCTTTCAAACCACATCCAAAATACCCCACCTCCCCAATCATCTTCTCTCAAAAATACAGTGTTTCTCGGTCCATTTTTGTCATAAAAATCATTACACACATAACCTTCCGCCCAGCCACCAGCCATATCAGCTGTACAAACACATTTTCGGTATTAGTAAAGTCAGTAAGACCAATACGACACACCTCCCCACCCACATCGATTTGTATCTGTATGCTTTGAAGAATACACAAACTCCATATCTTGCACGTCGGTATCTTTTTGGGGGCGCCGGTGGGGTATACAAGAAAGGGAATACAGCACCTCCACACCCACATCCTTGTAATCGTTCTAGTTTTGGAAGACCGGAAAAACTCCATAGATACCCTCGACGGCATGTTTTAGAATGTTGTGGGAAAGGACACCACCGAACCACATGTATTGGTCGTTGTAAATTTTCAGAGACGGGAAGGTCCATGGAGATTGCAATGCTCATTTTTTTTTGGAATAAGAGGGAGGAAGGAGATGGCACAACCACATTCTTCGGTTATCTTGTGATTTTCAGGAACGGAAACTCGATACCACCACCATTTGCTCGTTTTTTGGAATAAGAGGAAAATACCACACGTCCCCAACCACATTAGTCGTGTTACGCATATATTTTAAGGACGGAAAGTCCATGACTTTCAACCTAGTCATTATTTGACAAAATAGGAAACAAGAAAGACCTCCGCCCCATATGAGATAGCGCCTGATGATCTTTTAAAAGACGGAAAGTCCATGGTCAACGTTGTGCATATGTTGATACGGCAAAGGTGAGGTTGAATCAAGTAACGGTCGTTGCAACGAGTTGAAGTAGATGGTTATGATTGATTAGAGGAGGTGGGCTGCAGCTCGCGTACGAACTGAATCCCACCCCACGGCACGGGCCACGCACGTAGTCACGTGCTCGCCACGTACGTACGGTGGCTCGAAACTAAGAGCAACCAACACTAGCTATCTTTTCTTCTGTCGTGTTAGTATCGCTGTGAAACGCTTAAATCTGCGATAAAAACGCGCAGCTAGGTAGCAGCTAGTTTCCTATCCGTGACTAGTGTGAACCACCGTAGTTCCCCTCCCATTCCACTCATCTATCCCATCCCACTTGTGTGTCTCATCTCGTCTAGGTATCGTGAGGAGTCGGCTCGGTCGCCTCAAGGTGGCTGGGGCCATGAGTTGACATCGTTGTCTCGCGGAGGTCGTCGTTGTTAGGGGCCGTGGCCCGGTTGTTGGCTCGATCGACCTATCCCTAGACCTGGAGCTCTAGCTCGTTGGTGTTGATAAGCTGCTCTATCGAGGTGTTGGCGGCTGCCTTAGTTATAACGTCTGCTAGGTTGTCGCGCCTATTGATCCAACGGATATCCGTGAGGTCACCTCGCTCGTAACCTTCACGGATAGCCATAATATCAATCATAAGGCGCTTCTCCTTAGTGGTGCCGAGCTTGACGAGGCATTCGTACAGGGAGAGGGAGTCCGTACACACAACAATTAGTACGTGTAGGAGGGACAGGCGGTCTATAATGATGTTAAGGGTAGATCTAATAGCGATAGCAATGTCAACACTATAGGCTATTGCGTAGATCTTAGAGGTAAGGACACTACGGGTAATTCGCTTGCACTTAAGAGAGGACTAATAGATAATGTTACCGTAGATAGTAAAGCTAGTGTTGTTAGTAATCTCGTTGCCTAGGACAATTACATATCCTATTGTTACGGATCCATAGACTCGCTCGGCCCATGGCCCCCATATCGATAAGATCCTTATCTTATCGGACTAGCGCCTTGGCGCCCACAGCATAAGTTCGGGCTCACAACGTAGATAGCTCGATAGCTTGTATCTTGTCAAATCCAATCTTTCTTGATCGATCCCTCACATTATACAAGCTCCCTTTCAAGACGGGCCCTGGAAGCTCGTTCGCGAATTGTATTTTCTTGTCGCTGCGAGCGACACGCCAACGACAGAAACACTTACGCGACGAGGATCGCATTGACTATACGTACCGCCGCAGAAGAGCCGCCGTAGTAAAGACACCTGATTGCCCAGCTGCATAGCTGTACCCACCTGCCAGAAAAGACCCGCCGCCGCAGAGTGCCGCCGCGGAAGACACTGGATTGCCCAGCTGCATAGCTGTACCCACCTGCCAGAAAAGATCCGCCGCCGCTTCTAGCGCTGCCGCCGATGATGGCCCGACTAAACGAGACGAGCAAGGATGCCCACGACCAGGGTGCTCAGAACGACACACAAACCATTCCAGCAGAGTCGCACCTTGAGTACGGCGACTTTGAGAATGACGACGACCTCACCGAAGCGGAGAAGGCGACTATTAGACAGAAGCTCGCCACCCGCAAGAGACAGGTCACTTTTGGCCGTGGAGACGGCCAAGGCAACAGCGAGGACGAGGGCAATGACGTCAACGCCGCTGAACGCCGACGACAGTCTTGTAGACAGTCTCTTAAGAAAGCCGTTAAGCCAGCGGATAAGACTTCTATAGAACTAGGCTACGACGACGACACGGATGACATGTATCTACGTTTTTATGGCATCCACGACAACGATGAGCGCGAGATCCTCGCGGACATGAGGAACGTTGACGACTTCACCGCTTGCATCGCTGAACATGCTGAGAGTGTCTTTGGACACCTAGCAGATTTGCTTAGTCAGATAGCTGAACAAGCCGAACAGCTAGACCAAGCACATAATGAAGCCCGTGTACAACAAGAAGCAGCTGACGCCCGCGTGGAGCGCGCCCAGACGCAAGCTCGCGCTGCCGCCGCAGACGAGCTTGCCCAAGTCACCCAGAAATGCAACCGCATGATCACTACTAAGAACAGCTACGCTTCACGGCTAGCAGTGCTCGAAGACGAGCTTGCAGCCTCGCGCGAGTCAAACGTGAAGCTCTACTCCCAGATTAGCGACCTCTACAACGAGAGGAGTGTCCTGCAACAGCACGCGGGCGTCCCGACGAATGGAAATTTATATGACACGCGCCCAGCTCAGTTCCAGTCGTCCCCTCCTCCAATGACTGCGAACCCGTTCATTGGCACTGGCACTCACGACTTGATGCTGCCTCCCCCTATGGCACATCATCAGAAAAACCGACCCCTAGCTCGGTCTGCTGTATCGGACAACCTCACTGCAACGGGTGCAAAGCTGAAGGATATTGACATCTTTCGCGGAGACAGCACCGACAAAGAGGACTACAAGTATTGGCGCCGCAGCGCCAGGAACTTCTTAAACAAAACTACTATCCACACAACTGTTCAAGATCAGCTCGACTACCTGATTGACCACTTGCGAGGACCAGCCGCTGCACAGGTGGAATATAGAGCAGCACCCGGAGCTCGTAACGCCTACGTGACAGCGGAAGAAGTCCTCACGGAACTTGATCGCATCTTTGACACGGTCGACAAGGTCACCGAAGCCAGCGCAGCGCTACACGACAGCGGCTCTGGAGGATTAAAGCAACGCGACAATGAATCGTTTAACACCTGGGTAGCCCGCTTTACCTCTACAGTCGCACCATTGAACCTGGGCGACAACGAAATGATCCAGCACGCGATCCGACTCATGAAGTTTGGTCGTAACGCAGGTTTACAATTCCGCCATGGTGATACTTGGGAAGCGTTTGCCCAGAATTGCCGCACTCAGCAACAGCTCTCACGTCTCACCCAGAGCAGCGGAAATAATGGTACCCGAACCGGCCGCAACACGTCTAACGCTGGTGGTGGAGGTAATGGCAACGGCAACAGCAATAGCAGCGGCTCCACAACGCGTAACAACTACGGTCGCACGCGCGCGCAACTCAACGCGTTGAGTAAGCAAGGCGAGTGCTTTAAATGCGGAGGCACGGCAAATGTCAGCGGCAAGAAACATCGTCCGACCGACGCAGACGTCCCAGCAGCCTGCAAGTCTGGCTCTATCGTGCCAGCTAGCCGCGTCCCTGCCCTCAAAGCTACATTCACCAACGCCGCCCTCCAGGCCACAGTCGTCGATGCCACCGACGAGTCGGAAAACTAGCCGTCCCCGGCGAAAGACGCCCCCGGGGACCGCACCAAAATGGTCCACAGATACAGTTACAGTCACAGTCAAAGCCACAACTACCAGTCCAACCCTTGTTAGCGATACCCCCTATTGTTTCACCGACCCTTGATACCCAAACTACCCCGCTCACCGGAGCTACACCTAGCACTTTACGCGTTTGTTTACAAGAATTGGAGGACTGGACGCCTCCCCAGGCTATAGAGGACAGACACGTTGTCTTGAGCGCGAACACTATGGTCAAAGGCAAGCAGCTTGTCCAAGGCCAGCAGTTCGTTTTCAAGTGCAAGGTCGCCACTTCGAATAGCTATATTGATACGGAAGCTTTGACTGACTCTGGTGCTACTGGAAACTGTATCTCCACACTATTTGCGCAACGACATAACCTGCCGACGTTTCGGCTTAAACAACCTTTGCAACTACGACTTGGCGACGGCAATTTCGCCATGGCGCCTATCACACACGGCGTCCTAGCCCCCATCTCCCACGCTGAACACGTTAGCGAGGAACTCTTCTACAGTGTACCTATGACGACTTACGACTTTATTTTCGGCACTTCATGGCTAGAAGAGCATAATCCACACATCGACTGGAGGGAAAAAACTATGCGTTTCAACAGCGAGCATTGCTACGCCAACTGCCTACACAAAGGCGAGCAAGTCACTGTTCGCAGCAGTCGACACCGACGGGCCGCAGCAAAAGCCAAAGAACGGAACCCGACCTACGCGAACATGGACATACACCATGTGTCAGGTGAGGCCGCTGCCGCACTGGCATCACGACCAGAGAACGGTACTATCTGGCTGTACCCACATGATTTTGAACAACTCGACAAAGATGACAGCGATGACGCCGACGAGAGAGCCCAGGCTAGCCGCGTCTTCGCCTCACTATTTGCCATGGACATGAACGCCCTATCTCAGGAAGACATTGATAAGTTCCACCAGAAGCTGAACTCGCCCGCTAAAACTCGCGACGAGGTCCTAGACAAGTTGCCCGAATGGCTCCACGATCTCGCCCACCGATTTAATCCCGATCCCCGCCCGACAGACTTGCCCGCTCGACGAGGCGCGGTCGACCACAGCATTGACATTATCCCCGGATCAAAACACCCAAACGCTAAGATGTACGGCATAAGTAAGGACGAAGGCCTTGCCGTTAAAGCTTATGTTGAGGACATGAGAGGACGCGGTGAGATCCGTGAAAGCAAGTCAGACTTCGCTTCGCCTGTGCTCGTCGTCCGCAAATCTGGAGGTGGACTCCGCATTTGCGTGGACTATAGAGCGCTCAATGCCGTCACTATCAAGAACAGGAACGCTCCTCCGATGATTAAAGAAACGCTCGCGCGGCTAGCTAACGTCGCCTACTTCACCGTGGTCGACGTCATCGCCGCCTTTAACAAAATCCGCATCAAGGAAGGCGACGAACATAAGACTGCCTTCCTAACACGGTATGGCCTATTCGAATACTTAGTGATGCCTTTCGGACTCTGCAACGCACCAGGTACCTTTCAGGCCTACATTAACGAGGTTTTACGCGATTACCTTGACGAGTTCTGCTCTGCATACCTCGACGACGTCCTAATCTACAGCGCGTCTTTGGCAGAGCATAAGGTTCATGTCCGCAAGGTTATCGAGAGTCTAGGTGAGGCCGGACTTCATCTAGACATTGACAAGTCCGAGTTTGCCGTCCAAGAGGTGAGATACCTGGGCCTCATTCTTACAACTGAAGGCATCAAAATGGACCCCGCCAAGGTTAAGTCAGTGCTCGACTGGGGCACCCCAACAACATTGAAAGAGTTGCAAGCATTCCTAGGTTTCGCAAATTTCTACCGAAGGTTTATTGTTGCCTTCTCTTATATCGCGCGGCCGCTCACGGATCTTACCCGCGGGACAAACGGCGACGTCAAGCTGAACTTTCCTATCGCCCAAGGATCTGCTGCCCACGACGCATTCGAAAAGCTTAAGAAAGCATTTACCATCGCCCCGGTCCTCGCGCACTTCAACCCCGCGCTTGAGACCTGGGTCGAAACAGACTCCTCCGACACCGTCACAGCAGCCGTGCTGTCCCAAGTCCAGACTGACGGAGTGCTAAAACCAGTCGCTTTTATCTCCACAAAGATGTCACCAGCTGAGTGCAACTATGCCATCTACGACAAGGAGCTTATGGCCATTGTCCGCGCCTTTGAGGAATGGAGACCAGAGCTGGCCGGCACCTCGGACCCGGTGAAGGTCATCTCAGACCATGCCACCTTACAGACCTTTATGGTCAACAAAGCACTCAACAGGCGTCAAGCAAGATGGGCTGAGTTTCTGAGCGAATTCAACTTTAAGATCACTTACCGACCAGGCAGACTAGGCAGCAAACCCGACGCCTTGACGAGACGCCCCGGCGACACACCCACGAACCCAAACGATCCACGGATCATACATCAGACCCAGACGATCCTCGGCCCCGACCGCGTCGACGACGTCATCAAACGAGACACGCACACACACAACGACGCCCGACAAGCAATTCAACTCGCGGCGCTGTTATTCGAATACGCGGAGGAGGTACAAACGCTAGCAGGCATGCTATATCTAATGAGCGAGGAGGCGTATGGCGTCGATGATTTGGTGGATGACGACTCAACCCCAGACGTAGCCTTGGACAGCCAGCCTAAGGGGGAGACAATTGAGATCCCTCACGCTGCTGCGCCAGCTTCCCTGGCACGGGTGCCGGGGGAGAACGCGCCTGACGATGGACTTATGACAGCGATCGTAAATGCCTACCGCGTCGATCCCACACTACAAGAAATAATACGAGCAAAGGCAGACGGCGCCCGTCACCTTCCCCACACTGTCGCCATACAAATGAAGCTGAAGCTAGAGCTACAGGACTGCGAAATCCGCAACAGTCTGGTTTACTTCCGCGGCAGACTCTTCATCCCCTACGACGACGATCTTCGCAAAGACATCGTCCGTCGGTTCCACGACACCGCCACGGCGGGCCACGGCGGCAAGCGCTCTACCTACTACCTAGTTAGCCAACAGTACTACTGGCCGCTCATGACAGACACAGTCGCTCAGTATACCCGGAGTTGTGTAGTTTGCCGACGCGCAAAGCCATACAGAGACCGCAAGCAGGGACTGCTGCACCCGCTCCCCGTACCGAAACGATTCTGGACTGACATTTCAGTCGACTTCATCACACCCCTGCCAGACTGTACTAGATTCGGACGCACCTACTCTCATGTCATGGTCGTGATTGACCGGCTAAGCAAGTCGCAACGGTTTATCGCCCTAGACAGCCTTGAAGTTGATGCTGTTGTCCGAGCATTTGTCGATTACGTCTGGAGAGAGGAAGGTTTCCCTACTACAATTGTGTCTGACCGAGGGTCACAGTTCGTCTCTCATTTCTGGAAGGAGCTGTGTCATCGACTGGGTGTTACACCAAAGCTCTCTACAGCTTACCACCCAGAAACAGACGGCCAGACTGAAGTCGCCAACGCCGGACTAAAGTGTTACCTGCGTGCTTACACGAACTATATGCAAAACGACTGGGTAGACTGGCTGCCACTAGCCCAGCTCGCCATCAATAACAGAGAAAACGTGTCCTCTGGCGTCGCACCCGCGCTTGCCACCAAGGGCTACCTACCTCGCATGGGATCGGAACTAGTCACCGAAGACTCGCCCATTACCGACGCCCGTTCACGCGCAGAACAGTTGCTCCGCGAAGACGCCCGAGGCACGGTGAAAAGGATGACCGACGTTATCCGTTTCATGCAAGAAAATCTTCGCTGGTCCCAAAACAAGATGGAACACTACGCCAACCAGCACAGACAGCCCGCTCCAGACTACCGCGTCGGTGACAAAGTCTATATTGATGCCCGCAATATCCCTACGATGCGCCCGAGCCGCGGTCTCAGCGCAAAGAACCTTGGCCCATACAAAGTGCGAGCTTTGCCCAACCGATATGCAGTCGAGCTCGCACTACCAGACTGCTACAAACAAGTCCATCCAGTGTTCCACCCATGGTTACTACACCTGGACGCCGATCAAACAGCTCGCCCAAGTGAGGGCGTCATCGCTGAGAAACACCCTGACGGAGAGCACGACTACTACGTAGACATGGTCGTCGACTGTCGCATAGATAAACGACGCAAGGACACCCTCACAAACAAGAAAGGCATGCTCCAGTATAAGGTTAAGTACACCAACTCCCCAGACTGGAATGCCTCGCCCGCATGGCAAGACTATACAGACCTGTGGGGCGCAGAGGAAGCGGTTGAAGACTTTCACCGTCTCTATCCCGACAAGCCCCCACCTCACGAACTGTATCGAGACCTAGCGTTGTATCTCAACCTAGTCGCCGCATATTCACTTGGTCGCGATGATGTTGAAGTTGTTAGCGTACTAGACAGTTGTGAGCTTGCCCTATCACCTTCGCATTCACTGATGGCACAGCTTGGACCTGGGAAGGTGGCACAACTCAGGACGTCTGTCTCCAAGCAGAAGCAAGGACCCGAAGGATGAGACACAACATAACTGCTCGGCATCAAGCACAGCGTCATAAAATAAAAGACATTCACGGCTTGCAGGTGCAACCGTCTTCTGAAAGGGGGGGGTAATGTTACGGATCCATAGACTCGCTCGGCCCATGGCCCCCATATCGATAAGATCCTTATCTTATCGGACTAGCGCCTTGGCGCCCACAGCATAAGTTCGGGCTCACAACGTAGATAGCTCGATAGCTTGTATCTTGTCAAATCCAATCTTTCTTGATCGATCCCTCACACCTATCTATAAACTTATATCCTTGTTGTTAGCAAACGAGGCGTTAACAAAGGCAAATAGCTTAAGATCTGTTATCTTTAGCTAGACGTACAACAGTCTATAGTCGACGTTCTACTTTTGCTAGATAATACGCTTATTTAATCTAGATATTTCTTCTTTTGTAGGGTTAGTAGTCGTCTGTGCGGCGGCGGCGAGGTTAAAACTAGCTTCTAGTTAGCAGATAGAAGTAATATACGCCCCGCGGGCTCGCTGTTAGATGTACGACTTCTAATCTATAGCTGCCTTAAGTTTCTCGCCCTAGCGTTTCTAGATAAGGGAGATAGTGTTGCTATCTATTGTGACAACGTAGCTGTTAAAGTTAATCTTATTATCCTTAGTAAGGACCTCTTTCTCCTTCGCGTTAAAGCAGAGCTCGTCTTTCTCCTTAGCAGCGAACTGCTCGTCGGATAGACTAAGCGTATCGTTAGTCTAGATACCTACAATCCTAACGCTAGCTGCCGTTGACTTAGAGATAAGGAGGCATAGGTTATACGTAGACGTCTCTATCTGCAGCTTGTCGGTGTGGTGCTTAAAGTACGTAGACCACTAATACACTCTAGCTTCTGCGATACCGTACAGAGGCTTGATCACGACTATAATTGTCCTGTCCGGGTACAATCCGCGGAGCTAAACAGGGAGGTCAGCGATGATGGTCCGCTAGAGGGCACTATTAGACTAGGTATACGCCTAGGTGATATCTCGGAGCTATAGTATCATGCCCTCAGCAATAAGAGACGGAGCGAGGGCAATAATAAGACGTTGGCTCGCTCGCTAGATAGTTGTCAGATATTCACTCTCATCTGGAATACTGATGAAATAGGTAATGAATGGTGATGATGTTGATTATTGATTGTGTCTTGGTTCTGTCTACGGTTGTGGGCACACCTAGGGGGTGCCAAGCCTTCCTGTGATCCGATTGGCTCTCACAGATGCCAGGTCGCGCTAGTCTAACTGTTGCGGTTTGTGAGGCAAGGGTATTGCGCATGTCACGTGCGTTGTCCTGGCGCTCCTCCCTCCCCTCCATGAGCACCTTCTCCCCTCACCAGCATCAGAGATACGTCATGTAAATAGACCCTGATTATGGCTACATATAAGGTGGCCATGACAGCACAACAACAACACAACACAATATACTCTAATGACTGCCTCGCGCGGTTACACTTTAATTGACTGCATTGTACACCAACAGTTATGAGCCCGGATTGCGACTAAAAAAGCTCGCTCACTCACAACGACTGACTGGCACCTACGATCGGGATCAACATTGATCATACTGTACGGAGCCGCCGACCTATTAACAGGCACCCACGATTGAGGTCACGATTGATTATACTGTGCGGAGCCGCCAAACCACTCATACACACTATAGACGATGACGATTGAGTCATCAGACCCTGCGGTCACCCGAGTGACTGTCGTCCTCGATCGAGCTAACGACTGGCACAAGTGGCTGTTTATTCGAAAGGATACTGCACAGAAGCATAAGCTCTAGCAGTACGTGGACCCTACCACGAAGGCAGCGGACCTGCCTACGTTACTAGCACCAATCAAACCACAGCTTACGGATCACGCTGCTGGAGCGACGTCAATTGCTCACCTTACTGCCGCGCAGCAGAAGCTGTATCAATGGGAGTACGAGCGATGGGAGCGCAAGGACCTTGAGTTCAGGCGTTAAAGAAAGGCTCTCGCTAAGTTTAACTCTGAGATTAGCAAGACGATCGCTGCAAAGCACCTTTACTTGATCGAGAACAAGGACACGCTATACGAGCGACTGACGACGCTCAAGAAGCACCTTGCACCGTCCGACGCAACACGACAACGCGATCTAATCGCACGATACAAAGCCCTTCAGACGCCGCCACGCAGTAGAAAAGTTGAGGAGTGGCTACGCTCTTGGGTGGAGGTCACCAACATGTGTATCTCTGCAGAAGTTCCTGAGACAATAGGATCAAGGGCACAAGAAGATTTCCTTGTCGCCTGCAGAACGATCGATCCTGAGTATGGTACATCAGGCCTGCGAGCCCTGATCGACCTGGAGGACGCTGGCACTGCCATCCCATCAGTGGAAGACTACGTCAGCAAGTTCACGACCTACCTCAAGCGTGTGCGACCCACAGTCCGCAACAATCAATTAAGTGGGTCCTAGAAGGTTCAGATTGGATTGATTGATTACCGCTTTAAGCCTAGTAGTTACCTATAGGAGTTTAAGCCCTACCTAGATAGGTAAGTGGGTCTAGGAGAGTGACCGGATTGAATTGATTGTTGCGGAGTCTAGTGCGACCGCTGTCGACAGGACTTAGCTCAATGGCAGCGGAGCTGGACGTTGCGAAGTCTTAGCAGCAGAACAAGGATGCTAACAACAATAGCAACAAGACGAAACCAAAATGCCCATGTGGCTTAAAACATTACTAGGTTGACTGCTAGTTGATCAACACAGAGCACCCACGAAGGCCGAAGACCTACGCCAATGCACTTGGCCGAAAGAAGCTCGACGCCGCCCTGGCCGCCGACAACGACTTGAGAGACAAGATCAACAAGGCGCTCGACAAGTGGCGCGCAAAGCAGCAAGAGAGTGGAGGGAGCATCGCCATAGACGATGGCAACCGTCCCACAAGACCTACAGCGAACACTGTACGATACATAATCAGAGTTGCTATCAGTCAGTTCAGTCAGTCCGGAGCTCTCTGGACTGACTGAACTGACGTCCTGAGGTCACTGAACTGGACTGGACTGACTGCCAAGACTTTTCAATTAAACTAAAACTGACTGACTGAACTGACGTCGCCGCGGCCTGCGGACTGACTGGACTGACTGAACTGAGTTACCTGACGTCGAACTGAGATAAATGCTCCTGTACTTTTGAGATTTCTTCCTCTGATAGTGTGCGCGCTAGCCCAGAAGCTGAGGTAGTTGTTGGCTGTATACCAAGCCTCTTCCAGCTCTTCAAGCTCTGCAAAGCTGAAATAAGCTCTGGCTTCATATGGAGTCTCCGGGTGCCTAACATGTCGCCAAGCTCGCTGAAAGTCCGCTCACAGTCTGCCGCTGCTGCTGGTATTGTTAGGACGTCAATAGCGAACTTTGAGAGTATAGGGAACTGCCCAGCAACTGACTCCCAGTATAGAAGCGGATTAAGAGACAGCCAATCCTCCTCAGCTAACGCTGGTTGCCGCTTCCATATCTCATACTCATCCTCAGCAAGGCTTGCCTCTAACTGCCGTGTGCTTTGCTCAATTGACGACTGTAGAAAAGCTGATCGCGACGTTGAAATCCCTAGCCGGGGCTTCTTACGCGGCGGCGTTACAGTGTGAGCTGAAGTGGCTGCAGAGTCCTTCCGCCCCTGCCACATGCGCAGGAATGCCCGGTGGTTATTGTCAAGCCAGCCGTCGCGATAGTGGACACCGTCACGGGCAGTGACATGGGTGTCAGGCACCTTCCAGAGCGCTGAGAGGTGGTGTTTGTAGTGCGGGTGTAGTATTGTAGCAGTGTAGTAGACAGGCGCGTTATCGAATTTTGCGTAGTACTCAGCAAGCTTACAATGCGCAAGGTTAACGTTTGTAATAAGATGATCTTCAGGCGCATCTAGATCTTCGTAATTTACATCCTTAAGGCGGTCTTTGAGAGCCTCAAGCTGGTCAAGAAGCCACTCAAACGTTACTAGAACTTCCCATATAGCGCCGTGTCGGCCGTGTCGGCCGCGACCTTCAAGTAGCCGTGTAGCTTCGGCAAATGGCTCAAGGAGTCGAATGTATTCTGTTATTGTCGCCCAGTCCTTGCCGTTTAGACCCCCTTCGCGTATATATAACCGTGGCTGGGCAGCAGGGAGCTGCTCACGATTCTTCCGGCGTCGTGAGGTTGCTGTTGCAGCACTATGCTCCTCAAGTTTACACTCAATATAGCCATCGATAGGGCCGTGTAGCTCAGCTGCACGGACAAACGTGTTGAAATAGCTATTCCAGCGTGTCTTAACAGGCTTCACAAGCTGCCGGATGTGGGGTGTAACACCTAGAGACTCTGCCTCCTCGCACTGTAGGCGCTCTAGTAGTTGTCGAGTTTGAGGCGTACAGATAGACGCAATCACGTCAAAGAGGACGCCAACAGGACCGTATTTGCGCCACTCATCCATGTACTTCTCCTCTTCCTCAAGGTGTGCGGCTTCATTCTCGTACGCGCTACGGTCTTTGCCCCAAATTACTAATTGTGCGCTTAGGTTGAGTATATGGCAGCAGCACCGCAGCCGCCGCTCGCTTGCGATAAAGCCAAACTCCTCTGCTAAGGACTCAACTGCAGTATCATTGTTACTTGCGTTGTCAAGCACAAAGTACCCAACCCTCGCGTTGTCAACGCCAAATAGCCGAAGTATTGTTGTTGCTGCAGCGGCAATATTATTGCCAGTGTGCGCCCCGTGTAGCTCAGGCAACCCAAGCAGGTGGTCAACTAGCTTGCCCTCGCTGTTAAGGTAATGTACGCAGAGGCCAGTAAAAGCATACTGCCCACCAGTTGAAGTCCAGTTGTCGAATGACACGTGTATAAGCGACCGGGCTTCGCGAAGGTAGTTGGCAACAGCTGGTATGTATGTATTGTACTCAGTAATAATATGATCGTGGAGCGTTTGGTGGCTACGCCAAAGGAGAGCTTCGGCTAGCGGGCTCACGGCCGCAATCATGGCTCGAAACTGCGGCGTTTCTATTACGCGAAGGCTCTGGTTGTCCGCGACTACCCAGTCCTTCAGCGCGTCCTGAAATCGAGAGGTTGAAAAGCTTGCTGCCATCTCGTTTGCTACCTCTTGCGATACTTCTATCCCTTTAGACCTCATAATATGTACTTGGGACTTTGCGAGCGCGCCCATAATATTGCCCTCCCGGCTAGCAATTGGTACAGGTCCGTTAGGTCCGTGTGAGTGTCCAGGCTTGTTGCTTGAGAGGTGTCGGCCGGCGTTTGTAGTGCTGTCAGCCTCGTAGCAAGCCTCCTGCTTCCGTCGTTGATGGCAGTACCGGCAAAGCCAGTAGTTTTTCTTGTACTTGCGGTGCCAGACGGCCCAGCCGTGGCGGTAGATCCAGCTTTTTGGCCCACCGCGACTATTACGCTCAACCTGGCGCCGCTCAAGATACGGCACACGCTTAAAATCAAGCCCGTCGTAATTGTCGTCGTCGTCGTCGTCGTCGCCGTCGTTGGGGAAGTCCGCCTGTACTGCCAAGGGCTCATCAGCCTGGGCCTCGCTCGCAGTATCGCCAACAGTAGGCGCGTTTGATAGCGATGGTAGAGGAGAATTGCGCTTGTCGCATTCTACAAGGCGGCGAAGGCCTGAATTAGAGGGAGTAGACATGAAGTACACCAAGAAGTATTATGGCAACAGTAGTCTAGCGTCGTGTGTATAGCAGACGCGACGCGACGCGACGCGAAAGGCTTACTAGGTGCGCACCGGGTAGCGCATTTCCGCAAACTCTAATTAGCTTAAAGCTAGATGCTTTAACTTATATAGGATTAGTGTCTTTATATCTAGGACTAGCGCGGCTTCGAAGCCGCACTAAATGTGGCTTTCACAACTCTAAAATACTGCTTTAAAAACAGCTAACGTCAGTCTAACGTCAGTCAGTTCAGTCAGTCTGGAGGCTTCTGAACTGACTGGACTGACGTCCAGCTGCCTCAAGAACTGACTGACTGAACTGAGTCTTGGCAGTCAGTTCAGTCAGTTCGAACTGAGTTACCTGACTGATAGCAAGTCTGTACATAATACAAGACCAAGAGCGATCTGCTCAGGACTACAACGAGACGACTCATAATAATCGAGTCGAAACGAATACAATTGCAGACGATAGCTTAAAGCCAAAAGGCAACCTCTACACAGCAGTGAGCATGGAAGAGGATATCGACAAGCTCAGCAATCGATGGATCCTTGACCCTAGCTCCAACACTCACGTGATCAACACTGAGGAATGGAGTGGATGGACAAGGGAGTACAACGCTGTCGCTACGGACTTTGTCGGAGCTGGAACAGGACGTGTCCAGATCACAGCCTGGGGAAGCATGGAGCTTATGGCAAACACGCCAATAGGTGTACGATCACTAAGACTTACTCACGTCGCTTACGTCCAAGGCTTTATTACGAGCCTAATTAGTCTGGCACGCTGCCGGAAGCTTGGCATACACTTTGATTCAGGACGGGATCTACTGTACAAAGGCGACCCAGGAACAGTACTTGCTTATCTTGAGCATGATAGAGGACACTAGCTAGTGGACGCTGATGCCTTTAGTCGCCCGAAACCGATGTTGCTGTCATCTTTTGGCACTACCTACAGACCTTCGAAGGCTCCGCGCCCAGACCAGAAAGTCGATGCTAGGATGGCACACCAGATGTGGGCTCATCCTGGCAAGAAAGCGATCGAAAAGCTTACGTCGAATGTCGATGGACTTGTTATTAAAGGCGACACTAACGACTTCTGTGCTGTCTGTACAGAGTCTAAGTTAACGAAGCAGATATCTCGAAGACAGCAGGAGGATCAAGCACAGAAGCCCTTCTACCGGATTGCTGTAGATGTAATTCAACTATTGCCACAAGGAGAAGCATGCCTCAACGGTGATCGATGGGCTAGACACTCCGTCGATCAATACTCAAAATGGCACCAAGTGTCTACTTTCTCAAACCGATCAAAACCATTCCTAAGTCGATAGTTGATCCAGGACATACGCAGCATACAACGCGTCTTTGATTGCGACATAACCGCTATCAAGACAGACAACGAACGTGGATACGGCACATCGCCAAACTTCCTAGAAGAACTTTGCAGAGACCTTGGTATTCGATACGAGCCACGAGCCGAGTACACAGAGGAGCAGAATAGACTAGCAGAGCGAGTGGGATCGCTGCTTGTCATCCGAGCCAGAGCCATAAGGATCCAAGTAGGACTACCAAAGTCCTTGTCCTATGAGCTGCTTCGAACAGCAGCATACGTCCTTAATCGGACACCAACTAAAGCGCTGCAATAGAAGACACCATACGAGATTGTATGGAAGACGAAGCCAAAGGTTCAACATATGCGTCCGATTGGATGTCGAGCCTACGTTCTTAACCGATCACTTAAGCGCGGAGACAAGCTCGAATCGAGAGCGCTTATTGGCCACCTAGTTGGCTACGACTCTACCAACATCTTCAGGATCTGGCTGCCTACCAAGGACCAGGTCATACGCACGCGAGATGTTGTATTTGAACCCACGAAATTCTACGATGGTCCACAGGGCTACGCTCGCGAATCTATAATCGAAGAGGTTATTGAGCTTCTATCGTTTCCAGAGGAGTTCGAGCTAGACGACATAGCTATCGAAGACCTACTGACTTCTAGACAACGTCGTCAACAACAACCTTCACATGCATCTGCGCTCCCAGAGTCACAGATGGGGGGTGAGGAGATAGAGCAAGACAAGGAACAGTACGAAGGAGGACTACCGACTCCAGAACCCTCGAATTTGAGTCTACACAACGATCAAGACTTAATCTCAGAGCAACAGGCCATAGACGAGCAGTTAGTTCAAGAACAACAACGCAACGTTGTACAGGGATCTCAAGACATTTCCGCGACTCAGATCGAAGGCTACATACCTGATCGATATAAGAACAACGCTCCAAGACGTCGAAACCTTGATCTCAGCACGGATAATATTATTGAAGGTCCACGCCGTACACGAAGAATCGCTGATCTCCA